TTAAGAAGATTAGACTAAATAAGTATTATATATATAATTATAGTAATTATAGTATTATAATATTTAGTATAGCTATTCTACTTAGGAGTTCTTATTATAGTAATCTTTATATATAGACCTAAATATTGTAATTTAGATAAGAGTAGTAAGATTAATATCTTATTATTAATATATAGTATTTTAATATTATAATTATACTATTTCTTTATAAGATTAATTATCTTCTTAATAGAATAAGATAAATAAGATTTAAGAGGAAGGGGGTATATAAACTGTATCTTAATAATAGGATTAATAGAATAAGATAAATAATATATTCTATTATTATTATTCTATATAATAATTAGATCTTAGTATAATAATTTAAATAGTTTATTTTTAATATATATAGAATATTATAAGATTTAATAAATAGGTTTAGTAAGTTTATAAGGCTTATAAAGTTTAGATAAGTATTTTATATTAATAATAATACTAAAAGATACTTCTTATAGATATTTAAGGGCTTTATAATTTATATATCCTAAGTATTAATACTAAATATTATAGGATATAGTTATAATCCTTAGTTTATATAAGTTAAATACTATATTCTAATTAATTAAACTAGAATAAAGGTAGTATATAAGATAGTAAGAAGATATTTTAGTAGTATCTTTTAGATTCTAACCTAGTTTTTCTAAGCTTTTTAATATAAAAGCTTACTCTAATACTTAATATAGTATTTCTTTATTAATAATCTTACTAAAAGAGGTATATTAATTATTAATCTTAAGTAATTTAAGTAATAGAATAATAATATTATTAATATAAGATAAGAGATTCTTTTTATCCTATTTAATTATATAAAATCCTAATCTTTATTTAATATTATAAATTAATAATTTATTAATAGATTTAAGGATCCTAATATAATCTAAGTAGTAAAGGCTATTCTTATATTTATAGGATACTAAGAAGATATTAAGATAAAATCCTAGGGAATATATAATATTATATAAAAAAAAGGGCTTTTTATTATATAATTTAGAGGATAATATATATATAATACTAAATCTAAGTATTTATATCTTAGTATTATTAATATAAATACTTAAGATAGAAGAGGTATAATTAATAAAGAGTATATAGTTATTATATATATATAGATTATAATACTAATATTATATACCTAAATCTTAGTAGATTTTATAGATTCTATAAGATTAATAAGCTATAAAATTATAATAATAATATAATTATTATTATTTATCTTATTTATATATCTCTTTTTTATTATATTAAATATCTTTTTTAATTAAGGGCTTCTCTTAATTATCTTCTTAAATTATTTAAGGGTTTTAGATAATAATATTTATTTATTTAATCTTTTATTAGGATTAATATATAGATAATTATTAAATTTATAATTTCTATTAAAAAGATCCTTTTTATAAGAATACTTCTTCTTCCTCTTTTAGTTAGATTATATTATTTTAGATATTTATTTTATTTATTCTTTCTCTTAGAATATTATATAAATAACTTAATTTATTAATTTAGAAGGAAGTTTATAAATATAGTATTTATATTAAGTAAATAAATTATAAATATCTAGATTTATTAATAACTTATTTATATATATTTTTATTATATAGAAATTAGGTAATATATTATATATTATTAATAAAAAAGATAGGATAATTATTTAGGATATATCTTATCTAGGAATCTATAGATTAATATTTTTAGAGTAAAGGAAATACTATTTTATAATAAAAGATATAATATTAGATTAAGAAGGTATTTTAAGCTTATTATATTATAGATTAAACTTATAGATATAATAGAAGTATATAGGTTTAAATATCCTTTTAAAAATAGCTAGGATATTATATAATAATATATTATATTTTATAGTTCTTATATTCTCTATAAAGATAGAAATCTTAATTATAATATTTATAATAGTATTAGTATATATAATCTTATATTATTTTATTTATTTATTTATCTAATTCTTTAGATAAAAGGATATAAGTAATTATTAATTAGTATTTATATTAAGAAGATTAATACTAAAAAGAGATTAAGTAGTTAGTTCTAGTTTATTATCTAAGATTTTAGGGCCTCTAATTAATTAAGTAGTAATAGGAACCTAATAAGGATTAATTTAGTCCTATATCTCTATATTTATAGTAATAATCTAGATATTATTAATCTATAAAGGCTAGGATATATAAGAAATAAGGATTATAAGCTTCCTAATATTAGATAAAGATATAATAAAAGAAATAGAAGATTAGTAGAAGAAGAATAGAAGTTTTAGAAGATTAGTAAAAGAAGAATAGAAGCTTTAGAAGGTTAGTAGAAGAAGAATAAAAGCTCTAGAAGAATCTAGAAGATAGATTCTAATAGAAAGTTAAGTTCTTAGTAATAAGAATCTTAAATCAATACTATTTAGTAGGAAGAATAGACTTTAAATCATAGTTTAGATAGAATAAGCTCTTAAGGAAGAGGCTTAGAGGGATATTTAGTCTTAAGATTAGTTTTTAGATTCAATAAATCCTAGGCTTATAACTGTTAGGTTTTAGGAGATAAGATTATCCTAAGAACCTTAGTATAATATTAAGAGATAGTAATATATATAGTTAGGGGTATATAATATAATTATATAATATAATACTAAGAAGGATAGTAGTTATATAATTAGAGGGGATTTAATATTAGACTTAATAAGAAGGAATAAAGAGATAGAAGGAATAAGGGCTTCTTAGAAGGAAGAAAGTATATTCTAGTTGTTATATAAAGTATATAGTATAAATTAAGTATTAACTTTAGCTTAAATCCTATAATAAGTATAAGATTCCTATACTATTTAAGTAAGAGATTTAAGTTATTTAAATGATATAAATAATATATAAATTTAATAAATGTAATTAATAAAAGAGTAGTTAGTATAAGTAAGTATAATACTATAATATAGGATAGGATAATATATATAATAAGTATATAGAATAAGGGGAATAGGATAGATCTTATATATTAATCAAAGATTAATCTTATAACCAATTAATTGATTGGTGTTTTTTCTGCGAAAAAAAAAACGCCAAGACTTTTCCAATCTTACTATACTGGTAAGGCCTGTAAACTTATAATCATAACCCCTTAATTCTAATAGAAGTACCTATATTATTATAATAATAATTAGCTAGGCTACTAGATAGTATTAGGTTAACTAATAGAATATTATTTTTATTATTATTATTAGATAAGGAAGAGGAGTTAGTAGTATAAATAGATAGATTAATATATATCTAGGAGTTACTAATAGTATAGCTACCTATGATCTAACTACCCAGAACTATTCCCTAGTGAACTTTCTTTTCCTTCTTTCTCTTTTCTCTTTTACCTCTCTGATCAAATCTTGACTAGTGATGGTAAAGCTTATAGTTTTGATACCTTACTTAGTCCTCATCTTACCTTCTTACTTATAATCATCTTCTTACTTCCCCCTTTTCCTCTTTACTAAATAAATAGTCAAAACTTACCTTATCTCTCTATTAGCATCATACTTCACAGGTTTATTACCCAGAAGTTGATGAGAAACCCCCCTCGAAGTGAGAGTGAAGTAGAGATATAAGAAACTATTGAAAACCTTCCGAAGAAACCTCTGAAGCGATTATTAAATGCCAGAATTATGGGGACATTCATGCATCGGAAGAGAGTCAAACTGGGGACACAACTGAACGAGAAGTGAGTATAATGGAAACGAAGTACAATTGAAAATGGGTCAGTTTTGACAGAACAACCTGTTAGTGAACCCTCACGACCGTTTTATTCATTCCCCCTAATTTCCTTTCAACCAATAGCAAGGATGCCGATGACCGAGGATGAACTACGAAACCATCCGTTTGCAACGAATTCGACCTCCTCAATCCCTGGCGGAAATGAGAGCCTAATCTTCAGGATAGGGCCTGAGTTCGAGCGCCAATCATGGAATGCTCCAATGAATAATCAATAATCAATCGAGACTGGAAGAGGAGATGGTGAATGCTTGGAGAGCACAAGCACAGACCTGGGTTGATCCAGCTCAAATGAATCAGTTACGGAATCATCCATTTATAACCATATCAGATACTTTACGGAAGGTCAAACGAAAATCTGATTGTGTTTCTACTGATTCACAGACCTGAGAAGGGACTTGAGAATCTCTAAGAGGGCTATCGGCCGCCGTATCCCCACACCAACTCCAAACCGAACACGGGTGATTGGTGGAAAAGATAAACGTCGCGTACAAGATGTTCGGCGGATGTGAGTCTGTTCATGAGTTTATGAATGCGGCTCAGAAAACGACAAAGCAATTATGACTCCCGGAAGCTTGTAAAAGTTTGTCTCCCCAGGAACGAGCAATACACGAAGTGAATGAGGCCGATCCTGCCCAAGTTCGAGAATTAATTTCCACCTTTGAGCAAGTACCTTCGGTTAGGAGGCAATTCGGTAAAGTATATACTACCGAAGGGGCGCACTCATGGCTAAACACTATACAATCCTCGATTCAGTAAAAGGAATGCTGCCTATGAAGCCCACCAGCTCTTCCCCCACATGTAGCATGAGGGGGCAGTTTAGATTAATCCCCTTACTAATCTTATAGATCCTTATTTACCCTGGTTTATATAGTGTTCGGAGGGGGAGTGGTGAATATACTAGTAGGTTCAATTCCCTGATGTGGCGCCGTGGGCGGTAATTTGTAAAGCACCCCTCTACCTGTGTTAGTTGAAGTTCTAAATAACATTTGAATGGAAATAAAAACAATTTTTCGCTATATAATCTATAGCCTGGCTAATCTAAACTAAGTTATACTTTAGCCATTTATATAAGCCTTTAAATCAATAGCCCCTACTGACATTGAAGCTGATATCTAATACTATAACCCTAATACCCCTATTAGAACTAGATATAGACATCTAATCCTTGATATCATACTAGTATGATAAACCATGAATTCAAGGAACATAAGTCTATAGCCGTGTAAAGAAGTACATATAAGCAGTCTTCTTCATCTGATCAAAGTCCTCGAACTTCACAACCTTTTCATCATTAAACATAACCCAGGAGAGGCCAGATTGACCTGGCAAAGCCTTGCGAATGACAGCCACGTAATGCCTTCTGTAGTTAGCAGTGTATTCGTTTTGAGATCTGGCCACGAACATCACTCACCCTGCATGGACCGATGTGCCTTTGTGACAAACGATGGATTGTAGTTGATACCGGGCGGGCAACCCATCGAAGCCAGTGGAATCTTGTTGAGTTCCTATGCCTTCATTCTCACCGTTACCATCTTCCAAATCCTCATCAGGGTGGCTGAAAACCCAATCCAGAGCTCGGTTCACATCCCCATCAGTGGCAGATAATGCCCGTCGAGCTCTGGCAGCCTCGATCCCCATATCCCCCAACTGAGCGACCTTTGCCTCATCCTGCTCAGTATCTCTCAACCCGGTGACAGCACTGTTTAAGATCAAGGGTTCATCGATTTCTGGGTCTTCCATATGAGCAAATAGCCAGTTCGTGGCGGCTTCGGGGTCAGAATTTCCAGTGGCATGAAGTGCCTTTTCACATCTCACAGTTGGAAAACCCATGCTCAAGAGTTGGTTCATGGCATCCGTATTGGGCTTAAAAGCCACGGCTTCATCAAACTCTGGCAAGACCTCCTCATTCACGTCATGTTTGACAGCCAAGTAGGGTCCAAAATCGACAGGCCCATCACCAACAATCACCGGAATGTCTAATTTGGTAGGGACCCAGTTGACAAGTCCAAAGCGGCGAGCATTGACAGCTAAATCCCGTGGCAAGCTTTTGAAGGACAGACGCTTCGAGAACCCATCATCGCTTTGGCAGGCAGGACAGCTGAGTTCGACGACTTCCTCTGCAGTGAATATGTCTAAGCATTCTGATAGAGTCACGGCTTCGAAGCAATCGACTTGATCCGGGATATGGCGAGCAGGTACAGCAACAGATATGTTATCTTGTTCATCGACCTTATAACGGACCTTCTTACAGCTCAAGCACTGGAGGCGTTGTTCCACCTCGAATCGAAAGCTCTTGACTGGGTTCGGTTGCCCATTGGAACGATTTGAAAGACTCACACATTTGAACACGTGCAAAAGAAATTCAAACGCATCCTGCTGCCTCATGGTTGCGAATTCTTCGTGGCCTTGTCCGATGAGATATTTGAACATGGCTGGAGCCAGTCCTTTTTGATGTGAAAGGTCTTGTGTATTTTGAGCTGTGCCAAAGCGCGAACCGGGTTGAGAGTAACGACCTGATAAAACACCATCTGCTAGCTTTCTCAGCTGGGTTTCAAGGTCCTGCGCAGGTGCTTGGCACAGCGGTGGCTCCTCAGTTGGGCAGAAATAACGAGATTGGAAAGCAGCCGTAGAGAAGATACATTGCATAATACTGGAAAGGTAGCAGCTGTTTCCGAGGTTGGCGAGGCCAGTGAAGCCAGGTCCGAAGACCGGAGTCAGTTCACGGCCATCCTCAGTGGTCATGGAAAACTCCCATTGGAGATTGTGCTCAACTTGCATCTCCATTAAGCTTTTCTCGGTTTTTTCACGCCCAGCCAAGAAGATACCCCAATGCGCGAGGTGATTTGCAAGTTCTGGATCTATCCGTTCCTCATTGCATGCATAGCAATAGACATCTGCGGAGCCCTCTGCGGTTATGGAACCCAGTTTAACTGCCACGGCATGTGTTGAAGCGTCTGCGTGGGCGAGAGCATGGGAATTACCCTTTATGCCACCAAATTGACTTCGTCCACATCCTATGTTCCCACATTGCAGGCAAATCCAAAGATTTTCCTTTAAATCGCACGTAGAACATTTGCTTAGATCTAAAAGAGAATAAGCATCACAGGAACTTGAATAGCGCGAGGCAAATAATTACCCATTGATTCTTTATCGTCAATCTTTTCCTGAGCAAGACATAAAGTGTGCTCACAAGGAACGAATTCCTGTTCCCATGCTTTGACCTCCTCTCTTTTCGAAAAAGTCATTGCACTCATCACTCCGTCGATCACAGCTGGCAGGTTTCCAATCGTTTTATCGACATCGTAATTCGCGCACGAATAGCATGTCACCGATGTCACGATATTATATCGGTCATCGTCCGTCTCGGCGGTAATTGCCAGCTTTGAAATCTTCGGCGGGGGCTCATCCCTCTAAAGCCTGTGAGAAGAAGTTCTGACGTCATTTTTGGATAGCTTAAGCTTACCTGAACTTGCTTCGGTGTTCTGCGAATATTCAAGACCAGTGAATGATCAAAACGTTGGTAGTGTAGCAATGCATGATCTCTGTCCCCGGTGCAACCACCATTGAAGCAGTGAAGGCATACGTTAAGACCCGAGGGATTGTCCTTTCAAGGTAAGTCAATTAGTAGTAGGAATCGAAGTGACCATGGAGATAAATGAAGAAAACATACAATGGAGTCAAAACACTGCGTGCAATCCTCCCTGTACACAGCCTGAGACGTCCCAGGTGGTCGAAGGTCTATTATGATCAGCCTATCACTCTTGTTCAAGGCGAACTATTCTCTCACCAACCTAAAGCACCTGAATGGGAACAGGCCATTTTCCCCTTGAAGATCAAGATGACCTTCCAAGATAAAGAAGGCGAGAATATGGGTTGAAGAAGGATTGACAAGAACTAGAGAAGGACAAGTGATCAGAGGGAAAGGGAAAGGGAAAGAGAGAACATTGTAAATCACCCAAAAGCGGGACGAGGCAGGAGCGTCTTCGACGTGGGGCAATATTCAAGAGGCGCGGAGAGATTATATAATATTTATGGCCTGAGGCGCATAAGACTATCTTACCGCCCTGAAGAGTCCACTTTACGCGTTATTTCCAAGTTCCCGCTTTACGCGTCGCGGGCGCTCTTCATCGTAATCTGTTTTTCCTACCCTGTCCATTCCCTCTGCTTTGATATTTGACCGCGCCTTCCAAAGATAGCCACCATGGATTCAGATGCAGCTTCTATGATCACTGTTGGTGCTCTCAGGTAAGTTCATGACCGGAGGAAGATTTGTTCTATGCATGAATGCAGCAAGATCCTAATACTATGTCAAAGTGCCATTTTTGACGACAGCAAGGATCAAGTCCGAGAGCCGATTGTCCAATGTGTCCAAGTGAAACCTTTACCACCACAGCCAGGTCACCAAGAGCGTTATCGAGCCGTGTTCAGCGATGTTGCAAACTATGTGCAAACCATGCTTGCCACCCGTATGTTTTTTTTTCTTGCTCAATCATTCGCATTCAAGCTATGGTGTTGACGAAAGCAGCAGAGGCCAACCATGTCGTGACAAATGGATCTTTGCGGAAAGGGTGCTTTGTCCGACTCAAGTCATTCCAGGCCAATTCTGTGAAGGGTAAAAAGTAAGTGCCCCCAAAATGGTAAACGACATATGTTCATCCATATGTATTAACTACTTCATAGGATCCTCATCGTCTTGGATCTCGAAGTTCTGCAAGAACTAGGCGAGGCAGAGAAGATTGGCGAACCAAAGCCTTTGGAGGTGAAGGGTGAAGAGGAAGAGGAGAAGACTCAACCCACTACCATTTCTAGTAATGGGTTCTATGGCTCCAAGCTTCAAGGTGGTCCACCGAAACAGCCCCCCCAGGTACCATCTATGCGAGGACCCTCATCGTCTGCCCATGCCACCATTTACCCAATAGAGGCCATATCGCCTTACTCGAACAAATGGACCATCAAAGCCCGCTGCACAAGCAAGTCCAGCATCAAAACATGGCATAATAAGAATGGCGAGGGCAAACTTTTCAGTGTGAACCTCCTGGATGATAGCGGTGAAATCCGTGCAACCGGTTTTCAGGAACAGTGTGAAATGCTTTATGACCTCTTCCAGGAAGGCAGTGTCTATTACATCTCGAGCCCCTGCCGTGTCCAGATTGCCAAGAAACAATTCAGTAACCTCAACAATGATTATGAGCTGACGTTTGAACGTGACACTTTGGTCGAGAAGGTAGGACCCCTGAAATCTTCCTAAAAAAACATCGTGGCTTACGGTAGAAACCAGGCTGAGGACCAAAATGATGTGCCCCAAATTCGATTCAACTTTACCACCATTGGAGATCTCCAATCCGTGGAGAAGGACACGACTACTGATGTGATTGGCATCCTCAAAGAAGTCGCCGAGACGTCTCAGATCGTTTCCAAGGGGACAGGCAAGCCATATGACAAAAGGGAACTCAGCCTGGTCGATAATACTGGCTTCTCAGTTCGTTTGACTATCTGGGGTGCCTCTGCCGTCAATTTCAATGTGGCTCTAGAGTCTGTTGTAGCATTCAAAGGAGTGAAAGTTTCTGACTTTGGAGGTCGGAGTCTGAGCTTGCTCAGCTCTGGCTCGATGGCTGTCGACCCCGATATTGGAGAAGCTCACCGGCTAAAGGGCTGGTATGATGCACAGGGTCGAACTGAGTTATTCACTTCTCATGCATCTCTCTCCAATGCAACTAACACTAACATGAAGTCTGACCAATTCAAGACTGTTACACAAGTTCGGGAGGAACAGTTGGGTATGTCAGACCAGGTAGATTACTTTTCGTTGAAGGCCACTGTTCTCTACATCAGACAAGACTCGACTTGGTGCTACCCAGCTTGTCTTTCGGAAGGATGCAACAAGAAAGTGACTGAGCTGGAGCCGGGTCAGTGGAGCTGCGAAATGTGCGGCAAGACTCACCCCAAAGCAGAATATCGCTACATCATGCCCGTCAGTGTGAGCGACCACACTGGTCAGCTTTGGCTCAGTTGCTTTGATGACACCGGCCGTCTGCTCATGGGAATATCGGCTGATAACCTGATGCAACTTCATGAAGATGATCCCACGGCATGCAGCGAGGTATTCCAGGCAGCCAATTGCCAGACTTGGAACTTCCGATGTCGAGCTAAGATTGACACCTATGGTGATCAACAACGGTAAGTACATCATCTTATGCTCCTATGTATTTTCAAATCACCTTAGCTGACACGTCTCACACAGGGTTCGATACCAGGTGTCATCTGCGAAGGCTATCAACTATTCTGAAGAAGCTTCTCGCCTGGCCGAGATCATCAATTCTTACAATATCAACTAGTTGTCAAGCAAGATGCTGCCAGGGGCTTGCGCCTACCTTTCTTCTGCCTTCCCGACTTTGTCAATCCTTCTGACATCCTGCTTATTGCGTTCCATGATTACGAATGAGCCGGAATGACTATTACATTTATCGCGCCTTATCCAAAGATAGCTAGAGTTTCTGTAACAATGAATAACCACAAAAATTTCAATTATTATGTCTACTATATAACACTTCCACACTGAGATATATAGATAGTTGTCGCCTTAGATATGTTGTATATATGGGAACCCAGCTTAATGAATTGATTGATAGTGTATTTGATCAACTTTGTTGGCAAGAAATTCAGAATCTCGTGAGATGGTATGAAACATGAAATCATAAGTAATTCGGAATTTCGTTGAGGGAAAACATGGGCAAGCGGTGAGTGATTTTTTCACGGGCAGAAACTTGGGAAAAACCCTGTCCGCCTATCCATTTTTTTTTTTTTTTTTTTTAAGATTCTATTTCTCTATCGTGATTTTCTGGGTACCCAGTTTGAAGACTGACAAGACCAAGACTTATATCAGTCTTGTTTACATTAATTGTCTATCTGAAGGCAGTGTTATTTCTGAATTACTGATTTCAATCAACGCCAGGCGCAATGGGAAAACGCAGCCACGAGTCAACGGAGCTGCAGCCGAAGAAAAAATCCAAGGCGGATAAGCAATCCAAGGAGAAAAAGGCTGTCGAGGAGACCGGAACTTCGGATTCCAGCAACACAAGCTATACTCAAGCTTCCGCTCTCAGTGATCTTCCACAGTCGCAGATTGATCAGTACCTCCAGGACAACATCATTAAGACCACCGATGCCTCTGCCGACGGCCCTAGCCTTCGCCCCATACTTCAATTTGAATATCTCCCTCCCTGTGAAGGCGAGCTGTACAAATCATTGAAGTCATTCTCTGCCCCGACTTCTATTCAGGCCGCTACCTGGCCATTGTTGTTTTCCAACCGTGATGTGATTGGTATTGCAGAAACCGGCAGTGGCAAGACTTTGGCATTTGGCCTGCCCTGCCTTAAAAAAATGATCGACTCCAAACGCAGCAAGAAGCCATGCCATCCCACCGCAGTTATCATTTCCCCCACGCGCGAGCTCGCGATGCAGATTCATGATCAGCTTGTCAAATTTGCCGCGGTGGCGAAGGTTGGTGTAACGTGTATTTTTGGAGGTGTGGGAAAGGATGAGCAACGTGAAGCCCTGAAGACGGCTGCCATTGTGGTTGCCACACCCGGTCGTTTAAAGGATCTACAGAATGATGGATCCGTTAACCTTGGGAAAGTCAAGTATCTTGTTTTGGATGAGGCTGATCGCATGCTGGATAAAGGATTTGAGCAAGATATCAAGGAAATTATCCAACCCATGCCAGTCTCCAGAAGGCAAACAGTTATGTTCACGGCAACCTGGCCGCGATCGGTCCGCGATTTGGCTGCTACTTTTATGAGCTCTCCCGTCACTGTGACTATCGGTGGCGATCCTTCCGCTGACCCCCGTGCGAACACGAGGATCAAGCAGGTTGTTGAGGTTCTAGACGGGCGGGATAAGGAGAACCGACTCATTCAACTCCTCGCTCGCTCTCAGAGAGGATCCTCGAACCCCGAGAAGGTTCTGGTATTTTGCCTTTACAAGAAAGAAGCAATGCGGGTTGAAAGACTCATCAGCTCCAAGGGCTTCAAGGTTGCCGGTATCCATGGTGATCTGAACCAGTCTGATCGTTTCCGAAACCTAGAGGCCTTCAAAAGTGGCACTGCTACTGTTTTGGTTGCAACCGATGTCGCAGCGCGAGGTCTGGATATCCCTGCCGTGAAGTTGGTGATCAACGTCACATTCCCCCTCACCGTAGAAGACTACGTACACCGTATTGGGCGAACTGGGCGAGCCGGTGCTGAGGGTCATGCCATCACCATGTTTACTGAACAGGACAAGGCTCTTTCGGGCGGGTGAGTGATATATTGATGCCTTTTACATTTGACTTATGTTGTTCCAGCCCATGCTAACGAATTGAACCAGATTGATCAATGTGCTCAAAGCTGCCAAGCAAGAAGTCCCAGAGTCATTGTTGAAATTCGGCACTACTGTCAAGAAGAAGCAGCATGGTGCATATGGCGCATTCTTCAAGGATGTTGACACCGATCAAAAGGCGACCAAGATTACATTTGACGATTGATTTTTTACTTTGTTTCTGTTTCTGTTTCTGTTTCTGTTTCTGTATAGACCATCATTCACTTTTAGAGCCTTTCGCGCTTCTAGAGACTCCAATTTGACGCAAGCGTGTCACTTGTCCTATCAAGAATCGTCTCTCCACATATAGACTTGCTTCTCATCAGATATTGTCCCAGTATGAGCATCGAAACGGGGTGACTTACATTGATAAAGTACAGAAGCAACTGAATGCAACGGCTGGAATCATATCCAGGTCTGGGCGCGATAGTCTCTGTGTGACCATGATAGTCGTGGCAAGCACTCCTATGACATAACTCATAGGTTGGATTCTCACTTCCGTGATGCTTAGTGCGTCTCCATGTCGGCGAAGATATAATCGAATGAATGCATAGCTCCATAGGGTACGAACCACCATGTTCACAATGTTGGCGAGTACCAGCCCGTAGCCCCCCATCGACCAAATCTCCAAGAATAGATAAGCAGCAAGAGCGTAGCATGCAGAAAATGCACCCATCCAAGCAGTTTGCCTTCGGATCTCTGCTGGGTTGGCTGCGGACGACACAAAAGCCTCGGTGATGCCGTTGAAGGCAAGGAACGGGATATAGTAGCAATATAGTGACAGCATGTCACCGACTGCTGGTGATGCCCACTGGCGACCTCCCAGAATGCGAAGCATTTGTGGCACCATAATGGGGCCCAAAGGAAAAATGAGTGTTGAAAGAAGCTGGTAAGCTCGAAGAAGATCTGTTAGATGGCTCTTCGCAATGCGAACCTGGACTGTGTTTGTCCTTCCACTCTCATCGGGACTCAAAAGTGTCGAGAATAGGTTTCGACTACTTTCTTCGAGGGGCTGGAAAATAATCCGTGCAATGAGGCCACCATAGTTTGATGCCAGAGAGTAAATTCCTTGGTCCTCCAAACTTGACATGGCGGCGAGCATCATAGAATCTCCTTGGGTGAGAACATGTTTCACAAGAGACTGGAAAAAGACACTAGCAGCAAGGGATGTCAATCGCAGAGAGAAAAGACCCATCATGTACCCATTTCCATCACTATGCTCTTTTATGCGGGCAGGAAGGAAGGAAAAACTTCGCTCATGTGCACGAGGGAGCAAGGATAAGCAGTACCCGCAGATGAGAGCCAAGGAATAGCTTAAGTGGCCAAGTGCAAAAGGCAGAATGCCAGCCTGTCGACCAGTTTGGGAAGCATAAAGAAAAGTTGAACATGTCGCAAGGCTTCTAATGAATGCCGCGGGCATTTCGACTGCAGCTCGTTTCTCGTACCACATATGTTGCTGAACTATCGCAAAAAATGGCTCAACGCTCAGTTCCAGGAGCGCAGCTACTCCCGTGATAGTGACACTGATCTCAAAAAAGGGGACTTCAAGTGCTTTCCCTGGCGCGAAATGTTGGTAGAGCATTGCAAGCAAAACCGTAGAAGGAACTCCGAGGACAAGGCTCAGATAAGACACATTTACGACCGACTGAGATGCTGTCGATTGCATTGCTAGAGAGGATCCGCTCGTTTTTGAGAGGCCTGTGGAAATTGGCTGTCTTTGAATGGCCATTCGTATACTTTCTCTGGAAAAATACAGAATTGTGACTTGGTAGAGCTCGAGTTGAGCGGCGACCCCTAGTACCATGGGGGATAACGTGCGTAAAACCAGTTGGTTTGAGGCAAAAGTGAAGATCCGAGATGTCAATTGAATGAGGATCAAGAATGATGTACCCGTTGCAGAATGTGCTAGCATACTGCCCTCATGGGCTTCGCTAGGTTCTTGCATTTTGCATCCACGGCGTGAACTGGCCGACGTGGCTTGAGGAACCTCGTATGTCGCAAGGCAACGTGTCGGAAACACTTTTCCCAGGGGGAAACACAGATATACCAGATACAAAAGGGTAAAACTATTTACCAATCTCGGGAGAGGGGCGTCTGGAAACCAAGTGATTGTACACTCCTATGTCAACCTAATCTCTGGTTGTACACCAAGAGTAGAGGCGTTGTCGCTTACGTAACTATTCCTGATAACCTTCAAATGTTGGTCCTTGGAACTGTAGTTGGATATTTGATATTTCATGTCCAATGGAGTATGTAGATTCAAGGATATCAAAGTTCACTTTTACACCTGGTCCAAATAACCGATCCCACATTGATATATTACAAGTCGCGCCTTGAATGTTTGTGTATAGTACTGTATGTGAATACATCCCAAAAAGAAATATGTAGTATACCAGTGAGTAATAGAAAAGTGGGGAGTTTCTTGAAAGAAACAATCATACGCTGCTCATTGATCTACAAGTGTACAAGGAAATACAATGTGTCGCCGGCGACAATGCGGTTGGGAACCAAGAGCAGCCAAACTCGTCCCATACGACGGAAAGCCCACACGCGCCAAGTGAAGTTTCATGGCTACAGAAACCCAAGATGAGGGATAAACCAAGAGAAGCATCAAGAACAGGAAACCCCTGATGCGACAAGATAGTAAGCCTAGAACGGAGGAAGGTAAAAGGGATAACCTCCGTTCTTGGTCTTGAACACACTGAGGAGAAGACTGTATGTCCCAAAGAGAATGCCTCCCCAGATCAACACGGCCAATTGCTGGCCCTTAACATCCTCCATTCGGGGCACCTTCAGCGCAAGCGCAATGGTCGCAAACGAGAGAATAGCATCTACACAGGTCGTCAGCTTTAGAACCAAGGACATACGCTCGAGTCATTCAAGGTATGACTTACAGATAGCAGCCACAATCTGGGTCTCCATGCCAAATTGATTTTGAAAGCCTCCAGCAAAATAGCTGATTCCACCCCGGCCATCACCGGCAACATAGGGTACCTTCCGAATGTGATTGAACATCTGACCACTGGTGAACAGAAGAACGGCAATCAGACTGACAGCGGCCCAGAGATTCCGGTTCTGAATAATGGGCAGTATATATGGGTAGATCACCGTAAGCAAAGTGACAGCGCCCATCAGAATGGTAATGCCAGAGACAATACGCATATAGTTGACAGGTCGAACCAAGGCAGGCTTAGGTCCATCAGGCAGGTGACGACCGATCCATGCGTAGAGTTGGTCGGCGGAGATCGGGCTAACGTTTTTTAAATAAATGTCAGAAGAATATTGAGAACCTAGTGCGAAGACTTACCCTGTGAAGTCAAATCTCACCGGCTCTGCTTCCACTTTGGCAAAAGGTCCAACCGTGGGGGAAAGAGGAGAAGAACCGGTGCAGTCTGAAGCATGTACTATTTCCATAGCTGTCAGCTTCAACTACCATCAGATAATTTGAACACTTGAAGACCAGTCATACCTTTTGGAAAACAGTTTTCCCCTGGTCGAAATCCAGAGTACCGAAAACTACCTTCAATCCATCAAGCTTGGAGCCTTTGTTCCAGCTCCGAGAGATAAGATCCCATTCCGCATCAAATTCCCGACACATCAGACAGCCGTAGCGTGCATCCATAGCCGTCAGAATGACGGCAGCATAGTAATCGCGGGGAGCTGTTGTCAGATCCTCGAACGAGGAGGTATCCAAATCAACGGGCCCAGAACGAGAGAGTGAGTTGTATTTTTGGAACTTATCGGGGGTAGACTTTGCGGCAAAGACGCCGGAAAGCACCGAGAAAAACAAAAAGATGATTGTCCAAGGCTTCATTTTGGCATTGATGCTGGGTTGCAAATTCACCGTCCAGGCATTGGTAGGAAGTATGGCAGACTAGTTATTCAACAGCGCCGAGGTGAAAGGTGGCCCCATTACGTAAGGCGGCCCCGCCCAAAATTCCACGCGTCAGTGGACCGCGTTGAGATCTAAAACATTAGTATTCAACATTACGACATTGTTGTTGATTCGTTCTCCTTCCCCTTCCCCCTCCTCTCCTAGAGATCTTCCACCATGGCAGTATCCGTGGAAGCATCGTCCTTGGATGTATGTAGATCCTATAATTCTTCTTGGGACCTTACCCCTTGGCTAACAATTCTAGTGTGAGTTGTGTATCAAAACACTCCGCCTTGAGCAAGAATATGAAAGAGCTCTCGCAAACTCGGCACATCTTCTTGATGGGGAGAGGGATCGCGTGAGGCGAATGGAGCACTTGTTGCTTCAATTTGAAAGTGAAAGCCTACGGCTACAGTTAGATCAAGCCAACATGCAGTTACGTGGATTTTCACATGCCGAGTCAGACACGCTCCTCCAGTTAGATGAAGCTTGCCAGGAAATTGATCGCCTTAATCATGAAGTACAGGCCTCGTCCAGCAAAATTGAGAGGTTGAAGGTGAGCACTTGTCCCTCGCCAATCTTTGTATGGGTCAAGGGTCTTTGAACTAAACGAATCCAGGGCGACCTTTTAGCCTTGAACAATACTTCGATAAGCTACAATGCTCTTCTTTCCGAAAAATCACAGCTCACCCGAGATTTGTCAAACCTAAAGTTAGAGCTAGACCGGCTAAAGACTCAGAGCTCCTCTCACCAGGCATCCGTAGGAGAGAAACAGGAATTGGAGCGGCAGCTGAACTCCTTGGATGCTCAACTTGAGAATGAAAAGCTTTCCCACGAGCGCACCAGAGCCAAAAACTTGCAGCAAGTGTCAGAGATAAGCACGCTTGTAAAGAAAGTTGAAGAACTACAGGGCGAACTCACGAGGGAGCTGCGAGTGAAGCAACAATACGAACGAGACAACCGTCATCAAAACATGGAATGGGACAACCAGCGCGGCGTACTTGAAGGCAAGGTTGAAACACTGAGAAAGCAGCTTCGGTCGACAAAGGACAAGCTCCTGGAGACCCAGCACGATTTACAACAAAAACGCACTGCTGTTCGCAACCATGACAGAGAGAGCTCCGATCCCGGATCTCGAGCCATTCCTCTGCAGCGACCTGGCCCAAGTGCAGACTACCAGAACGGTGTCACCATTGCAACGCCCGGAGCTGTCCGTGTGCATGAAAAAATAAAAAAGCCGTCGGCATTGCCTGGCGAGAAATCGGCATTTTCGATTACTCCGTTCCTCAACCGAACAGGGGCTCACCGAGCTTCTCCGGCCAGCTCAGACTTGGATAACGAAGAAGTTAACCAGGCAATGACAGACAGCCATTCTCCAACCAGAGCCCGCATCACCCACGACCCAAGAGGTATTGACACATCCCTGGTTGATCGGTCGAGCTCAGCACGACGACCTGAGAATGAAGAAAGAGCAAGATCCAAACCACGACAGGGAAACTTGGCGAATGAATCGAAGAGATCTTTCAATCGAACGGACGAAAAGGTGCCTCTTAAGGAGGCGGATGAATATGAGGATCCCTCGACAGATCAAGGGCAGACAAAACTCAAAAAACGAAAGCTGGGGGGACAGCGAGATCGAACCCTCTTTGAGGAAGACGAAGAGGAGATCATTGAACGCAGAAAGCCAGGGCGCAAGCTCGGATTGGGTACAGGGCGGACGTCAGTGCTTGCAACTACACAAATTTCTGCTGCACCAGTGGGTGATAAGCCGTCAAGAGCCTTGGGATTCGGTGGATTTTCACCTCTGAAGCGAGACCGCAAACGATGAGATAGATTGAAGGCAAATTACCGAATCCAGCTTGCCCTTCAAATTATAATAACAGTCTTGCACAAATTTGAAGCAGAACTTTATGTCATGCCAGTAAGAATATCTACCATTAGTAAACATTGAGCTCCTTTCCGACAGACGTACATACTCATCCACGGCTGTGTTCTCATGTGTATACTGCTACTATCTGGTGGTATCTAGAACGGATTGTACCGATAACTACTACATTATAAGCTCTCCGCACAGCGCCTTGACTTATTTTCTGCCGGCAGAAACACACAGCGTCCGCAAAGGCCCAAGAGCATCTAGCGATCATACCTACACTCTTTCTATCTCTTTGACCGCACAAACATGTTAATTTCCCCCCCGGTCAGAGTCTCCCGGATCTTCCAAAGCGTCTGCAATGTTGGAGAGCTCGGGCAGGTTCGCCTATCATCCTCAAAGCGCTGGCAAGCTCGGCAGCACAGAGATCAATTCACCCGAGAAGCAGCCGTACAAGGCTTAAAAAGCCGAGCTGCCTTCAAGCTCTTACAGGTCCGATGAGTTTTATTCGTTACTTCATTGCTCCATTAATGGAGACTCTAACGTAGCTCTCTGTTCGAAGCATAGATTGACGAGAAATACCACATTTTCAAACGTGGTCAAACAGTCGTGGACTTGGTATTGCTACCATTGGACAATCCCTGGAGAACAACTGATGGAATAGCTAATCTTGAATTCTTCCAATAGGGATATGCCCCTGGCTCATGGTCACAGGTTTTTATTAAGTGTCTATCTCAATTGGGAACTCGCTGACGATGTTTCAGGTAGCTGTCAGCCGAACCCAGCCGAATGGTCGGGTTCTGGGTGTTGATATCATCCCAGCACAGCCCCCGAAAGGGGTTTCTACTATTCAAGGGAATTTTCTTGCTCCCGAGATTCAAGCGTACATACAGGAATTTCTACGCAGCCCCAGTAGAGGCAGGCCGCGGCAATTCCAACTAGGTGATACAGGCGTGAGCTCACTGGAGTCTGAAATGCCTATGCACCCCGGCGATTCACATGCCTCTGCAATTCAAGATGATAAGATTCTTCAAAGAACGGCGGATGTGGTTCTAAGCGATATGTGCGAACCCTGGCTCCAGACATCTGGTTTCTGGAAACGAAGTCTAAGTAATCCTTATAACAGGATGATGAACACCAGCGGAAATAACTTTAGAGACCATGCCGGCAGTATGGTATGTCTCCTGATCCTCACCTTAGTTCACAAGGAATGACTTCGCTAATTGGTCAAGGACCTTTGTCACGCTGCTTTGAATTTCAGCTCGGATGTCCTCAAGGCAGGAGGTCATTTTGTTTGTAAATTTTATCCAGGTGCAGAGGATAAAGAGCTAGAGAAGCAACTTAAGGATTTGTTTCAGAAAGTTCATCGGCTGAAACCCGAATCATCTCGCAGTGTGGGTTGTTCCTGAGTGCAGAACCTTGGTCCCATTGGCTAAATCCGCTAGTAGGAATCCAAAGAAACATTCTTTGTTGGTCTGGATCGCAGATCGTGAGCCGACTCACGATGCCATGTGATAAAATATTGCTCTACAGGTCCTCGGCCTTCTCATTCTCTTCAACTTCATCCCAGTCAATATCCGCCAGTGCCGCTTCGGCCCTTTCTTGAACCTGGTATTATGTCAGAACAAAGACAACATGGGTGATGAGACCACTGCCATTTGGGCTCTCCTACCTCTTTCAGGCCACTTAACTCCTCCACATATCCTGGCTGGTTCAAAGCCCGTCGCACAAAATCCCAACCTTGTTCCTGATACGCAGCTATCACCTTTTCGGAACAGGCACTACAACAGGGATAGCTCTTGCCAGTGACTACGATGTTTTCAAATGTTCCAAGGAACCCACGTATTTGATGGGGGACAAGTCCAAGAGGGTGATCCCCACGCTCATCACGTTGACTGAGGGGAGCTGGCGCAGAAACACCCTCTGGGTGTTGCAAGACTGAGACCAAAAGTTCAACCAGAAGTGCTGAGGCGATGGCGGCAACACCGGGGCGGGTGACTGTACATTGTTGATCGAGCGTTTGATCCTTGATAGACTATATAATGGTCAGCCATGCATCTATTAGATATTTGTGTTGCCGACTTTACATTCGCTGGCGCTACAACATCATTGCAGAAATAGCACCCAAGGTCTGCTGCTTTATCTCCTTCTCCGGAAATTCCATGACGCATTGCCACGAATGAATCAAATCCAAGCGCTGCATTCATCACGATTTTTCCTGCTGCCTTTCCCATGACTGTGGGCAACCAGCGTGACTCTCGAGTATCCATGAGAAGAAAAATAGCATCATGCTCATCAATAAGACCTCTAAGCGTCTCAAAGTCCCCTCGTGTCGCACTTTCATCGAGGATTGGATGACCGGCCATAGGCACAGTAATCTCATAGCCATTGGTATCTACCCCAGGATAGATCGCAGTCAGAGCTTGAGATGCTCGAGTAGCTTTCGGTGCCCCACCATTCAGGCAATCTGTGAAAGTAAACAGCGGCTGCCGAACGGGATTAGAGAATGAAACGCTGCCTTTGTCGACGAAAGTGATTTTTTTTACTCCCCAACCCTGGTATGGTGTCAGTGACCTCCTTAGTTGATCGTAGTTGTATTTTTTCTGTTTGTGTTTCTTACCAACAAATTTCGAGCAACATAGCTCCCTAGCGTACCAGCACCAAGCAGAAGACATTTCGTATGTTTGATCTTTTCTAGATTGAGCGTCGGGCTGATGCGCCATTTCATGAGTTTGAGATTGAGATCGACCGATTGGTCTGCCAGTCTTAAGTTTATAAAATTTAGCTTCCAGGCTTGCAGGGCTTTTTGCAGGGATTCTGTAATACCTAATGGGGTCCATATAATCCGTGAGACTGACAACACGGCCCGCTAGCTTCCCCGCTGGGTTGCGTTCCCAGCCAGTTATTTTTGGTAGCTGGGTCTCGGTTTGCGTCAGGTTCGTTGCGTCTGGAGCCGATCCCGGTTTCAATTCCAGTCGGATTACTACGCTTCTGGATTGATCACGCTTTGAATGCACGTCACGATATCGTAGGATTTGAACTTGATCAAGCCTCCACCGTTGCTTGATTAATACAAGTAGGTTTCGCAACATCCAACCCGGGGCAGTATCATAATTAGATGGATCTGCGAAGCATACATATCGATCCTTGAGTGCGGCACCAGTGAAAAACCCGTTCTCGTATTCGGACAAGCATGCAATCTGCCATTTGCTTTGCGTTAAGGAACCAGAGGATCTTCTTTGCTTCCGAGCCAAGAAAAATCCCCGTTGTCGGTCATCTGTACCATAGCTCCAGGTTTGAACAGCCTCCACAAGGGCCAAGTTGTCATCGGGTGATAAAATTTCTCCTTGGGATGCTGTGGTCATTTCGCTCCGATGGGAGTTGGGCTGGGGCAATGTGGATTCCATCCACGACGGATCGGAGTGGAGGGCAGGGAAGGCAAACCAGTAGTAGAACTTGTACTTCTTCAAGTCGGCAAAGGATAATATGGTAAACGACGAAAGCAAAGAGGGACAGGAGAATATAGTCCCGTCATTAATAGCGTCCCAGATCTAATAATTCTTGGTCAATATAGTAGTCGCGTTGGATTTATCTCACCAAAAAAAATAATTTAAGAATAAAAAGAAAGGAAATCCGTACCATTTTTCCAGTCTGGTGGATCATGCTAGCCTTGTCCAAATTGCGATATTCCTCGATTGTATTGACATTTTTGATCATGCCTTCTGCACGGTACAGCCCGGCGGGTGCTCTACTCGACAAAGATCAGCAAACAACCACCGATATCTTGAGGGAAGGGCTCTTACTCTGCGCCTGTAAGTGCATTCCCATTAATCTGCATTCGACAGGAAGCATTTGCGGAATCTGTAGAGCGAATCTCATACAGGCCTAGGACCGGGCGGGCAGAGTCGTCCAGTTTATCATGATTAATCTTGTGTGAGGCTAGAGCTGTGTAGAATGGCAGCTCAATATCAGAGACAAATGGTGTATACTGCATTTTGATCGCTGAGCATATCTTAGTTTCACAGTATCGATTGTTTTTAGGTGCGCTCTGAGAAGAACATTAAGACCAGGGTTGTGTTGTGATAGGGGAGTAGTATATCAGAGGGGAAAGTGGGGGTAGTGATAGAGGGTGACGTAATCGAGATATCAACACGCGAACCAAATCCTAATTCTGTGTCCGCGTGCCAAAAAAACACGCGTGATCGTCCATTTCTCTTTTGATTTTTGGTCCTTTTTTTTTCTTCTTTTTTGTACCTTTGTTTGTTACTGTGAAGCTTGACGCAGGAAGGAAAGGGTCGCTCGGAAGTCTAGGAAAGAGAAGTGAAGGGTCTCGTGGAATAAAGAAGAAAAGAGAAAAAAAGAAGACAGAAGAGAAGAAAGAAGAGAAAGAAGAACAAGGCCAGCAATTAACACAGAAATGCTTATCGGCTTATGTGGAGGTCAGCACAATTTTGGCTTTGCCACATCTACACTTGCTGAGAGACTGACCATGATCAAGGGATCTGTGCGGGCAAGCATGCCATTGCGGAGTACTTGATCCAGCACCAAGGGTTTCAGCTCTTGGAGCTAGTTAACCATTCACGTCATCGCATTGCCGACGAGCCAGATGATGATCTGCGACTTCAGGCATCGGAGATAAAAAAACACGGAGAGCCTAAAGCCGAATATATGTTTGACACTGCGGAATCTCTCGTAGACTTTGTGACCAAGAGATGGCAGGAGCGTTGGGTGACTACAGACATCTCGGACGGACCGACCCTGGACCGCTTTCTCCTACGGCCGTTTTTCCTTCTCGTGAGCGTGGATGCTCCAGTTAGCCTTCGCTGGAAACGATTCTCTGAAAGGTTCGTTGTCTCAATACATACTACATAGGTGTTATATCACTCACATCCCATCTGCTATAGATGTAAGCGAAGGCAATTGGATCCTCCAGATCTCGAGAAATTCGTCCTGTGGAATGATCGTCACCTGTACCAAAAGGATATTGGGCGAGTCTACCTTACAGAACGGGCCCAAGTGCGCCTTTTCAATTCCTCCTCATCTCTGAACGAGCTTCATCAATCACTCCAAACACTGAATCTAGCGGATGAACAACGACTGCGACCAAACTGGGACCAATACTTTATGCAACTGGCATCCCTTGCGGCACAGAGAAGCAATTGTATGAAACGACGAGTGGGGTGTGTTGTTGTTCGAGAGCGGCGGGTCATCAGTACGGGCTACAACGGTACCCCTCGGCATCTTCCCAATTGCAATGAAGGTGGATGTATGGATAAAACTGGAAGCGATCTTGAAATAACCTCACTAAACTATTATCTAGGCCCCCGGTGTAACCGTGGCGATGGTGGAGGAGTTAGCTTATCCGCCTGTCTATGCCTCCATGCCGAAGAAAATGCGCTATTAGAAGCCGGTCGGGAGCGTATTCGAGAGGGCGCAATCCTCTATTGCGATACGTAAGTTGGGAATATTTCAGATCAAATCTTATACTCACCACCTTGTATTCTAGGTGCCCGTGCTTGACTTGCACCGTCAAAATTACCCAGGTCGGCATCTCAGAAGTTGTCTACTCACAGAGTTACAACATGGACAAAGATGTATGAATCATCTTGCACTCCATGGCGCTTGAACTAAACTTGAACTAACATTTGTTACCCAGAGCGCTGCCATCCTTGAGGCTGCAGGTGTACGCTTACGACAATTTAGCCCGGTAAGTATTCTTGAGCTTTCACTCTTTTCTTTCAAATTTCATTTCCGAAGTTTTTTCTTTCTTTTTTCTTTTTTTTTTTTTTTCGGTGCTAACATGAATCATTCGGAGTGACTAGCCATCCAATGGACTCATATATTTGCAAAGATCTAACTAATCTTTATGGCGACCGTATGTTTGACTCGAAGTAGAGACATACCTTTATCTTGACAATTTCCAATATGAAGTTGATTCTCACCCTGGTATTTATTTACCTGAGTCTCAGCTTAGTAGAATAATAAAATTGATCACATTGCGGTATTTTTACAGCCTTGTACCGTCGAGCTTTTGAGTTTATTTGACTATACTATATACGCATTACTAGAACAACTCCCCCACGATAATGCAATCGAGATTCGAACTAATGGATACTAGTATGAAGGGGGGAAAAATCAAAATCACTGCCTTCTTTTTCTCTCCCTCTCCCCCTCTCTCTCTCCCTCTCTCCCTCTCTTTTCTTCAAATACTATAGATTCATAGTACTTTGAATAATACCTTCAAAGAATAATTTTACATGGTATGTATAGTAATCTACTTAGATCCCCCCTCACATGTATTCGGGATCCATAATTCTGCCTGGCAGAAAAAAAAAAAGAAACGAATGACTCAGCGAGTTAAGTTTGGAGGGGCTCGATGACTCCATTTCTTTATCCTGTGTCCCAAGGTTGTCAAGGTTGTCAGCTTTTGTTTTCTGGGAGAAATATTCATCATGCCCACCGTTCACCTCTTGGACTATGTTGCGGGTAACATCCGTTCCTTGGTAAATGCTATCAACCAAGTTGGATACGAGGTGGAATGGATCAAGTCGCCGGAGGATGTGAAGAATGCGGATGTGCGTCAATCTTTGAACTTCCCCGAGGGCCAGTACATGGATATCTTGCTAATTCTAACTTATGCGTCAGAGATTGATCCTCCCTGGCGTCGGACACTTTGGTCATTGTCTCTCGCAACTCGAGAAAGGCGGCTTTCTGGGCCCGATCCGTGAACATATTGATGCGGGCAAGCCGTTCATGGGTATTTGTGTCGGTCTGCAAGCACTCTTCCAGGGCTCTGAAGAAGATCCCAATGTCCCAGGACTTGGTTTGATTCCCGTCCGCATCCAAAAATTCGATGATTCAACCAAGAGCGTGCCACACATCGGGTGGAACTCGGCATTGAACACTGGAGCCGCCTCGAAAGACCAAAGCTTTTGCGGACTGAGGCCATCAAGCAAGTACTACTATGTACACTCCTATGCCGCGCTTTACGAGCCTGGCGTGCTGGAGAAAGATGGCTGGTCAGTTGCCACAGCTACCTATGGTGAACAGGAGTTCATCGGTGCAATTAGCCGAAACAATATCTTTGGCGCGCAGTTCCATCCCGAAAAGAGCGGAGTAGCAGGACTGCGGGCCATCCGAGCTTTTCTGACTGGTGATCAATTCCAGTCACTTCCCCAGGAGTTGGTTGTGGGCAAGGCAGATGGACTGACTCGGCGCGTGATTGCCTGCCTTGATGTGCGGACCAATGATTCCGGTGATCTTGTCGTCACAAAAGGAGACCAGTATGACGTGCGTGAAAAGAGCGGAGCAAATGCTGGTGGCGAAGTCCGAAATCTGGGCAAGCCCGTTGATATGGCCAAGAAGTATTACGAACAAGGTGCAGATGAGGTGACGTTCTTGAATATCACATCCTTCCGAAACTGCCCGCTTGTGGACACACCCATGCTTGAGATTCTACGCCGAACATCGGAAACAGTGTTTGTACCCCTAACTATCGGTGGTGGTATTAAAGACACCGTGGACACCGACGGCACTCATGTCCCTGCGTTGGATGTGGCGACAATGTATTTCAAGTCCGGCGCAGACAAAGTCAGCATTGGTTCGGATGCAGTTTTTGCCGCTGAGGAATTCTACCTAGCTGGCAAGACTCTGAGTGGTCGTACAGCAATTGAGACAATCTCCCAGGCCTATGGAAAGCAAGCTGTGGTGGTAAGCGTGGACCCCAAGCGTGTCTACGTGGACCGACCTGAGGATACTAGCCACCACACTCTTAAAACCGCGTACCCCAATGCTTCAGGGCAGAACTATTGCTGGTATCAGTGTACTGTCAAAGGTGGTCGGGAAACTCGCGATATTGATGTGCGACAACTGGTGCAGGCCGTTGAGGCTATGGGAGCGGGAGAAATCCTCTTGAACTGCATTGATAAAGACGGAAGCAACAGTGGGTTTGATTTGGAGCTCATCAACGACGTGAAAGCCGCGATTAAAATCCCCGTTATTGCTTCAAGTGGTGCAGGAAACCCCGGCCATTTTGCAGAGGTCTTCAGCAAGACCACTACGGATGCCGCGCTGGGAGCCGGCATGGTGAGTTCAAAAAATATGTTGAGCGAAAACGAGAGAACATCCCTGCTAACGTTTATACAGTTTCACCGCGGAGAATATACCGTCAACCAAGTCAAGAATTACCTGCAGGACGACGGATTCTTGGTGCGACAATTCGAATCCGAGCTCTAAATGCTTTATTTACCTTGCTTTCACCTGGATTTTGATTGCCTGTATATAGAGAGATGTCTAGATGCAATTGAAGAGCTATTTTTACACGTACACGCAATAATGGAAACGCGTATTTGCATTTTTAATCGCCATAAAATTAGTAAGTACTAGTAGCTGCGTTCTAGAACAAAGACCTCATGACTACCTAGTAGGGCGGCCTTGAAGCATGCTTCCTAATTCGGAAAGTGCCCCTCGCTTTATGACATAAGCTTATAGGCGGTCAATCAGGCGGTATAATCTGACTTTTCCGCGGTTTGCCACCAACTCCAACTTCAATCTCTCCCTCCTCATCCCTCCTCATCCCTCCTCACCCCCCCCCCTCTTTCAACCTCGTCTCTCCACCCCATCACATCTCCGGAACGTCCGATTCATCCAACTGTTGTATTGTTATTAATTGACACAGATCTGATCTGGCATGGTTTGGCCTTAGATTCAGAAACACTACGGGTTCTACGAGGTTCAGATACATTGGTCTGATTTCAAGTGACGGAGGCAGCTCTGTGAAGCAGCAGAGGCAATTCTTGTATTCATCAGTGTTCTTCATTTGTATGCAGTGGGTTTGCTTGTCCATCCTTATTCAAGGAGAAAAATCATACCCAATCCATCTTTCCTCCCCCGATCGATAGGCCCAGTACTGATCGAGAAATTCACTGCGCTAAATATCCTTGCATCCTGATTTTCGAAGCCATTTTTCTTCCCCTATCCGTTTTTTTCTCTGCTGAGCTTAATCCGGTGCCAGTTGGCCTCAGATTCTCTTGGTCTGCCACTCAACTTCCTGTCACCCTTCCCTTACATCTTGTATGCCGCTGCTGCTCCTTAAGCTTGAGGTCTAATTCTCCGAGGACCAATTCCCTCTCTTTCTTTTTCTTCTTTCGATTGCACTTGCACAGAGACTTCAATACAATGTCATCGTCTGTTCATTTCAAATTCAAGTCCCAGAAAGAACCCTCGCGGGTCACCTTCGATGGCACGGGTATTTCTGTCTTTGAGCTCAAGCGAGAAATTATCGGCCAAAGTAGATTGGGCGATGGGACTGACTTCGAGTTGTCCATTTACAACGAGGACACCAAAGAAGGTAGGTTACGCGACCGATGTTCATCTCGCAATAATATCTTAATAACTGATTCTAGAATACGATGACGATACCACAATCATCCCTCGATCTACCTCGGTCATTGCCCGTCGATTGCCTGCAGCTCGTCCCGGGAAAGGCGGTGCAGCTCGTTATGTTTCGGGGAAAATGCCTGTGAATGCCCGTAACGCATCTCGGACCGAACCGGTCATAAGTCGAACCACGCCGGGGGCTGCCCAATCTGTTAACAATAATGTCTTGGAGCTCACCAATGCGCAAACAGAGGAGGAGAAGATCAACGCCCTCTTCAATCTACAAGCGAGTCAATGGAAAGAACAGCAGCAAGAGATGGCTAAGTATGCTTATTTCTTTCTGATGACCAATACTTGAATAACCAGAGTACTAATTTTCGCTTCTAGTGCAACTCCAGTTCCTTTTGGTCGAGGCCGAGGAAAGCCGGTGAATGTCCCTGACCACCCACCACCCCCCGGGTATTTGTGCTATCGGTGTAGAGAGAAAGGTGGGTCTTTTTTTCCTCTTGTTTTTCCCTTTTCGGGGAAGGGGCAGAGAGGCACATATCATACAATACAGTCCACAACTAACCTTCAATATCAGGTCACTGGATTCAAGCCTGCCCAACAAACAATGATCCCAAATTCGACGGAAAGTACCGGGTAAAACGATCTACCGGTATTCCACGATCTCTTCAGACAAAGGTTGATAAACCAGAGTCTTTGGCACCCGACGGTTCCAGCGATGAATCGAGGAATACGGGGGTCATGGTTAATGCAGATGGTGATTTCGTCATTGCGAAGCCGGACAAGGCAGCCTGGGAACTGTACCAAGAAAAACTGAAGGCATCTGCTGCTGCGGCAGCTGAGGCGGCAGCGGCGGAGGAGAGCAGGGCGTTGCAGGCTCGGGGGTTGGAATGCCCAATTGACAAGAGGATGTTCTTAGAACCAACAAAGACACCATGTTGTCACAGAACCTATTGCAATGACTGTATCTCAAATGCTTTGATTGAAAGTGACTTTGTCTGCCCTGGCTGTGCTACTGAGGGTGTCTTGCTTGATAATCTCACTCCGGATGACGATGCTATTTCCCAGAGCAAAGCTTACGAGTCGGAGAGGGCGGAGGCGAGAAGGGAAAAAGAGAAGCAATCGGTAGTGCTGGATGACCCCACCGCCAACGAGACCCCCGAACATGACTCTGTCCAGGATTCTTTGCCTAAAGAACAGTCCCCAGCCCATCAAGAGGCAGATAACACATCTACCGAGTCGAAGAAGCGTCCTGCTGAAAGTGAACCAGTTGAGGGATCGGAAAGTTCTCATATCAATGTGACAAAGAAACAAAAATCTGAAGATCAATTTAACCAGCCAGATCTCAACCACAACACTAATTCCCAAGAGACGTCAAAAGCGGGTACTATAGGGCCCCAGGTGCCCATGAATCCACATATGCCATTTAATGGATTCGGTGCAATGCCTCCATTTGCAGACCCCAGCTTTAACAACGGGTTTATGAACCCAATGGCCATGGCTAATCCTTTCTCTAACACCATGGGACAAGGCTGGAATCCAATGAATATGACCTTCAACCCTGGTATGTTCGGCGATCAGTCTAATGGATTTCCCAACATGTTCAATGGTGACCCGTCCATGTCAATGTTTCCGATGGCTCAAATCGCCCCATCTATGCAAAATCCCGGGTTTCAAGGTCCAGGGGCGAACGGCTTTTCAAACCAACAGCGAACCACTTTTAGCGGACCCTATCCACGCGAGGAGGACTCGCCGTATTTCCGGCAACCTGTGAATCCTCAACGTCACCAGGCAAGGAATCGCCGAGTGCGACCAAGCGATTACCGGGAACTGTGATGACAAGCACAAATCATGGCGTTGGGGCATTGAGTGCACTTTGTATAGGCAGTCAGGCATTTAGAGCGGCTATTGTCATTTCCATTCCCTTTCCTCTGTTCTCCCTTTCCCCGATTTCTTTCGCATTCTTTTTCTTCCTTTCTTTGCTTTTGATCTTTCTAAGCGAGCCTGTTCGTTTATAGGGGCTTCCCTCCCCCCTCTGGAAGGGCTTGATGTCCTGCTTCTTTCCTTTCCCTCCCCCCCCCCCCTCTCTCTTCCCTCCCCCCATCCCCTTCTACTGCTATCTCTATTATTTTTAACACTATGTGTAAATCTAGCCAAGATCTTAGCCCAGAGCAAATTCACTTTTCCTCCTTCAATGTTCCCTCTCGATTGCGTTTTTCTAGAATCTCGGGCACTTTGCTTGTATGTGGTTTCATTTAGTAGTTACCTAGTCGAGTAGTGAAGTAATTTGGTACGCACTATGATAGAATAAATATTCAATGTTGTCTTTTAGTTACAGATCTGCAAAGACCAAGCACTTCAGGCAACCGTGAAATGAAGTTCAAATGGTAGGATTCTGAATCAATATAAACAGTCACTGGTCAGGTGACTTTCCCCACTCCAGATTCCAGAAAATCCCGCCCCAGATTTCCACACCGCAAAGCATCACCACCCTTCTTCTAGTCGCTTTCAACCTTATGTTCCACCCCCAATCCTACTATTACTCATCGTCTTATCGAAATTATCGAGAAGAAAATATCTACCATGGCGAAATTTATGAATAATCATAGTAGTAGTTGTGGCCAGATGACCGGACTTCTTAATCAAGAGTCCACCGTCCTGGCCAGCTGCTACTCCGTTGAATCATCCACCAAGGTTCACGGCTTCCACTATTGCAGTACCCTGGGTGCCGGTATGTCAGCCCCCCCCCCCCCCCCCCCCGTGATTGTATGTTCTGATTTGAAATTCTCACACTCCCCACCCCCCAACAGGAGCACAGTGGTATCCCTGAGGTCCCTTCGGGGTCTAAAACATCAATGCGAAGTCCTTCCCTCGATCTTCCCACCAGCGTAGAGCGAAGCTGGCCTGGGAATAATTGGCCCGAGTACAAAGGGGAGGCAACACGCACTATTCCGGAAGAGTGTGAGAGACTTTTCTGCGACAAACTGTTCACGACATTCCTTGGTGAGGGGACTGCCATGACACAGGAGTCGCTAGGAATGGGTGTGTTCCAAAATATTCAGGCGAATGACATGAGGCCTATCCATGATCGAATCCGCCGTTGGATTGAAGTGTGGGATTACACTAGTGATGCCATCTACCGTGGGTTTGTGGCAGATGTAGACGGAGAGCAGACCCTCTTTGTATTCCTCGAAGATGGTGCACTTGATCATGGTTTGAAATCTGGGTAAGGAATCCCCCCCTCCCCAATCATGCCATATATTCCAGCTTTGTGATGTTACATGTCAACTGATCGTTCCTTCAATGCAGATTGATAGCCCTCTTCGAACTGGCGGGAATGGATGCGTTTGACTGTTCTCAAATCGTTGCCTGTGTCAAGCGTTCCCAACAGACCAACGAAATGGAGCTTGTCCGGAGCCTTGGATGGTGTGGATTCAGTCTGACTACGCTAGGGCCATGGGCCACAAGCGGGGACTTGGGCCCATCGCTGAGCACTAAATGGCTATTCTTAGTCGCTGAAATCTAGTCGTATGGACCACAAATTGGTCTAGAACGCCCGCGGAACTTGGATTGGGAATTCATCTCTTTTCTTAGTCCCGAATTTCTTCATCTACATGTGACTGCCGTGCAGTTCTCATGTTATCCCTCTTATCTCTTATTCTTCTGCTTAATGATCCAGCAGTTGCTTCCTTCGGGGGGTTTTTTTTGGTCTTCTTATTTCGCAATTTTTTCCTTTTATTTTTTATTTCTATCTGCCAGCAAACCACAAATATATAATACCAGCATTTTGTTTACTTTGATCTAAATTTCCATACAGATACATGTAAGGAACATTTGAAAAATTACCGGACTTTGGTCGACATGTGATCCTGTAGTAGGAAGTCATCCGACCCCGTTTGTGCGAGCTTCAAATGTTGTCATACTACACATGTGCAGTAGCAGCTTTCCATCCCTAGCTTCTCTATTCCGTTACGCTAACTTGTTAGAAATTCCTACCCTACATTTTCCCATCCAACCAAGTAAAATATGTCGTCAAAAGACAAAACCAAGTCTTTTACCTTCCCTCGTTTCCTCTTTCCTTCATTCCCTGATAAACAAAATGTGGGGTTCTCCCAGCCAAGCTCCTCAGACCCCACTGCCAAGTGCCTGGGTGGCCATGTCTCCTACCTTCAATGTACGGGATGTGCAGCACAGCTCTGTTTGACATTCCAAATCATTAGTAAAGGTTTTACAGGTCGCCATGGCCGTGCCTATCTTGTCTCTGCCGAGTCGGCGGCAGCTGTGTCAGTCAGCGCATCTTCGTCCCCGACGGCCTCCCTTCCCAACACCATTTTGCATCATCCAGTTCCACGGCAGCTAGTAACAGGAGCCCATACGGTCAGCGATGTGAGCTGTGAAATTTGTGGCAGTGTGCTAGGCTGGAAGTACGTCGCTGCCGAGGAAGAATCACAGCGATATAAGGTGGGCAAGTTCATTCTCGAGACCAAGCGGATCACCACCTCATCATGCTGGGAATCCCCATCAAAGGTGAATCTGCCTATCTTTGAGACACACCAGGAAAGTGGACATGAGCCAGATTTCCTGGAGCCCGACTTCGACAGTCAGGATGAGGATGAATGTGAGGACCTCTTTGCCGGCATCTGGAGCCCAGGCCTGGCTACATGTCGCAGAAGCCGTAAAATTGAACGGCGACCCACGATGTTTGGATTGCCTTGAGATACCAGATAAAGACATATTCAGGATGATATCTGATTCCTCCTTTTCTTCCTGTTCTTCCTTTTCTTGTTCTTGTTCTTGTTCTTTTTTTTTTTTTTTTTTTTTTTTTCAAAAGGTGAATACAATAAAGTGGATGAGCTACCATACCCTTCATCCATTTTGTATACATCTAAACATATGTACTCGGGCTAGAATTACATATGTAATTTGTTTATTTCTTACCCTTTCCCTATTCGTATGCATGCCTACCCTGTCTTCCAAGTTTCATGATCTTGGTGATCCCTCTCTGGTGATACCTAGGGGATTTTATTCTAGAGACGACAGGAATCATGATGACTCTTCAAACATCTGGTATTTTTATGCAACCACCTGCATTATCAGGGATAGTGCGAAAGGAGATATTAAGAAAGCGAAAACCAAATCTCAAGTAATGCTTGATTGTATCGGGTTTAGAAATAAATTTTTTTTTTTTTTAGTTATTTAGTGGAGGAAGTGTCGTCCACACGTGCACGTTTTGAGTCACTTTCAGAAGGAGCATCTTCAACTGAGCGTTTTGATGCAGTAGACTGTGAAGCAGGCTGTGCTGCAGGCTTTCGGCGAACTAGCGAGGAAACATCGGTGGCGCCTTTGTTGGCAGAGTCTAACCGAACCTTTTGATCATTGGCGGATTGGCCAACAATTTGACCAAGAATACCTTTGAGAAAAGCTTCATTCTCTTGATTGCCCTGATCAACGGTCACAGGGGAGCGTCGGAGATCGATCAGCTATAAGAGTATGTTAGCTAGCCCTAAATGATACATATTTCTGCGTGGGGATGATTGAGATTATATGCTTACCCGTTGTTCCATATCCGCGATGATCTCTTTGACATTTGCAATTTTCCTCTTCGAAGCAGTCAACTTGTCTTCGTCCATGTGCTTTTGGATCTCAACCTTCTTCTCCTCGTGGGCCATTCGGACTTTACAGCTCTCGATGGCACGCTCCATTTGAACTGCAGCTTCCTTTCGCATTTTCTCGTCCACTGTCTTCTCCTTGTCGTCCTCTGCCTCCTCGTCTTCGTTCTCTCGCGGAACTGATGCAAACTCGAGAGCTAGGGAAAGCTTGTAGTGACACTCGGCAACAGAAGGATCCTCAAACGGGAATAAAGAATATCGTAGATCGAGCGCAGTTCGCAGATCAGTCACCGCATCGCTAAACCTTTCTGCTTCCAAAGAAATCTCGGCCTGGAGATCGTAGGTGTCGGCTAGTCTTTCTTTGATATGCTTCACTTCTGTCGAAAGGTCGGTTGATTTGCCCTTGGCATTGTCGCTTTCTTCTACAGCTTCGAGTTTTTTCAAGTAAAGGATACGCGCCAGATCCAGAACCTCAAAGGCATTGGCAAAATCGTCTTCGTCCTCTTCATCTCCGGCATCGGCATCCTCCTCATCCTCCTCATCTGAGTCGACAAAGTTCTCGTCGCCCGTAAACTGAAAGAAGGGCTTCGACAGGGGGACTTCGGACTCCGCTTGAACAGGCGAAGATTCGTTGGTCAAGGCGCTAGAGATGGTACCCCGGACCGAGTTCCCACCAGCACCAGTTGCACCGGTAGAAGAAGCATTTGCGGAAGGGGCTTTATTATGTTGACCTTGAGGCTCCCCGGCGACCTTGGATCCCAGCACGTCACTCTTGCTCACAGCGACATTGTAAAGCGATTTTCCATACGCATAGAGTAGATTCGCATTCTCCGGTGAGAGTTCGCCATTTAACTCAGCTTGCAATTCGGTAGCTTGCGAGTAAAGTTCCGAAGCGCTGTTATGATCTTTGGTCGCATCCTTAGCGGTAGCCCGTGTGATAAGATCTTCCAGCTGATCTCGCTTTTCTTGAACAGCTGCAGGTAGCTGAGCAGAAGAATTTGATTGCTTATCAGCCATTGTGTTGATTGAGATATATCAAATTTGGGGAAAGGAGGAAGAGAAACGAAAGAAGAGACAGAGCAGAGGTTAGAGAAGAAAGAGAGAGTAAAGAGGCAATCGGCGATAAGCGATAAGCTTGGATCGCGGTCGCGACGTGTCACGCGTCTAGACTCTACTTTACAATCTACAACTTTGATCTCATGTGTCAAAAGCCCAAGCTTTGAAGGACGACAACTTTTCTTCCCCGTCAAGAAAGAATTTTTCAAATTTTAGCCTGAAGATAATCGTTTTTATTTCAATTGCCTCATATTTGCAACCAAAAAAGGAGAAGCCGCTCATATTCAACCGATCATGGATCCTACATCCACCCCGCGACATCCAGATCGCTTCAAATTGGGGGCTACGGACCCAGTTCCTTCCTCTTCGCCTGCATTTGCGACACCAGCACGACCATTTCGAATGCAAAAGACACATGCTCCGCCAACCAAGACATCTGTCTTACCCATTCTGCTCCCTCCGTCTACGCTTCGACCAGTGGCATTTCGAACATTTACTCGCAAGCACAACCTGACCATCTCATCATCGGCCCTGCAAACCCTAGCAGTGTTTGTGGGAAAGAACTGTGGGTCAGGATGGCGAGAGGAAGGGCTTGCAGAGCGAGTTTTCGATGAGGTGGCCAAGTTCTGGAAGAGAGCTGGAGGGGGCGTCATCGTGGAAGAAGGGAAAGGTGCATCCCTGAAAACAATCCTACAGACCCTCGAGGGAGGTATGAGTGGTGGAAGAGTGGTTGCTGGGAAACTAAGCCCCCAAGATGGATCCGGAAGGTCATTGGGAAATGGCTTGGATGCTGATCGCACAGAATCCATGACCGAAGGGGCTAGACCAGGAGATCCGGACGAGGATGATTCTAAGCTCTCACTGTACCCACGCCACTGGTTCAAGGCTATCGATGCTTTCCAGCTTCCGCGCCTGACATACAATGTTGACAAAAAATACTTCGAGGCGATAAAATCCAAGCCTACGTTATTCCCACCCCCCTCACACAAGACTGCTCTGTTCAGAGATCGCTATAATTTGGTCTATCAGCGCTTGCTTCGAAATGAGACCTTTCAAAGCTCCCTGGGGGTTACGGGTGTTCCTTCTCTGCAGCGATCGTCCTCCAATCTGGCAACTCAACAATCGTACAAGTTAACCCCGATTGCGAACCTCCTGGGCCGAAGTGGTAGCTCGCATCTTTTGTTAGGGCTTCTGTCAATTTCCCCAACTGGTGATTTGACTTTGGTAGATTTAACAGGAAGCGTGGCCTTGGACCTCAGCCACGCACGCATGATCCCGGAGGATGGCGCATGGTTTGCACCAGGCATGATTGTGCTTGTGGATGGGATCTATGAAGAAGAGGAGATGGTGCAGGGATCTTTATTAGGAGGAAATTCTGGAGTTGGAGGTGCCATTGGGGGACACTTCGTCGGGGTATCGATCTGCGGTCCTCCCTGTGAGCGAAGAGATATCTCATTAGGCACAAACAGCCGTCAAGGGAATGGGGAGCTGAGCTCAAGCGGTGGATTTGGATGGGTCGATTTCCTAGGGATTGGGAGTGAAAGAGCACAGGGTGCACGAATGAGGAGGGTTCAAGATAGATGTCTTCGAGGGGAACCAGAGGCAATGGAGGCACCGCCTCGGCTCAAAATGGCCGTCATGAGCGAAATCAATCTCGACAATATGAGGGCTTTGGATGCCCTGCGAAAAGTTTTCAGCACCTACAATGATCTTGCTCTTGCAGACCGTCCACAGACCTTTGTTTTGATTGGAAATTTTGTGCAGAAAGCGATCATAAACGGAGGTGGCCGAGCTGGGAGCATAGAATACAAAGAACATTTCGACTCCCTCGCGGTGGTTTTATCCGAGTTTCCTGCGTTGCTGCAGCATTCATCCTTTGTCTTCGTTCCCGGTGACAATGATCCATGGGCGTCCGCATTCTCTGCTGGGGCTGCATCAACCATACCGCGCCAGCCAATACCCGAGCTGTTTACCTCTCGAATTAAGCGTGCATTTGCAACAGCAAACTCGGAAACAGATCGTTCTCAGACTTCAGAACCGATGGGCGAGGCGTTGTGGACTTCAAACCCGGCGCGCCTCTCTTGGTTTGGGCCTGTGCACGACATTGCCATCTTTCGTGACGATATTTCAGGAAGACTGAGGCGTACATCGATCAATGTCAAGGCAGATAACGACGAGGGAGATGCTACCATGCACGAGGTGCTGGATAATGCACCAACAACTGCCGCGGTCTCCCAAGTGCCGGAACTCCCCAACCGAGGCAAGGAAGCCAAATCAGATACCATAGCACCTGCTGCATCCGCAGCTCGGAAGCTGGTGAAGACTATATTAGACCAGGGGACTGTTTCGCCATTCCCGCTACCAGTTCGGCCAGTTCTGTGGGATCATGCATCTGCTGTCCAGCTTTACCCACTGCCCACTGCCTTGATTTTGGCAGACTCGGAGGCCGCTCCTTTCTGCATGACCTACGAAGGATGCCATGTCATGAATCCTGGACGCTTCCTTCCTGATGGTGCTGTTCCAACAGTGAGATGGATAGAATATGATGTGCTGCGGAGCCGAGGAAAGGTTAAGGAAGAACGATATTAATTCCGATTGATCGCTAATTCTCCATTTAAAGAAAGTAAGGTCGATCAATTGATTGGTCTTGTCAATCTGTGTACATGTATTTTTCTTATTTTAGTGAATGCATATTCATAGAGACGATGATTTTAATACATACTACTATACTACAGATGCGTTGACTCAGTATGTACGAATGTATATCAGAAAGGCATAGATAGGCATGTCACATTCAAAGTCTAGGAGTACATTCCAGGAAAAAGGAGACATGGGTTCCTCTAGCGGATCAAGAAGTTAGAGATGTCCATGCATTAGAGTAATCCCCGCCCCCGCCCCCCAGCCATGAGGGCAAATTAGTCGATTGTAATGACATCGGCATTGCCTAGGATATCTGTTCTTTCAGCTGATGTTGTTTCTAGCATGGCAGTATTCATGATAGGGCCTGCTTCTGGATGTAGCTCGGCTGTGCTATCCTGCTCGGTTTTCTTTTCAGTTCCCTGAATATTAGGCTCGGGAACGCATGCGCCGAGGGACGAATGGAGCTCGAAAAGAAGGTTGCCGATTTTCTCGAGGGAGGATATGGCACCATCACCCAATCCTTGCCAGCCGTCGCCCTTTGAGTTGTAGATCTTGTCTCTAACAATGTTTGAGGAGTGACTGCCTTCGAGCGACTCTGATCGATTAGAATCTTCAAGTAACCACACAATGCGACCCAGCCGCGGTCGTGCAGATAAGCGAAATCGGTAGTTCAATCGAGGGTAATGGAATTGAAGAACCATAGGACTGCGTGCAGTGACATGTACAATTGAAGACTCCGTTGGAGCAGTCTTGGTAATTTGATCCAAACACTGCAAAAGCGGGAAAGTATCGGACATGAATCCAAGGATAGAGTCCACACCGGTTTCTGAGAACCGATGATTCAAGACCACGGTCAGTGGTTCCTGAATGCGACGATGCGGACTGGGACTATCGAAAGAGATCTTCAGGTGTCGGCGGAATAAAGGATCGGCGTTTGACAGACCATGTGAGGCATCAATGAAATCGCAGAGAGAATGTTCTGAAACATCAATGTCGAACCGGGCAGCGAACTTCTGCCCGGGACCGTACAGAAATGCAACCTGGGAGAGAGATAATGACCGGACTTCCATTCCTTGCTTCACCAAGGACTGGAGGATTGAGAGAACACAATCAAACCGTTGCAAACGTTCAAACAGGCCAATCATGATGCACTTCCCAGCTGGGACGACCATGCGGAGTGCAAACCCGCAACCTTTGTCTTGCATGAGAAGCGAAGAATCTGTCTTGGATACCAGAGAAAGAAGAGACTTAACACGGTATCGAAGACTACAATGGGCCACAAGAACAGCTGACTTGTTTTGATGATCCACTCCATGGAAGGAGAGACGTACTGTATCTTGTAGATAGGAGCCATGCTCTATCCCCGCAGGCAATGATATTCGAAGAGACGAGGGAAGTGCAGATGGCTTGTAGCGGAAAATTAGGTCCGGCACCTGAAGATTTGCACCGAGCTGCAACTGGTCCAGGGATGGATAGAATTGCAGGTCGGGCATTTCTGCCAAAAACCGAGCATTAGCATAAATTGACAGCATGCCCGTCAGACCATGCAATGATTCTGCACACGCCAAGTAGTCGAATCCTCGCTGTGTGGAAATCAGAGTAGTACTGACGCGATGAGCGGGCAAGGTGATGTTGGACTCCGTAGACCGAAGTTGAACCAACCACCAGCCATCGCCATCCATACTACTCGTAGCCGCAACGGCCCAACGACGATCCCAAAGGGGATGCGTGAAGAATGCAGAACGCATCGTATTTGAGGGAAACAGGCGACGGATGTCAAGCCCCAGGCTTCGTTGACCAATAGTCTCTAGACCGAGAGATTTGGTGCCAATTTCGACTTCCTCAATTGCAGTGGCACATCGCAGACGGGACACACGAGACAGAAGCTCTTCAATCGCTGACTTATTTGCACTTCGCTCAGGCTCAGGGCGTTCTGAAGTCACTGATGCACTAGACAGAGTGATCGCCCCTGACAAAGGTTCTATGGAGACCCGAAGAGACCGAGAAAATGTTAGCTGAGCATCGAGGAAACATTCGCCAGGTTCCGTGGAAGATAATTGGGCCCGTAGTGAAAGGACATGATTAAAGTAAAGAAGACTCTTGTTCAGGGTAGCATAAGCGGTAGACAGCAGATGCGATGTGTGTAGAGCGATAATGCTCCGCAGAAGGCGTTCCATAGAAAGGTCGTTGGAATCAAATTGAATAGCGTTACTGTTTGCATGTTGACCATCCCGCATCCAGCGAAGCCCAATTCGAGGGACTTCTTTGCCACAATCATTGACAGCATTCTTTCGCACGCCTCTTTGAATACCGATCTCCAACCAACTCTTTGGCCCAACTCTTGCTGGCCAATACTGGACAACCAGTGTTCGATGAAGGAGTTCGATACGCAAGGCGTCCGACCATAGACCTCGAGCAAGGTCTGCGGCCTGTTTAAAAAGTGTATTGATTTTGTTGGTCAAGACCAGGCCGTGAAGAAAATCAAAGCAACCTATCAGACCATCGATATGAAGGATTTCGTTGATTTTAGCATCGAGCTGGTCAAAAATCCTCCCCTTTGGAATAGGGGATGACGGCGAGAAAAGGAATCGAATATCCACGAAAAAGAATTGAGATGTATTGGATTCTTCTGCAACCGAAAGATCAAGTTCGAATTCTCCAGGTACAGTGAATGTAACGCGACCATCATGGACACGATAATTCCGTAAGGAGGGCGGTACTTGGTCATGTAACGCTAACCGTACACTGATGATACGATTAATTTTGTGTAGTTTTTTCAGCGTCGCCTTTGCATTCAAGGGTTTAGGGGGTTTATAGCCAAGCTAGAACAAGTAGGATTAGAGAAGCCATCAACTCAAGCAAGGCATGTGAACTCACATCTGGAAGGGTTGCTACCCGGCCCTTCGAAAGGATTTCCAAGGCAGTTTTAAGATCCGGATTGGCTACCTGTGCTCGAACGAGATCCCGTTTCATCTCGCCCACATATTGTACCGCGGAGGTATATGCTTGATGTCGAGTGCGAATGAAGCCTTGAATATCAATGAGCCTACTGACTTCTGCGGCCTGGCGACTCCATTGCGAGAGAACCAAGAGCTTGATGAATTCGGCCCTCTTGGCATGTGCAAAATCTAAGATTCGCACTTTCTTGTTCACATTTTCCACAGATTGGTTCCCTAGGGGCTTTCCATTTGCTGCTGGAAGAGTAGATGATTCAGAGGAGACTGACATTGTAGACAGTTCCGTCACCAACTCTGAAAGATCAATCCAGCATTGTTGCGCTGCTCGGTTCACAAGTGTACGGAATGGGAAAAACCCCTGTGTGATATGTGGCAACTCAAAAGGTGTTGGCCTGGGAAGTCCCATGTCTTGGGCTGACATTTTGGAAGATTGATTCAAAGCGCCAACGTCTCCCCCCATCCCATTCACATGGACCGGCCCGTTGATGGAAGCAGGAAGTTGATAGGATTTGTCGTGGCTCCGTGCGCCATTTGTCGCCTCATTGAAGCCAGACTGCCGCAAAGATCCATCAACACCGGCGTGATCCATGATGACACCGGGCATGTCTGAACAAATCGGATCGTCGGGTTGGTGTTTTTCCTCTAGGATGCCTTCCCCTCCTGGGCCCTCTTCACCGTACCTAACGAGCGAGCTAGTTCAGTCGCTGTTCTGAGCGCAAACCAGCGGGTACTGGGGTAGGAAGGGAAGCTGGAAGTGAGGACCAGGTGAAAGAAAAATTTCTCAGCCCAGAGCCATGCGTATCACTGGCCGTGTAGAGCAATGGCCTCGATCATAATCAAGGGAGCTGGGTTCACGACCGAAGCTCTAATTGCAGCCCTTGGGATTAAAGAACCCAGAGGCCCGTCAATGATGAAGGTATATGGGCGATTCCAAAAGAATGCTGGGAGGTTGTTCTTTTCAATTGCGCCGAATTTCTGAAAGATGTGATCGAAGATGGCCGGTGGGTGTTTGGCGTTTTGTAGGTCGGAGTCGGGACGAAGAGGAGCGATTTAACGTGTTAAACGGTGTGACAGCTGTAAGCGCGGAGGGATAGATCTCAAAGGAACCGGGAATCCTAAGATGGGGCTAGGCGAAAGGAAGGGAAAGCGGTTTTGATGCCGAACGGATGAAGGATAAGGGAAGAGAAAGCGCGCAATGCGCATGTACCGCCTTTGGGGACTGTAGATGCCTTGGTGCCTTGGCCTGTAGCATGAAGTACTTATGTGCTTAGTAACTAGTTAGGTACACTATTCTAGTTATGTGTATTATGCGGTTATGGAAATGTATTGTCCTTACGTTTCCTGGTGTTACTGGTGGTAAAACATGTATACTAATTACCGGTACTGTAAGAAGATGGATGACATATACTCTCTTGTAAGGGGGAGCTCCATCTGCCCCATCTGCCCCATCTTACAAGCATGACCTCACTATCTCTCAGCAGCGTTATTTTACTCAAGATACATAACCTGCCCTAACAATGAGTCATGATGAAACAGAGATAGACGTGGAGGAAGAACTTGAAATCAACGGTCGGACTTCTCTTTACGCTGGCGATGATCCCCGCCCGACCAGCAAGAAGGAGCTTGCGGGTTGGTATTGTTATGGCTGGGCCGCAGAAGTGTTTACCGTATGTGCCATGGGTATGTAGTCAACCCCCCTTGTTCTATCTCTTCATCGATGACGTCCTTTTGAATATTGAACAATCCAGGTTCTTTCCTGCCTATTACCCTGGAGCAGATGGCCCGAGATCGTGGGTTTCTTCTGTCTGACAAAACGACACCATGTAGCCCAACGTGGAATCCTTCTCACCAGGTGACCAATCAATCCAGCTATGAATCTCAAAAGTCAAATACTGGCCAATGTGTTATCTTTCTACTGGGTGCGGAGATCAATACTGCAAGCTTTGCCTTGTATACTTTTTCCTTGAGTGTTTTGGTACAGGCAGTCCTTATCATTTCAATGTCGGGCGCTGCAGACCATGGAAGCTATCGCAAGAAACTTCTGGTGATGTTTGCTTTTACTGGAGCTATAGCAACCATGTTATTCCTTGCCATTGTTCCTCGGGTATACCTTTTGGGGGGGTTGCTAGCGATTGTGGCCAATACCTGCTTCGGTGCGTCCTTTGTTCTACTGAATTCTTTCTTGCCGGTTCTAGTCCGCCATCATCCTTTGGTCATCGAGAGGATCCAGAAAGGACTAGCAGGAGGAGAGGGAAGGCAAGAAGTGAATGCTTCTACTCCACTACTCCAATCCATCGATAATGATGGGCGCGCGGCGACCGGTATGGCATCCCTACAACTCAGTCTCTCTACCAAAATATCATCATTTGGAATTGGGATTGGCTATATTGGTGCTGTGATTTTGCAAGTCATATCCATTGCTATCGTGGTCATCACCCAGCAGACAACTTTTTCACTCCGCCTAGTCTTGTTCTGTATCGGGCTGTGGTGGTTCATATTCACCATTCCAGCAACCCTATGGCTGCGCAGTCGACCTGGTCCACCCTTGCTAAGCAATGGGAAACCCCTTCACTCATGGCCGGCATACATGGCCTATGCCTGGCAGTCACTTGGGAAGACGGCTATGCGGGCAAGGCGCTTAAAGGATCTCCTCCTCTTTCTTGCTGCTTGGTTTCTTCTAAGTGACGGGATTGCTACGGTCAGTGGTACCGCTGTACTGTTTGCCAAGACCGAACTCAATATGAAGCCCGCGGCGTTGGGGCTCATTAATGTGATTGTCATGCTTGCCGGCGTGTGTGGCGCCTTCTCCTGGAGCTACGTGTCAAGCCTACTGCGTCTTCGTGCGTCACATACCATCATCGCCTGTATTATTCTGTTTGAGTTGATTCCACTGTACGGGATCCTTGGATTCGTCCCGTCCGTTCAGCGCTTGGGTATTGGCCTCCAACAACCATGGGAGATGTATCCACTGGGAGCCATTTATGGCCTAGTCATGGGTGGTCTGTCGTCCTACTGCCGAAGCTTTTTCGCCGAGTTAATTCCACCTGGACACGAAGCGGCCTTTTATGCTCTGTACGCCATCACCGACAAAGGATCTAGCATTTTTGGCCCCGCAATTGTCGGTGTTATAACTGATCGATATGGTGAGATTCGACCTGCTTTTGTGTTTTTGGCTATTCTGATATTTCTCCCCTTGCCACTTATGCTACTTGTGGACGTTGAACGTGGAAAACGAGATGCACTCGAACTTGGTGCTGAACTTGATGGCCTGTCAGCCAACCCGGGCCATGACTCTATCGCCACCAGAGCCCCAGGGGAATAAATGAATATATGATGCCATTTGAGGTTTGGATGTAGAGTAAATTATTTTATCATTATTTTTTGTGATTGATTTTGTTTTTTCGGTCAATTCTATCTGCTTGTTAATTCAGGTTTTCATGTGAAACTCTTGGCTTTGTTTGAATGCCTTCTCTTTCTCTTCGTCGTACACCCACTACATACTATGTAAATATACATTGTTAATACCATTCAAATTACTCAAGTGCTGTGTTTCTGGATCAATTGGCATAAGTCATTGTGCATTCAAATATTTGAATTTGATTGTTTCTATAGAGTCTGAACGCTATGTTCAAATGTTTAACGTCTCCAACGTCAATTTTTCTCTTGTTTTCATTCAAATGTTTTCTTTTCTTCTTTACTTCCTCTTGCCCCCCCCCCCCTTCTCTCTTCTGGCCTGTTGTACAACATTCTGCCAAGCGGCCCTCGGTCACCATCATTGAGAGAAAATTCTACTAAATGGTTTACTACGTGTAACTTATGAAGTTCAGTGTGGCGCTGAAGCTCGGGTTAGTGTGGCCTGAAGTAAATACCATCACGGTACTAGACCCATTCGGACATGTATAGTCAACATTTGAAAGGATTTCTGTGTCATTCTGGGGTTACTTTGAAGTTCATAGTTGGAGCTGCAGGATGTGTAGATCTTTGCAGAGTATGGACAAGCCTTGAAAGGTACAAGGTACCAAGCTGATACCTAAAGGGCGTTCCCCTTGCGTGGGGTACCGCCCTGCATACTGTACCCAAAAAAAGAAGCTCCACAGCCAAAGCCAAGAGAACAAACTGTCCTCAACTTCGGCCCCAATCACATTATCTTAAATAATCATACTTCCTTGGAACTTCCTTTCTCCCCCAAATTCCCAGCTTGGTAAGTTTATATTGTTTTGATTTGCCTTCCAAATATAAAACACCAGGCTAATACAAATCCTGATAACTCCAGCTCTAGCTTGTGTTGCGCAAGACACTTCTACATCCATCATGCGGTCCTTTACTCCTCTAGTTCTGAGCCTTTTGGGTGCCACCACCGTGGTCTCCGCGACAGATGCCGAGCCTGCCCCCAACGTGATCTCCCTCACAACGGATAAATTCGATGATTTCGTCAAGGAGCACGACTTGGTCCTGGCTGAGTTCTATGCTCCCTGGTGTGGTCACTGTAAAGCATTGGCCCCCAAATACGAAGAAGCTGCCACCGAGCTGAAGGGCAAGGGTATCCCTCTGGTCAAGGTGGATTGCACCGTAGAGGAGGAACTGTGCCGCACTTACGAGGTTGACGGTTATCCAACTCTGAAGGTCTTCCGGGGCCCCGACTCACACACCCCCTACGGCGGTGCTCGTCAAACAGACTCGTGAGTTCTTGAAATGCTGACCATACCCCGGCTTGTTGACCCATCTACTTACAATCCATCTTGCTAGGATCGTTTCGTACATGACCAAGCAGTCAATGCCCGCCGTTTCCAGCGTCACCGAGGAGACCTTGGAAGAATTCAAGGCCCTGGATAACATTGTTATTGTCGGTTATGTCGGTTCCGACGACCAGACATCAAACAAGAGTTTCACTACCTTCGCCGAGGCCCACCGCGATAACTATATGTTTGCCGCCTCTAATGACGCCTCCCTTGCCAAAGCCGAGGGTGCCAAGCAGCCATCCATTGTGCTGTACAAGGATTTCGATGAGAAGAAGGATGTCTACGACGGCAAGTTCGATGAGGAGTCTATTATCCAGTGGGTGAAGACCGCCAGCACTCCCCTTGTTGGTGAGCTTGGTCCCGAGACTTACGCCAAGTACATGTCGGTATGTCGAAAGTAGAATGTTGTCCACTAAACCACTAGATAACTGATATTCGTTCTTCCCCCCTAGGCTGGTATTCCCTTGGCCTATATCTTTGCCGAGACCGCCGAAGAGCGCGAGAAGTTCGCTGAGGACTTCCGCCCGATCGCTGCCAAGCACCGTGGAGACATCAACATTGTTACTCTTGATGCCAAACTCTTTGGTGCCCACGCTAGCAACCTGAACCTAGAGCCCGAGACTTTCCCCGCTTTCGCTATTCAGGACACGACCAAGAATGCCAAGTACCCCTACGATCAGTCCAAGAAAATTGACGCCAAGGACGTTGGCAAGTTCATCAAGGATGTCATTGATGGCAAGGTTGAGCCTAGCATCAAGTCCGAACCTATTCCCGAGACCCAGGAGGGCCCGGTCACTGTGGTTGTGGGCCGTAGCTACCAGGAGCTCGTTATTGACAACGACAAGGATGTTTTGCTTGAGTTCTATGCTCCGTGGTGCGGCCACTGCAAGTCGTAAGTCCATATCTGTCTCCCACATTCTCACCACAATCCCTTTTAACGCTAGTCTAGACTTGCCCCCAAGTACGACGAGCTTGCTTCTCTGTACGCCGACGTAGCCGAGTTCAAGGACAAGGTTGTTGTCGCCAAGATTGATGCCACCGCCAATGATGTCCCTGACTCCATCACTGGCTTCCCGACCATCAAGCTGTACCCTGCTGGCAAGAAGGATGAACCGGTTGAGTACGAGGGATCTCGCACTGTTGATGACCTTATCACCTTCATCAAGGAGAACGGAAAGTACCAGATTGATGGGTCGGCCGAGAGTGCTAAGCCTGAGCAGGGCGACGAAGAAACCGCCCCTGCCTCGGCCTCTGACAAGGCCACTGAGACCCCGGCGTCTGAGGAGGGCCACGATGAGTTGTAAACCGGTCATCTGCACCCGTACATCGTGACGAGTAGTTTTCACCCCCTATTTCTGCCATGATCGCGACGCCTTGTATTTCCAAATATGACACATCAATTTTGATTCGTTTAAAAACATATTCGACACCGGCAGAGGTTCATTCTGCGACCTGTAATTTTCTCAAAGAAATCTCATTTTGTTAAACAAGAAAGAGGGAGAAAGACCCTAACAGTCTTCACCACAATGGTAATGATAAAGAAGTCATAATAATAACGTCAGGACTAAATCATAAAACCTGCAGAATACGGGGCATCAAAGTCTACAGGTATACTGTCTTAAATACTACGGAACCATTTTTGTTAATTTTCCGATGAATTTAGTCAGCTTCTTTCCGACGCGTCTGACGAGTCACGTACAACGCGTCGATCGAAAATCATTTGTCAACGGACCTCTTGAAAAATCTTTCCTGGTAGATTTGAAAACAGGCATTGTTTAGTATTCTTTTTTTGTCTTGTCCAATTCCTTCGTTCGCCTGGCCTCTTCAAAACTTTCAATCGATATGGTTAGCCCAACGCTGAAGCGGAACGCGGATCACCTCCCCACCCCAGCTTCGGACTCCAAGAAGCCAAAGGGAGGGAGCATTACATCTTTCTTTGGTGTTCCCAAGCCAAAAGTGCTTAGCACACAGGACACTGGAGTCGCACCACCTCCCCGGTCTAGCTCTTTCGATAAAGATAAATGGGTAGCATCCCTCACTCCAGAGCAAAGAGAGTTACTGCAACTCGAGATTGATACACTGGATGAAAGCTGGCTTGCCCATTTGAAGGATGATATCACCACGATTGAGTTTCTGAATTTGAAGCGATTTCTGAAAAAGGAGATGGACTCCAAGGCCAAGATCTTTCCTCCAAACGAAGATGTCTATTCGTGGTAAGGATGTCCTCAAAATCCTACTTCTATCAAAAATGTACTGAACGAGCAACCAGGTCCCGACTCACCCCACTACACACCGTTAAAGTAGTAGTTGTGGGCCAGGATCCATATCACAACGACAACCAAGCTCATGGACTGGCATTCTCGGTTCGACCTCCGACCAGGGCTCCACCGTCATTGGTCAACATTTACAAAGGGCTCAAGAAGAATTACCCTGACTTCATCCCACCACCAAACAACGGTGGCTTACTTACCCCCTGGGCCGAACGAGGCGTGCTGATGCTCAACACTTGTCTTACGGTTCGTGCACACCAGGCTCATAGCCATGCTAACAAGGGATGGGAGACGTTTACACAAAAAGTCATTAATTTGGTCGCTCGAGTTCGAACTCGTGGGGTTGTATTTCTTGCTTGGGGAAGCCCTGCCGGGCAGCGGGTGGCTAAGATTGACCGCCAGAAACATTCTGTGCTCCAATCAGTACACCCAAGTCCCCTCAGCGCACATAGAGGATTTGTGAGTTCTTTCTTCTGCAATCATATTGTCTGGTTGGTCACATAGAGTTAAATACTTTGGAGACTGACTTTGATGCGACTAGTTTGACAATGGTCATTTCAAGAAATGTAATGACTGGCTTGCCTCACGATATGGCGATGACGAGGTGATTGATTGGAGCCTGGTCCCAATAAAAGTCAAGTCAGCTGGTTCCTCAGAGAAAGAAAATCTGCCAACTTTGGTCAATGTCACATCAACAACCACCAAGGTATCGAGACCTCCATGTCCCGAGGAGGACTCGAAAGCTATAGCTTGCCCTATCGACGAATTCGACGATGCGGATGCTCTTGAAGCCTTGGCAGCATTTGAAGAAGACAATGAAGAAGAAAAGGAATAAGGACCGGCCAAGCTTGTCCCAAGTTGAGCAAGTGCAGATGCTCCGAGGATCCCTGGCTGCGGTTGGAGTATTGTAGTATCTAGGAGCAAGAAAATGCCTCTCTCTGTTGGGAGGCACTATGCCATTTCTCATTCAAATCTACTAGTAATAATATGAACATCATAATCAGCCTAGAAATTTTCTTATTCTCGATTTATTCTAGTATAACTCAATCATGATGGTATACCTGAAGGCGGTCTGGCCTGGCTGCTCTTATCGATAAAGCTTCAATTTCTCTTTTCTCCCCGCACGAGATGACTATGACCTTGCTATTGTCTCGATGGAACTTACATGGCAAGCCAATACTCCCCAATGGCGGAGTAGAACTCGGGCTGCACGAGCTTGTCCGACCTGTCAACGACGAAAGGTGCGTCGATGGGGCACGAAAATCAAACATTTAAGTACTGAGAATCTCCATAGAAGCGATGCCGACACCTAGCGCCCATTTCAGTTGAGGGCCAACCCCAACCAAGACACAATACTACCAATAAGCCTGATACGAGTCACAATGCTGCCAGTCATTTAGATCGCCCGAATTCACCTGCCCAATGTATTGCAAATTGGCAGAGAACCTCATCAGCAGATCCAGCTCTGCAATCAACCTCCAACACGGAGCGATTTGTAGGAGACTTGAACCCCGAAGCTTTCATTCGAGAGAAACTGGATGAGACAGCTGGGAATCGTCTCCGTGACCGAGTTGGTCTCTGGATTAGCTCCCCATCCATAAGGGGGCCTGATCATGATGTGCGTGATTCGCGAGATGCTGCTGGCAATGATACCTTTTCCGCACCACCGCCATCATCATCCCTGGACCGACGGGTAGTTGAAATCTTATTAAATCAGCGTTGCTCATCTGCGATCCAAGCATGTGAGCAGCTTCCCAAGGCAACTAGGGAGTCTCTTACGGCCATATATTTTTCCAAGATCAACCACACAATTCCTCTACTAGAGATGGAGTCATTTGTCAATGCTCAAGCCCAAGGCTCTGTTTCTATTTTCCTTGAGCGTGCCATCTGCCTTATTGCAGCAAAAGACCCCGAGGCGCCCTCAGGTCTTCGCCTATTAGAGGAAGGGCCGATTGTACCAACGCGTCAATTCTGCTCTAGCATCCATAATGGACTCACAGTCGCTATGGATATGGAACTAGAGTCTGACCGCTTGACTCGTATCCGTATTCTTGCTTTAATGTCTTTGCATTTTGAAGGAAATGATGGGGGGGAGGCCGCATCTTTGCATCTTTGCAAGGCTATTCATCAAGCTCAAACAATAGGTCTACATCTTGACCGGCCGGACCGGACATCTGAAGACCCCCTTGTCAAATTATTCTGGGGTCTCTGGACCTTGGATAAAATGCATGCAAGCATTGGCGGTCGTCCAGTTCTTTTGGCCGACCGCGACATTGGGATTCCAAGACCAAAAACTCCCCCTCGGGGAGCATTTGGCGTGTGGCTTGCCATATCGGATTTACTTGCCACCGTCATATCCTATTACCGGCCATCCGCCGTAATCACTAGCGGATGGGAGGAAGGATTTCCGGCCTTCGAAGATATTGTAGGAGACGCCCACAGTGATTTGGATTTCTCGGCCCTTGGTGCGTTGGACAGCATGTCGGGTTTTATGATGGAAGCGAGACCAATAAAAAGCTGACTGATCCACAGGGATTTTGGAGTTGTATTATCATTGTGTTGCTATCTTGTCATGCCGGTACAAATTGACGGACGGTCTTGACGGTGCCAAGGTTTCCTCCATTCGGCAAGGTCTCGCAGCAGTTCGGATTCAATCCATTGTTGCAACAGAATGTACGGGCCGGCTACCACCTCTTCCTATTGTACCCTATGCAATAGCCTTGTCGATGAGTGTATCTTATCGGCAACTTCGATCTAGCAAGCTGATCACCCACTTTAATCGAGCCAAGGCCAGCTTGGAGGCATGTTGCTGTTTACTCGAAGATCTCAGTCCTCGCTGGTCTTCCGCTGAAGCAATGGCCCGCCTCGGCCAGAAAGCTTTACAGCATATTGGCCTTGAAAAATCACAATATGCACGACCGAAGACGATTTTGATGCCACAGTCTCCCCACTTGCATTCTCCCTACCCGGAGCCTGTTGACCCGTCCCACGATAATGAGCCCCGATCAAGCCTGGGTGAATCGGGAGGTGATGCCGGTGTATCAGATATGGGCCTTGCGCCTGTGATTTCTATGGAAAGCTCTCTTCCACCTATGGATGATATCAATACTTCGATGCATGGGTTTTCCGACATTGATGCCCTATTTGGCGAATTCCTAGATCTGTCCCTTCCGACGAACTTCTGGGATCCCATCTTTGCAGAGGCAGAGTCAGACAATCAAGGGTCCTGATAGCCACCGTAGAGAAGAAAATTGGTGAAATTCTCCTCTGATCACGATCCACACAGCAATACTCAGTATGGCCCACGAACCTGATTGTCAAAGCCGTTTATCTCTTTGGTGTCATACTCACGATGGGCCAATCCGAAATGGTTTATCTGCCAAACTCAGGATTACGTCCCACTCTTCCAACGTGGTAGATCTTGCCCGTGTGGTAGTATTCTGACTTTTGCTCCACCGAGACCTTGGAATCTCATAAGGCTATAAACTCCATGAAAATATGTATAGATGAGGTGTATTTAGCGCGGATAGATAAGGATGAATAAAGTATGAAGTGACTGACATCTCGGTACTGGCTTTCTAACTAACGTAGTACTAGTAAGTTGAATGATGGCATATCGAAGGATCAAGCGGTGAACAGCTCAAAAGGCGGTGTCTGAAGCGGTGACCTCGAATGTCACGTACCCTAGTAAGCAGTGTACGAGTTACCTTCAAGTTAGTACTATGTAATACTGCCATTGTGGCCCCAATAGCCTGCTGCCCATGCATCATAGGTAACACACAACCTCATCTATCTCCCCGCTCCCACCCCCAGCCTCCTCCACAGCCTCTTTCCTCTCCTCCCTTTTTTTTTCTTTTTCTTTTTCGGGTCTCTTCCCTCCTTCCACCCCTTTCTTATCTATCCCTTCGAATTTTTCCTGTTTGCTGCAGAAAATAAAAATCCACCCTTCCTCTTCTTTCCCCCTCCCCTCATCTCTCCCAACCAGACCAGGTGCTCGCTTTGAAGAGTTCCACCAACCTCTCCATGGCTCCTCCTCCACCCGCAACCCTGCCTCTGGCCGAGCGACTGAAGGCTCTGGCTCAAACCCTCCAGTAAGTGTTCCCTGTAGCTGTGTGAAGCTTCAATGATGATTAGTCGGTGCTAATACAAATTCTCACTGCAGGTTTGCCTGGTTTGTCGGGTATGTCGTACCTCGGGAATTCTGCCCATAAACGCTCTTTCCAGGAAGGATCGATCGCTGACCGTATACAGCCACCTCACACTTTTGCTTTCTGTCTTCCGCTACTCTCTATCCTTCATCTTTTTCAATTACTATTCTTCGGCGGCACAGATCGCCTACCGCCTAGCGTTTATCTCGGCGGCTGTGACCTATGGAATCGTCGTGTACAAAGGCCACTTCGCCCGGGGCGTCCAGGGAAATGTGCCGACCATCGTGACAAAGCTCATCTCCGATGAGAATGTGCAATATCTTGGTGAGTACCCGGCGATAATCATTAGCATGTGACAGGAAACTGATTTGTCGCAGGAATGGCTCTCGTCTGGTTGTACTCGCGCCAGCTTATCCTGGCCCTTCTACCCTTCAGTGTCTACTCAGTCTTCCATGTTGCGACCTACAGCCGCACGTACCTGATCCCCACCTTGCAACCCCCGGCTCCGGGTGCCGCGGGCGCAAACTCGCCAAGCTCGCCAAGCTCCAAGCCTGCAACCAAGCAGAATGCCCTCGCCGAGACTATCGGTCGATTCATTAAGCAGTACTATGATGCTAGTATGGGTGTTGTTGCCACCCTTGAGATTTTGCTCCTCTTCCGTTTGATTCTTTCTGCGATCGCCTTTTCGAAGGGTAGCTGGGTTCTGCTGCTGGTTTACCTGTCTTTCTTCCGTGCTCGCTACGCCCAGAGCTCTTTTGTTCAGCAGGCCGTTCGCCAGCTCACCGCCCGTGCTGACGCCTCCATCTCTCACCAGAGCACCCCCCCTCAGCTCCGTCAAGGCTGGGAGGCATTCAAGGGCATTGTTCGTCAAGCTTACGAGGCTACCGACATAAGCCGCTATGTCTCTGGCCCTGCTGCTGCCAACAAGAAGCCACAGTAAGCAACTGTCAGATCACGCATTGGACACGTTTGTCGATATGATCCTTTCCTGGAGCATATTGTTTCGTGAAAGACTTGAGACTTCGGGATGAAAAATCTCGGTGAGCTATTCCGGCGTGTCTTTCCCCTATATGTACTGGCTCATGTCAAATTGAGAGGAGATGAGTGGATTGAGTGTGAGTGGAACAAGAAAAGGTTCCCTTGTAGAAAAGAGGCGGACGTGGAGGATTACCGCCCTGATGATGCTATACGCAATGCAATGTCATGTCTTCCTTTTTCATCCCTTTATTCTCTTTTCATTCTCCAGATGCAATGTTCTTGTATCCATTGCGTATTTTTCTTGTTTCGAATGTTCGGATAGCCATGTTTATTAAGTTCACTTCACATCGCAGATTCATCTGGGCTTTGTATATGTATATACAGGTACATAGTACTATACAGGTGTATTAGGACATACATTGGATTTTTCGGATAATCTAGGTACACATTATCTTGAAATGAAAAATGTATAAATATTCTAGTAGAACAAGTTTTTTTTTTTTTTGGTAAAATTCTAGGCCATGACGTAGATCTGTATCTTCATGATTGATGCCTGATTACAGGGGCATTCACGGGGCGGAGAAAAAACATCGCCGGCCAGATTTTTGATCTCGGCCCCGAGGACCCCGGACATATCTCCCTCATATTACTCTCAACTTTCTCTCTTGTCACTCTTTGTACCTATTCCTTACCGGGGGTGATACCTTTTCGTTATATCTCGCCAATCTCCCCAAAATCACCCCCCGGTTCCCGCGCATCCCGGGACCAAAGTCTCTCGGCGCATAATTGCCATGAGCCTGACCTCGCGAGTGTTCGGTCTGTTTTCGACAACGGCAACTTCGGACCCTTCGACCAGTGATCCTCCCACTTCTATCCCTCACACGCCATTTGTAACGCATAATGAGATAGCCGTCGGTACCGTCCGCCATGCGCGGGACAGAGATGTGCTAGAGGACGAAGAAGAGCCCCGTCCGCCGTACCTACATGTGAGATTTTGGAGCATTTACACACCATTAAGATTATGACACTGACCCTCATATTTGGTAGGCAATGTTGGCTGGAGGAATTGGAGGTACATGCGGTGATATGTTAATGCATTCGTTGGATACCGTCAAGACCAGGCAACAAGGCGACCCGACCTTTCCTCCGAAATACACATCCATGACCTCGTCCTATGCAACCATCTATCGCCAGGAAGGATTTTTACGAGGGTTATATGGTGGTGTGATCCCCGCATTTTGGGGTTCCTTCCCAGGAACGGTCACCTTTTTCGGCGTGTACGAGTTCACCAAACGTGTGATGCTCGATCACGGAATCAATCCCAACATTGCCTATCTCTCCGGTGGTTTCTTTGCCGACTTGGCTGCGTCGATTGTTTATGTGCCTTCGGAGGTGCTCAAGACCCGGCTCCAGTTGCAGGGCCGATACAACAATCCTTTCTTCCGTTCGGGATACAACTACCGCAGCACCACCGATGCATTCCGAACGATCGTGCGCCAAGAAGGTGTGTCAGCCCTGTTTCACGGATACAAGGCCACTATTTTCCGAGACTTGCCATTTTCTGCTCTGCAATTCGCCTTTTATGAACAAGAACGAAACTTAGCTAAAGAATGGGTTGGTCAGCGGGATATTGGGTTGGGTCTGGAAATCCTCACCGCAGCGACGGCTGGCGGTATGGCTGGTGTGATTACCTGTCCGTTGGATGTGGTGAAGACGCGTATTCAAACCCAGCAAAATCCTCCGGTAAACCCCACTGGATCATCTGGAGCCAAACACAGCGGTGATCATACCCCGAAAGAAAGTCCTCGACCACATGCTCCTGGATCATCCCATTCATCCTCGAAAACACACACGCGACCGATCTCCACGTCCTCCCCATCTACATCAGTTGCACCCCCTGGTGCGCCACGATTAGATACATCATCCGTATTCACGGGTTTGAAGATGATCTACCGCACAGAGGGGCTTGCGGGGTGGTTCCGCGGCGTGGGTCCACGCGGCGTGTGGACCAGCATCCAATCTGGAACGATGTTGGTCATGTACCAATACTTACTTAAACAAATCGAGGCTTACCAGGGCCTGGAAGGCTCATCTCTGTGATATCCGAGAATTTTACCTGCATACATTTCTCGAGAGGAAGGAGACCTTATTCATTGGCATGGCGTTTTTTTGTTTTGTTTTTAAAGGGGAGTTTCTTCATCTTCCTCCTCTTCCTCTTCTTCCTCTTCTTCTCCCATTCCTCCCTTCTCTTGTTCTCTTGTTCGAGTGTATCACCTTGTACTTAAACCCCCTTTCCCGATAGAACTTACATAGAACTGACCTTAAAATGGTCGAATTTGTACTATAGATATCTCCTCTTTAGGATCTCGGAATGAGTGTTGTTTCTTCCAAGAAGAAAAGAAAACCCCCTTCAAGTATATCCAAGTAAGAATGTATAAAATGTATAGAATAATCTAACACATGGTCTTTTCTTTCCCCCTTTTTCTTTATTTACAATAAGAATGATACATAATTCTTCAAGAGTTCCCAAGTCTAAAAGGGAACGCGCTAGCGTGGTTTGTTTTGGCGATCCCGCGGGTGTAAACAATTCCCCCCCCCCCAGAGAGCCCAGTCCGATTCCCCTCCTTGCATCTTACCTTCCCCCTCTTAACTTTGTGGTTCTATTAAGTTTAGATTGATCCCAACTTGATCGCATACATCGAACTGTTGATCCCCAGATTATCCTAATACATTCAATATGTCAAACGGTCTGCCTTTTCTGAACAAGTTGCGCAAGCCGGAGCTGGCTGAAATCGCCGAGTCAACCGACCTACAAGAGTATGTTTATCCTACGTCGCATCCCATCACAAATAAGCTAACCTGAGCGTTTTTGAAGCTACGATGACTACAACAAAGCCGAACTGATTGCCGCGTTGGATAAGCACCTCAATGATAATCGCTCCATCTTCTCTGGCGAAAAGAGACTCGCCGAGTTCTATTCACGCCTGTCGGGAGCCACGCGTAGAGGCTCACCTGTGAAGCGCGAACCTCGGGTCGACCTTTCTCCTGTGACCGAGAAGAAGACCCCTGCTCGTCGATCAACGAAGCCAAAAGAGGAGGAGGAGTCCGCGTAAGATCTCACTCCAGCATGTCGCAATGCGACATGCGACAATATGTCATGACATCATTGCCTCCAATACTAACTCACCACTATAGCGAGTCTGACGATGCTCCTATCATAACTCCGGCCGTAAAGAAGACCCTCACTTCCGCTGCGCGTGCCACTCCGCGATCTGTGCGATCTGTTGTTGAGTCAGCAAATGCACAATTCCCCCCGTCGCCTGCCGTGGTGACCGACGCCATTGACCGTCAAACTACGAAGATGCGCGAAGGGTTGGAACACGTGTGGACCAAATCTGGTTTTATTGAGCATTCACACGCTCTGCGCGCAACTTTGAGCAGCCTTAAGGTCATTGAGACTATTTTTGTCCTTGTGGAGGCTGGCTACGTTCTCTACGAGCTTGTACCTCTCCGTTACCTCACCACTACCCCTACCGTGCCCGCCGCATATCTTCCCTCGTTCTCGATTAAAGTTCCCGATCTTTTTGTCCTTTTAACTGGAGCATTCTGGGCTCCATTCACTCTATGGTTTCTCACCAATCTGGGCTTGCCGCTAGTCGCTGCTTACTTCTTCAACTTGAGCTGGCAAGCTGCCACTGGTGGTGCCCAGGGTCCTGCGCGTCGTACTCGCTCAACGCCAACTCTCGCCAGCTTTGATCCCCTATCCTTCAACATCGCTAAGGCTTTGCTGGTGTATAAGGTCTATGTTGAGCATTTTGACTTTGCCGATCTGTTTAGCAAATATGCCATTCAAAAGGTCAACTTCTCTATTCCCGGCCAGTATAGTGGTATGCTGACCGGGACCGCCATTGGTGTCATCGGAACTCTTTACGAGGCCATTCTGCGGCGTTCGTAAATAATCTTCCTGTGTCTGCTTTTTGCTGTACAGGGGGCCTTTTATGTGGCATTGCAGACGAGGATGGAAGTCCTTTGCTAACGACTGTGGACTGGTTCTTTGATATTTCTTCCCCCTCCCCGCGATTTTATTCCCCTCTGTTATGTGACTCTGGTACATAATCTGGCCGCACATTCCACTGGAATGATTAAATCCTGGCCTTTTATCGTACGTGATTGGGGGTTTTTTTTTTTTTTCTCTTTTCTTTTTTGTTATTTGCCTTTCTTATGGTTTGTGGGTTATGCGTCCAGCTTGGTGTGCTTAGGGTATGCGACGATATGTGAATCTCTTATTCTTATTCATTTCTTTCTCTTGTTCTCTCCTTTCAGCCAGAGGCGGCGCCTGGGTTTTGATTCTTACGGTCTTTCTATGTTCTTGGGGGTTCTTTCTTGACTTTGAATGACGCTTGTCTTTACTGTTGACTCTATACCGAATCGATAAGCGATTATGGTAGACTTATCAATGTTTGAGACGATTCATCGGCGACCTGGGGACGAGTTAGGTCTACACATGTATTTCAAATGTGCTCCATCATCTCTTCAGTCTTTGCGCCAACTCCACAGTAAAAAGTACTGGGACTGATGTCGTCACTTCGACCTTTTCAGCTCGAATATGATTACTTGTAGAGATCTGCCCTCCGATCTCAGTATGCCAATCTTGCACATCCCACTCAAATCCCTGGGTGGTGATGGAAGCTGGAGCAGATAGAGGAATGATGCCAACATTCTCTTCGAAAAAATACTCTGCTTCGTATTTCCCATCAAGTCTACCATTTTGAGGCGCTCCAGAGGGTTGAGATTGCATTTCAAAGGCCGAAGCAGCTTTTTCGAGATCTGCACGTCTCGTTGCGGGTGTGAAAATGATATTTCGGCCTTGCTGCAACACAAATGTCATGCTTTCCTCGGAGACTAGATAGAGGCCTCCGCCTGCACCCGGCTGGGGCTTGTTGTCCCCATCAGGATAGAAGTCTGTTTCACTGGCAATGTGGTTGACTTGGCGTAATTGTCGCTGTGCTTGGGTCATCATATACAAATGATGAATTTGCGAAAAGGCCTGATCAACACGGCCACCTAGACCGCCGAGAATAACAATATCAAGCAATGAGTTTGGGCTTGGTTGAGAGGCGTTCTCTAGTTGACCTCGACGAGGATTTGCAATGATCTCCGATGCATGGGTATTGAGGTAATTCAAACATTTGGTAAAATCCGTTGAATATTGGTCCGAATCTTTCAGAATGCTTACTCCAAATTTTTCATAATGCGTTCGTACCGCTGGCTGGAGAGAGTCCAGATCACCAACGATGATATCTGGAAGCTATAACCAGAAAAGTTAGTTGGTATTACTAGAAATCCCATCATGAAGTAGCTTCATCCGAGCACCCAATATTTGATATAACTATCAAAAGTATTGAAGACAGTTCTAACTTACTTCTTTTGACTCTCGCCCTTGGCTCTTCGTTAAATCGTATAGTCTATTGGCACCTCCATCGGCGCATATAACGTAGGAAGCTATATAAAAAAGATAAGAGACTGCTTTGAATTTAAAGCAGTGGTTGAAAGAAACAGGCTTACCATGTTCACTCAATACCTCATATGCCCTCTCGTTGATTGGCTGATTCAAGATCAACAGAGCGTACGGTGCCGGACTGCCCTCGGGACGAAAGAAAAGACTTGGATGCCACTCCATGTCAGATCAAGGAGGTATGAGAGATCAAGGATAATAATCTAATAGTAGTAGTTTCGTTGGTCGGGAATCCAAAGAAGCGTTGGAAAGAGTCGCGTGTGGTGCGACGACCCGCGCAACGTGACTGGCCGCCAATCAACCAAACCTCAGGCCGGAATCCACCTTCTCCTTCCACCAACTTCTCTGTCCGCCGGCGCCAACCCTCTTCTCCTTCTCTCCACCCCCCCCTTCGGAGGTCCTCTACGGTGTCAATTCCCTTCCGACACAATTCTTCACATCATGTTCCGCCCCGCCGTCCGAGCGCTTGCCCGCGCGCCTGCTGTCGCGGCCCGTAGCCCGGCGAACACCCGATTGATAAGCACCGGTCCTGCGCCAAAATCCAGAAGCTGGAAGAATACCGTTGCCCGCTTGGGATTGGCCGGTGGTGCCATCTACTACTATAACACCAGCAGTGTCTTCTCCGAGGAGCCATCATGTATGTGAAAAACGCTTTGCCTTTTCATGTCATGATTCTCGCCTGGCGTCTTCAAGGCCCTGGGATCTTTGAATTCGTCGCATTACGGACCCAATGGCTTGCTGAATCATTGCTAATGACTTTCTCATCTATTCACTAGTCTCCATTCTTGCTTATCTGCAAAAGGATGATGCCCCAAAATCTTCCCAGACCTTGAACTCCATTACCCCCAAGATCCGGGAAGAGCGGGCCGCTGCTCACGCCCAGCAACTCGAAGAGGAGGCCGGACAGCAAGCTGCTTTCAACCCAGAGACTGGCGAGATCAACTGGGATTGTCCATGCCTAGGTGGCATGGCACACGGTCCATGTGGAGAGGACTTCAAGGCAGCATTCAGCTGTTTTGTGTACTCTGAGGAGGAGACCAAGGGCATTGACTGCATTGACAAATTCAAGTAAGTTGTACTCTTATTTCGCGCATTTGAAGCTATGCATTCGTACTTACGAATTTTCAGGGCCATGCAAGATTGCTTCCGTCAACATCCCGATATCTACGGTGCCGAGTTGGAAGATGACGAGGTCGAGGGCGATGCGCCCGCACAGCCGCCTTCCGCTGGTGAGCAGGAGGTCTCCTCCACCCCCGAGGTGAAGGCAATCACTGAGGTCGATGCCGACTCTCTGGTTCCCAAAGCCTCGCATGACGATGAGCAGAAGAACGAGGTTCAAACGGAGAAATAAAGTTCACGTTAATAACCTGCTAATATTCTCTTTTTTTGACACCTATCCTCGAGGCAGGCATCATAACCTTGTCTCCAATTCTCCCTTGGCCTACTATCTCATGCAAGCCAGGGACTAGGATCGGGGTGTGTACTATATTAAAAATCTCTCCGTCTCTGCTGATTTAATTCCTCGTTGCGCCTTTCGACGAAACTCCCCGGCCATTCCCCAATTACGCTTCTATGTGGTTGATCTTGTCCCCCATTGTAACTTAGTGTATTGATGTGCTTTGTTGTTCCTGGATTTCAAAGAGGAAAATAGAATAGACTTGTTGCATCATGAATTTCTATGAATTCCTTCTGTTTTCAATATTATCTTCATTGTGACTACAGATATGTATCCATATTTGACCTCCAACTTTGAAAAAGGACCGACAACTTTCTATGCTGAACATTGAAGATTACATGTATTGAAAACATTTCTGAGTTTCAAGTGCTTGAATGGGGACTTCAAATGTTCATAAAATCGAAACCACACATGCATGTGCAGATGGTTCCTTTTCATTGTTCTTAGTTTCAAATTCAATTCAATGTTTACTGTATCTATCTATGTATTTAGTCTGTTATAATATATAGTACTAAGCAGGTATTCATCTTGAGTACTAAGTATGAAGTACGTAGTGTATACACTTTAAGGTTAGGTACTCCTAGGGCTTCTAGGTGCCTACCTAGAGATATGACTGGAATTTTAGCTGCGGGCGCGGCGCTTTTTACTTGTAAGTATTCACCAACAGAATCCGAACATTGAAGATTCTAGACCGGCTCCAATGTCGCTTGTTCCACCTGAGTAACTTGGTTCTTTTCGTCCGACACTCCTAGCTCTTGGCGGAATTGTTGCTCTTCATCCAGGAGATCGGCAAGAATTTTGCCATGCGCAGTCCACACGGGCTTGTAATCGAAAAGATGGTTCATCCTCTCCAGTGGAATACTCTTGGTCTCCGGTATGAGGAAGAAAACAAAGAAGATGGAGCACAACATTAACGCAGCAAAGAAGAACCAGACTCCAGCTCCCATCGCCGCGAACATCTGGTCTGTGAAACGAGAGATAAGAAAAGTCCAAAGCCAGTTAGAGCAGGCCGCACTCGTTTGAGAGAGAGGTCTCACACTTGTTTCGAACATTTCCTGTTTAAGAATGACAGGTCAGTCTCGTATAAGGGGTATGTGTAAATGGCTTTTATAGTAGTTAAAGGAGAGAAAGAGAGGGAAGAAATAAGACTCACAGAATTGATAACCCATGGGGTTCCATTCCAGGTTGGAGTATAGAAAGCAGTAGAAAGGTAGAAGAAGAAGATGGCAGCAATGCCGCCACTAGTCATCTTTCCTGAGCTGTTCTTTGCAGGGTCGGCAGCCTGAATATAAGCTCCCACAATCCAAAGACAGACCGAGCTTCCCGCAGCACCAATCATGAGTAGACGTCGTCGACCAACCCATTCAATCAAGAAAAGAATCCAGATGCACGTTCCGACAGTTTTCACGACTCCAAACAGGCCCGTTGTGAATAGATCGGTATCGGTGCCCTCCACACCAAGACTCTTGAAGACGGTGGGACTATAGTAGTTGATTGCGTTGATCCCAGATCCATTCTGCCAGAAGAACAACATGCTGCCCAAGAACAGACGATATATGATCTTTCTATCAGACGCGGCAACCTGAAATGGGCTCCAAAATCCGCTACCTGCCCCGGCTGATTGCTCCTCCAGGGTTTGATCAATCATTCGAATTTCTTCCAGGATATAGATATCATGTTCCTCGAGTTGACGCATCCAGCAGAGGTTCTTAATACCTTCTGCCCGACGACCACGGGAAAGAAGCCAACGAGGCGACTCTCGGACGAAGAAAAGACCAATGAGAAACAGCCCTCCGGGGATGAGTTGCACAGCGAAGGGAATGATCCACTGTTTCGTACTGGAGGGAAGGGTATTTTCAACGCCGTCCTATGAACTCGGTTAACATAAGAAAAATAGAGATATGGATAGAAAAGAAAACAAATATCAGTCCCAGGTAAGTAAGTTGGCACTTACACAAATCCAAAACCCGACCAACCCTCCAATTTGCCAGCCCATTTCATAAAAACCGACCAGTCGACCTCGAATGGCAGGGGGTGCCAGTTCCGAAATATACATAGGGGCCATATTGGAGCCCATACCAACGGCCAACCCAGCCAAAACACGACCAGCATAGATCAGAGCTAAGCCTCGTCCCCCATTTGCGCCTAGCATCATACCAGCGCCCAAGACAAAGATCAGGCCAGCGATCCATAGTCCCATTTTTCGGCCCCAGTAGAAGCCAATCGGATAAGCGAACAAGGAGCCGAAGAAAGCACCTGCTTGGTATATGGAGACGATATTTTCACTAATGAGGCTCAGGTGAGAAGTAGTCATTGAATAAAAGCCAAATTCTGACTTGAAGGAAGGAAGAGAGATTGTTGTGCCGATGAAAGCGCTATCGTATCCAATCATACAAGAAGTACAAGAAGCGACAGCGGCAAGAAGATATACACGCCAGTTGTACACTTCCTTTGGCGTGGGCCGGTCTTCTACAAATGAGAGGATGCCCATTTTTGAGAAATCGCTGGGCTGGTGTTCCTCTGCTGGGGGAGATTTGTCAAAGGCTGGATAGATAATTTATTCACCTCCTATGACAGAGGAGTAAGGCGGAGTGGAACAAATTAAAGCTGTAGGGTTTGAGGGGGAAAAAGATGAAAGGGAAAGGAAATACTCGATTTTCAGGGGAATTAGAAAGAAAATCCCGGGGGGGGGGGGGGGAAGAGATCAACCTTGAAAGAGCATATAGTAATTTAGGACGAAAGAGGGGGGGGGGAAATCAAATAGCCAGTACCCTACATGTAGAGTAGACATAATGGGAAAACCGAGTGTTTATAACAAAAGTCCATACTACTAGTACTCCATGTACTCCATGTACTCTCCGCATTGTTTATGTGGAACTGTGGGGTGTGTGGGGGAAAAGTGGTGTGTACATAAAGGAGGATTTGGTAAGATTTGGTAAGAATTGGTATTGGCAATATTTCAAGGTAAAATTCATTTTATTCCAAGCTTAGGGCTACGATGTACACATATACTGCTAGTACTTAGGGTGATTTTTCTTATTCAAAAGTTCATATAAAAAGAGAAGAAAGAAAGCACAAAACAAAGATTTGAAGAACGGAAACAAAAGCTTGTCATGCCTTGGCTGAATCTTAGTTTCAGCCCAGTGTAATGTTATGTTTCTCCCACACGGACATTCCTCGGAAATTGACCTCGGGGAGTCTCCCGTATACTCGGTACCTGGTATATACTCGGTGCATACCTGTACAGTTATTAGTGAAATGAGTGATAGTCAAAGGAAAACAAGAGTGGAAATCATGTAGTATTATAAAAAATATATTATATTAAAGAAAAAAAGCTTTGGTCAATAGTACATAGTGTGTACTAGTATTTACTACATACAATATCTCCGGGCAGATTATGTACCCTGGATTCAACCTTGGAAATGAATAACCTGAGGCATTCAAATGTTCTATCCCCACAAAATATTCATCTTCGCCCATATGCTGTCTTTCTTGATTGGCACATTTTCTGGGTCATTATCCGCTTCGTCCAACGCTTGACGGAGAGGTACCATTTCTAGAGGTACTATTTTGGTACCTCGAATCCATTTATAGCCTCCGTATGCGCACAAGACGAGGGGGATATCTCTATATTTCAAAGTCAAGGTTAGTCATTGTTGATTCATGGTCAAGGCATGAAATATCAAGGTAGAGAGAGAGGAATCCTTACAGATAGGATGACACAAATGTGGCAGGGTCCCAGTTTCCAGTGGTGAAAACAGTGAATCCTCCCGTCAACAAGATGACAGAGCAGGCGATCAACGCAAACCAGCTGGTGTACCCTATGAACATATCAAAATCAGTAAAAAAAAAAAAAAATTTATAAAAGACCACGTTGAAATTTCAAAATCCAACTTACGAGTGATACTATTATGCCAAGGCAAAGTATGTGGCGAAATCCCCTGTTTATCACACGCCTGCAGCAAGCGAATGTGGTTTAAGGCAATAGTGATCCACGAGACCAAACTGCCGGCAGCAGTCAAGTCCACAAACCAATAGAAGACCGTGGTGGCACTGTTAGACACGCACATATAGGCCAGGAAAGAGAATGCCACCTGCAACGCAACACAAATGTAAGGCACACCCCATTTGTTAGTTCGAAGGAAAATCTTAGGTGCATGACCCTTGACAGCGAGACCATATAAGGTTCGGGTACCTGCCAGAATGCTCTGGTTGGACGAAGACCACGCAGATGTCAAGCAGATGGCATTCACAATAGATGGAATCGCCTTGATACCCGCATCGCTAGCGGCAATGACAAAGGGACTCTGGGCCGCGGTTCCAGAGTCGTCCTCTAGCCGGGGATCAGAGCTCGGCACCAACATGCCCACAATCAAGACAGCGGCGAGATAGAAGATTGTGACGCGAGCAAACACCCGCTTACAGGCCTTTGGGATATTATGGCGAGGATTCCTGGTCTCCGCAGCCGCCATGGCCAAAGACTCCACACCAGCAAAGGAGTAAACGGCGTTGGTCATGACTGCCCAAAATCCAAGGAAGCGACCCAAAGACCCAGGGCTGAGATATTCAACAAAGGGGCCCGGTTCTTTCCAGTAATGGAATCCTAGTCGAGGCTTTCCTGGGATGCCGCCGAGGTCGATGACCAAGCCCAAAATGACGACAAAAACGACCAGTAAGATCTTAAGAATGGCGAAGATGAATTCGATTTCACCATAGACACCGATGAATGAAACAGCAACGGCAACTGACACGATGATCAGAATAGTCACCCAGACTGCGGCATTAATGTCCGTCCAGTATTGGATCAACACCACGCTGGCGGAGATCTCACTCGGGACGCTGAGGAAGCATCCATATACGACATTCCAGCCGATTGCAAAGGCCAGGGCAGGATCAACAAGCTCTTCAGCATGGCGAACGAATGAGCCTGTCACAGGAAGCAAGGCAGATACTTCACCAAGGGCGAATTGAATGGCACAGACCACCAAACCGACGAAGGCGTAGCCCAACAGAGCGCCCAGTGGACCGCCGGTAGCAATTGAACTACCAAGACCGAGAAAAAGTCCTGTTCCCTATACAAAAAAGCGTCAATGAGTAAATATGAAACTTGGAATGTGCTGACTAGGGGGAAGGGAATGTATGTCACACACAATCGCACCCGCAATAGCAATCATTTGAACATGTCGTTGTGATAATCCCCGCTTTAGACCCAGCCGTTCATGCTGGGTCACGATTAAGCCATCATCAGGGGTGATCTCCCCAGCATCAAACCGTGGTGGGGCTTGATCTTCAACATCATGCACATCATATTGTGCACTTCCCTTTTTCAAGGCCACTGGGTCTTCGATAGTCCCGGCCATTTTGGGGTTTAACCAAAAGGATTGGAAAGACAAATCAAAATTATAAACTTAGAATTGTTCTTCTGGAGAGGAAAGAAGAAGATCGCAAAAAAAAAAAAAAAAAGGGAGAAGAAAAGGAAATCCACGCTAAAAAAGGACGAAAAAAACCAGCAAATGACACCATCTTAGTGGTTGATGAGAGTTATCGTGTGTTTTTGGCTTATCTAGCTTGGACTTGCCGGAGTGGGATTAATGTACCATGTGGCGTAATTGTTATGCAAGCGAAGATACAATCTATGCCTCTTTAAGCACATGCACGTGGCCTACCTTATCCTACCTTATATAAACCCATGGAAACAATAAAAGAGATCGGTATATACTACTAGTAGCAAGTATATAACCTTAATAGTACGATCTTCGGTTTTCTCCACTGAGGGGTACATGTCACTAACTTTGTATCCTAATTGGCTAATCGCGTGGTAGTTTCTGGCTTTTCAATGACAAGTCTTGTTAAGAGAGCCAAAAGGACACTGAAAGGGATTCCTAGACCGCATAATTCAATGTAGAGATAATTGCCCATGGCTTCATACTGCAGAAACAACTTGAAGCGATTTAACCTGCTAAGGATGTTGCTTCGTATATTTCTTTCACTCTTCGTGCCCTTTCTACTCCCCTAGGTTTGTCACCTGGGGTTTCAGCTCAGGCGCGTAACTGGGCTCAGGTCTTGTCCTGTTAAATGGCCAGAGGGGGAATTCCTATACGCGCATGAAGCATAAGGCCAGTGAAGGTGACCATCGCTATCTGCAGTCGAGAGGTAGGAACACGATCGAAATTCTCGGCGACGACGCTAGAATCCGGCAAGAGTTATGTGTGCATCGACAGGAATCAATACTTAGTGCGTCAAAGCCAAGACTCGCATGTGAGCGAAATTTCTTGGAAAAGCTCTTTTCATGATCATTTGCGAGAAGATGACGTGGATATGGGGAAGGGAGACGGATGTTTGCTCCCAGGCCCATGGCATTCATTTACCAGTTCACGTCGCTAAGCTGCAGCTTGCGTGATCGGAAGGCGGAGCGACCGGCATTTGTCTTTTCCAGCCGTTGGCTAGCGGGAATGCGCTTCTCAAAGGCTATTGTGGCTGCATGAGTTGACTGGAACGAGATACATAATTCTAAACAGCTGGACTTACTCTCGGTAGGCTCAGGCTCATTCGCCGCCTCGTAATTCAGGACAAGATTCTTGATACGCTGCTGCTCTTCACGATCGGCTTGCTGCTGAGTCCGCATGGCGACAGCAAAACTGGAATCAGAAGGCATATCGATGGTGCGAGTCTAGTGGAATGGGTCAGTTCCGTAGTCAACAATGTATCTTCCAGATCTTTCAATCGAACCTGTTGCTTATTGCCCTTCTTCGTCATCAAAGAAAAAGCCATGGTTTTGGGAGGCACAGGAATTGCCGCAATGGGCTCGGGAGATTCGGGAGATTCGAGATATTCATTAGCCGTTGCCTCTCGTGCTGGGCGCTTCATAGGCAGAGGGATATCAAAGATTGCCTTGCGCTCAAATCTTCTAGAATCCATGCTCTCGGCCATCATTTTTTCGAACTCTCGATCAAAGTCGGCCTCCACTTCTGGGTCTCGTTCCTCTGCCTGGCGCGTGACGACAATCTGCTCATCTTCAGACTCGGACTCCTCGTTCATGTCTGGCTCCGGGTTTGGTCCAGATGCCTACGGTCTAGTTAGGAACTAGCATTCTTTATCTGAAAAAAAAAAAATAAAAATAAAAAGACTCACCTCGGCTTCATCGCTGGACTCTCCCTCATCCTCAATATCATGGATTGCATCTTCTTCGAGTCCCATTTCAGAGGAGCTGGTTTCCGCATCTTCCTCATCCGCGTCAATGTGTCTCTCAGAATCAGGGACGTTATAATTCAAAGCAACGGCTTCACTGAAAATTCGCGTCGCCTCTTCAGAGTCAGTCGCTAGCTTCCAGTGGGGCCGAAGAGAAGAGTAGGTGTCCTGAACCAGGAAATCGACATCCATAGGCAGCGGGTCTTTAGTAAAGAGGTAATACTGGAAGAAAGTCAAAAAGAAATCGAGCTTCTTCTTCGCAGATCCCCGATCAAAGCAGTGGCCACACGTATCGAGTAGCGTACAGGCAAGACGAACTCGGAAATAGTCATCTGGTTGATCCAGCATACTAATCCGTCCAGGCGTTGGGGTCCCGCCTTCGTGGCCAAAGGTGACGACGCGGTAGAGCGTATCAAAGATGACGGGGGAGTCAATCATTTTGTAGTTATACAGCTCGCCCAAATACTTGACCTCAGCAATGCGCTTTTGATTAAATTTGAAGTCGTTTTGCTCCAACCCAAGGGTGATTTGCTCCAGAACGTTATCAACAACCCCAATCACAAAGTCCTGATGATATCGGTATAGAGCGCTGACAAGGATTGCCAGAAGATGAATGCTCCCATACTTGACTTTCACTGGTTTGCTGAAGACACGCTCCAAAATATCAACGACCTCTTGCTCTTCCCAGTGAAGTTTGCGGATGGACTTCAAGATCTTGGTGTAGTTGCGCTTGTTCATATCTAGATAAATCAACCGACGAATGTATTGCTCCATTGGGGTGCGCTCCTTTTGCTGGATAGCTGGGCGTGGGGGTGGATCAACATAGTAGATGGCATTTTCAATCACCATGCGTTCGTTTTGGGCCAAATGCTGGACAGTCTTCTTTCGGCTCAGGGTCTCTAGAAACGAGGCCATCCTAGGTGCCGTTTCTGGATTGCGCAGCAGGTATCGACCACAGTTCTCTAAAAGGTTGCCAATGATCTCTATGTTCATTCGCGAGAAGTCATCAAGTGAAACCTTGAAGCAGTGGAAAATAATGTGCTCCGGCACGACACCAAACTTGGTCAATTCAGCAAGATAACGCACGTTACCCATGCGCACTTGACCCAAAAACTCCTTAGACTTTCGCCGCTGTAGACTTCGAAACTCTTCATCAAGATAGATTGTCAAGCCTTGCGGAATGTCTGGCAGATATTGGCCCAAAGTGGCAACCAAACGAGAGTACAAAGGCAAGAGATCAATTCGACCTTTGGGGATATCCGAGACGGCCCGAACAAGCCTGTTCCGGGATGCCTTTGAATTGACAAAGCAGAAGTCTAGGGCGAATTGATCAACCTGGTCTTTGCTTTGCAGTTCCGGAAGCTTGCCCAGCAAAGAATCGACTTGCGCACCCACGGTCTTGCTGGCGATTGCCATTGATTGGTCTTCCAGCTCGGCCGCAGACTTGTCATCGGAAGAAGATTCGGGTTTCTCTGCAGCGGGATCAGTAGAGTCTCCGTCCTTCTTTTTGCCAGTTTCCTCGGCATCAGTCTTCTTTTTCTTGCCGTCCTCGAGCAAAACCGCAGGCACTTTGCCTTTCAGGTCTACCAAGTTTTCGTAAAATCGCCTCTCCTCCTCGTCTTCCCAGATACCAGCACCTTCACCTTGTCCACGAAGATAATCCGTGGTTTTCACAAGGCCAATACCGCCGCTAGATCCAGAATCATTGGCCTCTTTTTCAGCTAGGTCCGGCATGTCAGCCCCCAGAGCCTCGCACAAAACTTGCGTATTGGTGACAAGTTTTTCGAGGGACTTCGATTGCTTCTCGAAGTTAGACTGGCGATCTTCAAAGATCTCGCCGCTCTTGACATATGCCTCGGCATTTCGCCGACTCTGCAAGGCCAGCGCCCTTTGATCGCGAACCACATGCGCCTTAACATCATCCAAATAACGGTTCATGATATTCTTGAATCGTTGCTGGACCTTCTCCGGAACAAGTGGTGGATCAGTTCCAGAGTTGTCCTCTGTGTCCTCCTGCTTCGAAGCAGCGGCCGTAGTTGCAACTCCATCCGCTTCGACATTCTTTCGACCTTCATCCGTCAATGTCGTGCCTAGGATATCCCAGCTGAAACTCTTCACGAAAAGGACGGCAAGCGGTAGATTGGTATGGTCACGGTCATGACCTAAAAGCTCCTTCAAAACTTCCAGCGGGAATGGGTCGGCCTGCTTGTCCTGGTCCTTCACCGTGGTGGGTATCTTGGACTTGAGCGGGGTATCTGATTGCTTGCCTCCGATACCAGCCACTCCATCTTTGCTTTTCGCGCCCAGTTCCTCCGGCCGCTCAACGTCATCCAATGTTTTCAGAACCGAAACAAGCCATAATTCCGTAACTACTCGCAGGAGAACTCGGTGGCGCGATAGACGTTCCTTTTCTTCGCGCTCGCGATGCTCCTGGGGAAGAGCCTTGAGAGTGGCCTTATCGGGGGAACTCAAGCCACGGCCAAGAAGCCACCCAATCTGCCGGGTAAACTCTGCAGGACCGAATCGTTGATGTAAAGCGCACACAATTTCAATCCCAACGGCAATTTCCCCGGGCGATTTGAGCTTGCACACACCTTCATAGCAGGCGGTGATGATCTCCGATAGGTACTTATGGAGCGACAAGGTGCGAATGTCAGATAAAAAGGTAGAGAGGGAGGCGGCGCTGATACCAGTGCGAAGGCGTTTTATAAAGGCAGTATTCTTCTTGAGGGCAGAGTCTAGGGACTTGCTGACTGGGAAGACATCTATGGAGGGATCGTCAGAAACTAGGCGCACCAATGGAATAAACACTTGGGGATGGTACCATTCTCGCCTGCCCAGGCCCTCTCATTCAGATCACGAAGCTCCCCTGTTGTGAAATCGGCGTCAGTAGCGGTCGGAGTATATAGGCCGAAATTCTGACGTACTTTTCTTCTGGCGCTCCATAGCAATATGAGTGTTAGGGTTTCAAGTGTCACGTCCTCTCAGAAAGTCTGAAAGGAAAGAAAGGTGACCGGAACACCACATTGGGGGGGTCGAGTGAAGGGAAGTATCAGACGTGGGGATTCGAAGAGAAGTAAATGCCACTGAAGCTCCTTGTGCGGGAGAAGCGGGCTCCAAGGCGGTGCGGAGGTTGCGATTGGACTTGCGGGATCCACGCAGGTGCGGGCACTTTGCTACTGTTATCCGTACAGTCAGGCTTCGATCACTTCACTTATTCAAATGTTCTACTTTCCAATCACTACAAACATAGCATCTACAGCTATATCACCAGGTATTAACGCTGGGATGAAAGAGTAATCCAAGTATTAAATTTCCCTACCAGTCAAAGAGTGGGAAATTTGCGAGAGGAAAATTGAAGTGATGATCTCTACCTTGCGTACTAACTACATTAGAGGATATAGTATAGATCAAGCTGGATTCCAGCACCCATGTTTAGTCATATCTCAGATTCTTATTAAAGGGACAGAAACCTTTAAAGCTCTGTTTCTTCTCTGAAATAGGTTTCCTGAAAACTCCATAAACTTCATACACACGTTCAACGCATAAAACAACCTTCATTTCTTTCCACGAGTACAATACAATCCGATAAGGTATAAACTCAAAAGCTCAAAAGTTTCGAAGGCAGGTCACTCAGGTGGAGTAAAAAAAAAATATAAGAAAAAGCAGACACATACAGCTTGGCAACATCATTTGTGGTCGATTGTGATGATCACAAGCACATTGTGATGCGACCTTCATGCTGGAACAACAAACACGAAAAGGAGATGACAACCAAAAAAAAGCAACATTAAATCAGGGTATGCCTCACGCCACGCTATGCAACAAGTCACCTAACATCCAAAAGGGAGGTGACCAAGAACATTTTTTTTCCAAATATGTACTAAGAAAGCCAATCCATTCAAGGAAGGGCAGAAAGAGACCGTTCTGCCAAATAGTTTATTTGGGCTTGCGCCAGAAGTATTGCTATACAAGGTCAGTCTAAAAAGGTTCGTGAGGGGGAAAAAGAGATAGAGAAGTGACACATACCTTGTGTTGCTTACGGCAATTGCGAAGACCAGGTTTGCGCAAATTATTCACCACGGTCTCGCGGCGCATGTCATCGTCGTCGTCATCCGGTACATAATAGAATTCGCTTTCAAGGGCCTTGCCAGCGGCATCCTTGCCTTCACGGGCCACTTTGCCAATACATTTTGTGGTTTCAAGGATGAATCGAATATCAGCGCGAGATGGACCAGAGCCACTTGAACTGGATCTCCAGAATGAAGGGGGGAGGTTGTTCAAGATGGTTGAGAAGGGTGTCGAAGAGAGTCGGGAGAAAGCCAATTGGTTCACAGCATGATTACGAACGCGCTCGAAGCCTTCCTCTTCTTGCTGAGACCTTTCCTTGATGGGTGTGGACTCACGGGTCTCTTGGACCTTGGCGGATTGTCTAGGGGAGAGAGTGGGCTGTAGGGGTTGTGCTGGCAGCAAGCTGCGTGGGGGCCTTGCAGAACGAATAGGCGAATCATCTGCGTGGAACGCAGCCAGTCGAGGAAGCAGATTGTCGCCAAATGGTCCGAAGGAGTGCACAATGGGGTCATTCTCTTCATCATTGTCCGAGTCTTCCTCGGGCCTACTCAGGTCGCTTTGGAGGATAGCACTGGCACGTCGGGCACTTTGGGAGGTGAGACCAATAATGGTATTATGACGTTTCAGTGGGGACGGTCCATCCTCATATACCACAACAGCAGCACGAGAACGGGAGGGTGTGAAAATCGGGGACGATGGGGGTAGGGTTCGTTGCACCGCTGGGGACGGGGAGACGGGAGAAGCCAATCGCTGGTTTTGAGGGAAGGGACTATCCTGCAATACTCTTCGAGAATGAGTCTTCTGAGTAGGTGTGCCTTCAAGTTCGTCCCAAGTTTGTTCTGAATCAGTGGATGGGCAGTCTTTTCTGTCAGCTTCATTACGAGGCCATTGCACCAAAACCCGAGCCTCGTGCACGTCAATCATGATGTCCGCATCCTTGATATCGGATGTAAATGTCTTGCCCTTGGCCAAATCATATTTCTTGCCCTGGCAGTGGATCTTGATGCCATTCCAACCGATGCACATAATTTCGACTCTATCCCGATCAAAAGGGTTCGGTGCGGGTTTGTATGTGGCCTTGACGTGGACACGAGAGATCATCCGGCTAGCGGCAAGCTGGTGGTGGCAGGAGGCACTCGACCGACCCATGAGGATGGGTTCTCCATTTTCAGGTAGCATAAGGGTGGGGACGGCGGACAAGGGAGCCCGTTCGGAGGCAGATGAGAAGGTACGACGCGTCGAGATTCCTGGTGGCGAGGACGACATGATATTGGTTGACGAGGTTGGTACCGGAGTGGGATAGGTGACGGCTGGTTCGCGTGCCACACGCTTCTGGGGCCGAGGAAGAGAGGGGGATGAGCTCAAAGGTTCGAAGGCAGGCAACAACGACGCCGGGCGCTTCATGCCAGTGGCAGGACCCAAAGACAACCTCGACGGTGATGAATCCATGATGCTTTTAGTCAGTGACCAAGTCACAGGAGCTCCTTTTTTTCGGTTTAGACGAGAGACGAGTCGAGCTCAAGGACTCGCGTCACACCGCGTATCCTAAAACAGGTTGTGTAGAAAGGTAGGAAATATCTAAGGATAGGAAATCAAAGACACGTAATCGAGCTTTCCTCCAGAGAAAGATTGAGATTGGGAGGGGAAAGGAGGGGGGGAAGGGGGGAAGGACTTGGGAGAAAAAGGTGAAGAAAGGTGTGTGGTGGAATGCACTGGGGACCGGAGAGGGTCTCGCTGCGCGGAAATGCACGCTTACAGCCCGAGACGCGTTCGATAGGCGCCGACGAGGCTTTACAGGCCCCACTATGCCTTCGCGATCGCAAGACACAACTCACGCGTATATTTTCCAATTCCATCTGGTATATTTTAGAAGTCGGTTGACCAGGAATTTAATCTATACAAAAGTATTTGAATTTTTGCTTGTATGATCTAATATACACCTTGAATCTAACAAAACGCGTTCGCGTCTCAAGTCACGTGCCCAAGTGGACCGTGACACGCTGGAGTATGACAAGATGACTTTTGGTATTTATCATTGGAATTTTTAATATGATTTACTATGTACCAAGTAACAAATCAACAATCTGGGCAACGCTGAAAAGCCATCTGACATATGTATAGAGCTTCGATGATCATGTGAATTTCCATACCCTTGAACTGATGCGTCTAAGTATTCGAACATGATTCCTTCTTTTTTGAGCAGTCATAGATGACTTATATGGAGACTTTGGGACCATACCCAAGACAGTTCTAAAAAGACTAAACTGATGTAGACTGAATACAGGTTTGGTTTGGTTTTTCTAGCGCAAGACCTTTTCTTGACGCGCTAACTAAAAAAAAAAAAAAAAAAAATTGGCGTCGCGCATACACGCGTCTGGGTACTTTTCACATTTGTACAGAGGAAAAGTCGCGCCCACCATTAACAGAAAGAAAAAAGAAAAAAAGGCAATACGAAGCGTTTGCCGAAGGTAAGCGGGATATGAATGACTGAATGGTCAATTGAATGTACGGAAGTACTGTAAATAAATTCTATAATTACTATGTTTCATATTACGGTTGCACCGTTGTCAGAAAGATTTCAACTAGTAAAGGACCCGTCAAGACACTGCATGTAAAGCAGTTGGCCACCGCTAAACCAAAAGGACCGATTGGATTGGCATTTGGATATGACATTTCCATTAAAAAGTGGATGTTCACGCTCCACTTGCTAGAATATTTCGAGGATTTGACTCCGTAAGAGGACAGAAACAATGCACATTACAGAGCCCAAAATCTCAAATGCAACAGGTTAATGCCTTTCTCTCTCTCTCTCTCTCTCTCTCTCTCTCTCTCTCTCTCTCTCTCTGTCTGTCTGTCTTTCTTTCCTTTTTCCCATACATCGTTACCTCTCCCTAGTCAGAATTGGAATCCAAAATGCATACATAGGCCCAGGATATGACTGATGGTTGCAAGGGGGGAATGTCATAAACGCCACTGATCCCATCCACGCATTTACCTGGTACATACTACGCATGTGAGAACATAGATAAGGCTGTCCTCCGGCCCCCAAGAAACGAGGAATGTCATTTTGTTGGAGGTTGTTGGTTGTGGTCGATTAAGTAAGGTTTTCCAATCTGCCACTGGGAAATGATGTAATCCTGCAGGTATAACGCCAAGGATGGCTGGATGAATCACATTCCACGAAACATCAAGCCATGAATATCTGTTGCCTTGGAGATATCAAGAATATGATCTACTCTGCTGCCCTGTGAGATGATCATACTAGAAAAGTGGTTGAGAAGGATTTGAGAAAACCTGGCAATTGACTTGTGCTATAGTGTTCCGATCTTGCGGTAATAATAAAGATTGGAGAAAGAATTAGAGTGAATAGAAACATGAAATTAATGGAGAAAAGTTGAAATAGATGAAAAGCCTATATAACAATACTAGGAAGCAGTCAACTGGAAGCATTCAAGGTCGTAATAGGTCTCTCATCACACAATCTCAATGTCAGACGGTCGCTATCAATTTGCAGCCTGCTGCAGTATGGGGTGGAACCATGGGCATAACAGTAAGCATCAGCCTCCTCAAATACAGGGAAGATTTGATACAAAATGGGGGGAGGGAGGAAGAAAGGGCCTAAGAGAATCAAGACATGGGGTTGAGATCAAAAAAAGTTATGGAGGAGCAAGGGTGGATTGTGTGATCAAGATTGGTCGCACTTGAAATATTGAGGTACATCCGACCCAACTTCCCACGAGATTCCCACGAGATGGTGAGAAGAGAAAGTAAGAAGGAGAAGAAGAAGAAATAAAAGTAACAAAGATTGGATTCCCTCCCCAAGATAACACACATCGAGGCACAGGTTTAAAAAAAAATGTAAGATACACAGAAGAAAGCAACCCTCCAAGTTACAAACCATAATATATGGACAGAATCACTGACGATAGAGAGCCAAGGGAAGCCCTTGGACTCATCTCCGCAGCGCGGTTTGATTGAAAGAGAAGTGAAAACACTCATCCAACTCCGTAACAGTTGAACGTTGTTAAGGCATATGGAGGTGTAAGCGTCAAAGAAACGCTTACTCGTACAGAACGTAGTAGGCACTGCCAGTGGAGAAGCCAACCTAAAAAAAAGAAGAAAAATCAAGATTAGAACAAAATCATCTCTTTGACTCAAAAAATGGAAATAACTTACAGTGCAACCGTTGGTGGAGCTGTCGATCAAGCCATCGCTGTTGTAAAAGTTTCCAGCACCGTCGTAGCGGCACTCATCGCTCAGGTCATCACCAACAATCTTGACCTTGAAGTCAAGGTCAGCATCGGTAGTGGGCTCGTTCTTGAACATGGACAGGTAGGTAGTGCCATCAGTGTAGCCAACACCGAAGTTCATGGGAGCCCAGTTGCCCATGGTCTCGGAGCTGGAGCCCCACTGGCAACCGTCCGAGGTGGAAACACCCTTGTTGTTCACGTAGTACTGAGCGGAGGTAGACTTGCCCTCCCACTGGAAGTAGGTTTCGCTGTTGGGGCAGGTCAGATCCTGGGTAGTGCCAGAGCTGGCAGCCAGAGGAATGGTCTCAGACTCGGTACCGGGGTAATCGGTACGGCAAATAGCAACATCCTCACCCAACTCGTTGCGAACCTGAACATTACCAGTACCCTGGATGCAAAGGGTGTTTCCAAGCTCAGTGTTGGTGAGGTACAACTTGCCACCCTCACACTTAAGGCCACCAATGGACTGACCAGTGGAGCCCTGGGTCGAGGGCCACTGGTTCTTCTGGTAACCGGCAGGGCAGGCGTACGAGCACATGCCTCCGTCGGTACAGCTCTCGCCGCTAATAGCAGTGACGATGTCGCTGATAATCTCATCAACAAGGCTGACGTACTGGATACCAGACCAACCGCCGAAGCCCAGGTAGTCAAGAGCGACGGCACCGTAGGCGGAGGGGAACTCGGAACAGCTAATCTCTCCATCAGGGAACTCGGCAGTGAGTCCAGTGGCAGTGGAGACGGCGGCGGAGGAGGTGCTGGAAGCAACAACAGAGCTGGTAGAGCTGGGGGTCACGGTGCTGCTGGTGCTAGTGCTGGTGCTGGAGCTCGAAGATGAGCTGGAGATGACCGCGGAGGTCTGAACAAGCACCTCGGGAGTGTAGGTCGAGGTGGGAGCCAGAGTTGAGGTCGAAGTGGGAGTGGGAGTAGAGGTGCTGACGGGGGTGCTGGTGGAGCAGGCCGCCGCAACGGCAGTTCCAAGCCATTCCAGCTCGTGGTCTGCGAGACCTGCGCAAGCCTCCTCAAGGGTGATCTCCTCGACTTTGCCAGAGTTATCGGCATCCATGACGACGAATTCGTAAGCGGTAGGTCCAGCGACGACGGCAGTCTCAACCTCAGTCTCGACAGCACGCTTGTGGAAGTGGGCGTGGCCGTGGCCGTGAGCGGCCACCAGGGAACCCGCCGAAGCCAGGGTCAGCGCAACGGAGTTGAACTTCATTGCGATTCGAAAAAAAGGGTTTCAGGTTTGGGAGTCTGTATCAATAAGCATTCTGTTAGTCGTTGTGATCTCTTCCATGGCCTTTTCAAGTTGTTTATTTGGGTTGCGCCAACGCGCCCGCGAGAATAGCAGTATTCATGGCATGTCCCACCAAGTCCCCTTGGAGTTTCCGTCGCATCCAAACATTGCATGTGTGTACCGCAATTAAATTTATCCCAAGTTCCATTGGCAGTGCCTCTTGTCTCTTCTGCTATTCTGCTATGTGCGATGCGACTTTTCCTCCCTGACTTTTGTTTGTGGTATAGCGGTACCCAGATGGAAGAATCTCACGTACAGATGTATATCACGGCAATTAGCACGTTGGCGTAAAGGGGTTATATGTAAGAGTGAGGTCGTTTGGGAGCAGAATAAAAGAGCGACGGAGATTCCTGGTAACAAATGAACGTGTTAGAGAGAACGAATCCCTCTGGTCGGATAGGAATACACAGGGTGATGCTGGAGAGAGAAGAGAAGGGGGGAAACGAGGATAGTAAAACCGCAGGGCCCAGGGGGACAGTCTTTACCAATACGCTACGGTTACCACTGCCCCCCCGGGCTCCACTCCATGCACGGTAAAAAAGGGGCATTTCTTTCGGTGCTTTCTGTACTTTTTTATTTTATAATTTTATAATTTTCCTTGGTTTGCTTGGGTTCCTTTGTTTTCCAGTGGTTTTTTGTCTTGAGTTTTATTATGGAATTTTTGTTTGAATTTTTTTTTTTTTTTCACCATTTATTTCCCCCTAAGTTGACATATCCAAGTATCGAGTCTGACCAGCCCAAAAAAAAAATCTGAAAGAAAAACCGAAATGACTACATTTCCGTACAAAAGTAGGTACCCATTATCCTACTTAGTGGGGTTATATTGGGAGAATCTCTTTTGGTTTGTTTACCTCTTTTTTCTGCATCCGAGATTGCCCATCAGGGGTTGACCAATCACAATGTCGACCTATAATGCAGGGGAAATGATGCTCAGGTACACCAATCAGCTTCCACTGCGGCTTGCCCAAATACCTGGCGTATCCATGGGTACCAAACAGCATTTTTAATCAACTTTCTGGAAATTGGAAATTAAATAATGACCTCGGCGGCTATTGAACTTTCATATCATCCTCTTCTCTTTCCCATACTCGCATGGTATAACCCTTTAAAAACTGCCTCTTTTGATTCTCAGTGCCAAGACACCGTTACATACTCCGCAAGCTTTATCTTACACTGATGATCGCACGCTAGGAGTATTCTCCCCTGGCAGCTAACCTTCAGGTCTCACAGCAGGGGGCTGCAAACAACCCCTAAACCCAGCACCTGTCGCCTGACCTTAATTTCACTCTGACTTTCTGTACTAAACTCCGTACCAATCCCTGCAAAGATCTCATATGTCCACGCAAGATGACGACACCCTAAGCAATACAGTTAAAATGTCCAGCCTTGTCTTGAAGTACCTACAGCACATCCATACATGGTTCCATTCAATCAGACCGCCCATTCAAAATAAGTCCTACAAGAGGCACCAATCTTTGTCGATCCCCATTAATCTTAATTGACCGCGTCATGGTCTCCGTGACGGGACAAACGCGAAATACACTAGAATGGTAAAATACCCCCGTTACCCACCACACGTTGAACTATACACTCCTGCGTTTCAACTTATCATGCTCGTACCTTGTCATCAAGAACCGAGTCGGCTTTACTTTTTTTCTTCTTTTTTTTTTTCACAAAATCAAACATTTGTCCCCTTTATATCAGATCTCTACCCAGCGTACGCTTTTGCACCCTGTAGTCCGGCAATTGTTTCCAGGTGTCAATATCTCAAGGGGTGTTTTTTCCCTCTTATACTTGGTAAATCATAACTGATCCATACGCTACTCCGTACTCCGTACATCGACCCGAGACCTAATCCGTAGTAACTTCTGATTCGGGTATGGATTGGACTCCCCGGGGGTTTGATCTGGGGCCGTGTGGGCTACGTGCTTGCGTGGCGCACCCTACTAGCGTTATCTGGTTCCGCCAAGTTGGACTCCATGTGGAACAGGGACCTCGGACTTGCGGGCCCAAGAAAGCTGCCCGCCATGACTCTTGATCCCGATATGTCCTCCCTACTATTTAATAGAGCTATTTGGAGGTTTTTTTTAGCAGTTTTAAGAGGAAAAAATCACAAATTGCTAATTTCACTCGATGAATGCTTACCTAGTTAGGTTACTTGCCTGTTCTTCCCCAATTTTTACGGATACTGTATAGGGTCCACGGGAATGGACGCCGTAGCCAAGAGCACTTATTAATAGTACTAACCGCCTATTTTTGCCCCCTTGGCATTATGCCACCTGCATGTCGCTTCCAAGGTTGTAATGTCGTTAAGAGAGCTTTTCGGGGTGTAAAAGAACTCAAAATAATGGCATGAGGTTGCTACCACTTGGGCACGTGGTTCTTGAAAGCAAAACCTCCTACTCTGTACCCGTGGACGTCGTACGCAACAAATACCTGTTCTAGATGACACAATATGGTAAAATTCGGATCATTCACATACTTACTCCCGATGTCTATACTCTATTCTTCAATGTGTTCACATTCAATGTTGGCTGTATGGATCCACCCCCTTGTGTTTCTTCGGGGTGTTCTTCGATTCAAATGTTGATGACAGGTGGGGTTTATACTCATGGTTGCTGGTATCCATGGATTAATTCAATGCTCAAATTTCCAGTGCGGGGTTTTAACCCAAGGAGACATCTGGATCGTAGTACCTCATTCCACGACTACATACATGTATATTATTAATTGATAAAAATGTACATAACATTAATGATGGAAACATATGTACATGTGTACGTATTCGAACTCCGGACATTGAAGTGGTGTGTTCATCGGCTACATATATCCAAGGGTACCCACTATTGATAGATGAATGTACACCTGCATACATTCAATGTTCATGGATACATTCCCAGCCACTCGATACATACATTCTGCATGGATGCGATATCAGGAACTCTCAGGTGAAATAAGTGCTGAATATACTCATGAATGTATATCTAAAAATATGTGACCAAATTTATCTAAATTCGAATGCTCTATAGTTAATTGGGATATCTCCACGTGATTACTTGCCTCAGGCTGCGACCGGGGTTTGGACTGCCAAGCCAAAACTGCCACCGCCTTCCCGAGGAAAAAAAAAAAATCTTGATAACATCGGCGAAAAAAACGGATTAGAGTTGAATCATTAACCTGCCAAGATGCCGTCCTCCACTACCCTTACAACGAAGGTGACTTCAGGATCACCCTATCAGCTAGATAAGCCTCAGGTTTGTTCAATTTTCAAAATCAAAACCGCGCGCATGCTAACTCCAGCCAGGTCACCAAAGCTTCCTCCGCACTGCTGCGCTATATCAAGTCCAACCAGGAAGAGAAAGAAAAGTCCGCAACCAAGAAGACTCTGATTGGTGATAACGACTCAGATGATGAGGAGACACCCATGAACAACGAAGCCGTTTGGCTTATCCTTACCACCAAGAAGCATGTGGTCGACAAGAACCGCCTGAAGCCTGGAAAGATCAGCCTCCCGCACTCCCTCAACTCGTCGCCTTCCCTCAGCATCTGCCTGATCACTGCCGACCCGCAGCGTGGAGTCAAGGACATCGTTGCTGACCCCTCCTTCCCCAAAGAACTTTCTTCCCGTATCGACAAGGTCATTGGCTTCAGCAAGCTGAAGGCCCGCTACCAGAGTTTCGAGAGCCGGCGCCAGCTGCTTGGAGAACACGATGTTTTCCTCGCCGATGATCGTATTATCAACCGCCTCGTTACCACCCTCGGAAAGGTCTTCTACAAGTCGAGCAAGCGACCAATTCCCATTCGTATTGCAGAGATCGAGAAGTTGGACGGAAAGCGTGTCAAGAAGGACCCCAAGCAGAAGCCCGCCAAGGAGGACAGAAGCGCCGCTTTTGCCGCTCCCCTGATTGTCGCGAAGGAGATTGAGCGCACCTTGAGCTGCGCTTCCGTGCAGCTTGCACCCTCCACTACTGCCGCAATCCGCATTGGTACTTCCAAGTTCACTGCCGACCAATTGTCCGAGAATGTTGCTGCCGTTGTTCAGGGTATGACCGAGAAGTTTGTCGCAAAGGGCTGGAAGAACTTGAAGGCAATCCACGTCAAGGGCGCCAACACCATGGCCATGCCCATCTGGCTTGCCAGTGAGCTGTGGGTGGAGGACGCTGATGTCGTTGAAGAGATCGAGGCCCCCTCAATCAAGAGCAAGAAGCGCAAGTCTGTCGGCGAGGAGAAGGCCATTGAAGGCAAGAAGACCAAGAAGTCCAAGTCCGTGGAAGACGAGGAGGAAGCTTCGTCAGGAGCGGCACGGAAAGAGAAGCTCCAGCAGCTCAAGGCCAAGGCCCTTGAGGATGGAGAGACCGTAGCCGCACCCCAGGCGGACAAGAAGAAGAAGAGAAAGTCGACTTCATGATTGGGAGTTTTTTGTTCTACCTAGATAATGTTCTGCATGTACAAGGTATTCTCGGCGTATAAAATATCATGTTCTTTTTATGTTTCTTTCAAAAACAAAAGCTTTAGGAATTCTATGGAAATTGAGATATGTACTAGTATGATTGGAGCCCCAGATATCCATGTAGTATGTACTAGTAGGTGCATTCAACTGTTTTCAAGTGCTTTGAATCAATATGCCCTCCTTATATAGAAGTCTCAATATTTCTTTACGGAAAGAATTTAGTACATCACGTCATTGCCTCGTGCTTCGATCAGGCTATATGAAGCCTGCATTAACCGAGTCCGACCTCGGGAGGGCAGGTCTTGGCATCCCGGTGATAGCCACACTTCTTGCATCGCCGCAGATCGCCGAGATCTCAAACTTGACCTTCCTGGACCCTCACGGGAGAGAAACGAATATCGTATTCACCAAATTGCCGTCATGATTCCAATCGCCAGATACTCTGCTCTGCGGGCCGTTCGCTCGCAGATTTCCCCCGCCCGCGCGCTCAACCAGTCAGCGTTAGCTCGCCTCCTCTCGACCCTCGCCGTCCTCGAACAGCGCGATGGCAAGCTACAGAGCTCCTCTCTATCCGCTATTGCTGCGGCAAAAAAGCTGGGTGGACCAGTGACAGCTTTCTTGGCCGGCACTGGTGTCAAGAGCACTTCCGCCGCTGAGGCCGCTAAGATCAAGGGCCTGGACAAGGTTGTTGCTGTGGAGAACGATGCTTATGAAAAGGTGAGCTTGCTGTTTCTGATATACGTCACAAGGATGTCCTTCTAAGCATATCAATCTTTTTCTTGCAGGGCCTTCCTGAGAACTACGCTCCTCTCCTCGTCGAAAACATCAAGAAGGGCGAATACACCCACATCGTTGCTGGACACTCAGCCTTTGGCAAGAACGTCCTGCCCCGCGTGGCCGCTCTTTTGGATGTCCAACAGGTCTCAGATATCACTGGAATCGAGAGTGAAGACAGTGCGTTTAACCACAATAATGTATATTGACATGTGATCAGCGTGCTAACCGAAATTGTAGCCTTTGTTCGTCCCATCTATGCTGGCAACGCAATCCTGACCGTGCAGTCCAGCGACAACATCAAGGTGATCACCGTGCGAGGCACCGCTTTCCAGGGCGTTGAGACCGAGGGCGGCTCCGCCGAGATTGTGGATGGACTAGACCCGAACACCCCCGGACTGACTGAGTGGGTATCCGAGGAACTCACCAAGTCTGAGCGCCCCGATCTTTCCACCGCCACCCGCGTTGTTTCTGGTGGCCGTGGCCTCAAGTCGAAGGAGGAGTTTGATCGCATTATGGTTCCGTTGGCCGACTCTTTGGGTGCTGCTATCGGTGCTTCCCGTGCCGCAGTGGACAGCGGCTTCGCCGACAACAGTCTGCAGGTTGGTCAGACTGGTAAGAACGTTGCTCCCGAGCTTTACCTCTGCGCCGGTATCTCCGGTGCCATTCAACACTTGGCCGGTATGAAGGACAGCAAGGTCATTGCGGCCATCAACAAGGACCCCGAGGCCCCCATCTTCCAGGTTGCTGATGTTGGTCTGGTGGGTGATCTATTTGAGAAGGTGCCCGAATTGACCGAAAAGTTGAAGAGCGCTTAGAGTGAAAAAGGTGGGGAAATTTTCTTTTTGATTTATCTTATGCCATGACCATTGAGCAGGTTGCGAGCTTTTTGTTTTGTGTTCTATGAACCGTACAGTATACCAATGATTAGAGGACTTGAGTCGCATTTCGACCTAGTCACTGCAATATAACATCTCTCTAACTTTAAAACGTATTATTTGTATGAGGAGAAAGAATATGTAAAGTCAATATAGTCTTGTACAATTTTCTATATAAAAAAATTCATCTGGACTTGCCAGGTACGGACTTCGTACATTGAAGTGCAATCAATTTAATACCGCCTAAAAGGGTTTAGCGTGGTGACCGCGCGCGTGTCGGCGCGTCTTCCTATCAGAGAGGGAATCGTCGCCAATTAAGTACAGTCTCGAATCCACGGTTGAAATGACTACGAGACGCTTGGATGCTTCCCTCATCACCTGATTTTCTTTCTTCATTTGATCCTGCTCTTCAGCTCCACTCTGAAGACCCCAACACCACGCTCAACCCACCATCGGAGCTGTTCGAGTCGTTCTCCGACGATATTGAGGCAATCCACCAGCACCGCGTGGAACAGACCCGCAATAAAGTCGTGATCCAACACCGCTCCTGGAACCTGTCAGAGGTGTTTCGCAGTGACGACGATATAAGACCAGGTTTGAACCTCTAGACCTGCTCCATTTGAGTGTTGATCCTAATGTAACTTGTGTCTAGATACTCCGACCAAAGCTACCCCCCGACCAAGTAATTCTACGCAGAGTCGTAATCTGCGCCTGTCATTTCTTCCGTCTTCTCCTCCAACTACAAAAATGCCGTTCATATCATCTCCCAGCGCTGCAGCGGCCGACGATGCGCAAAAAAGAAAAGCAGCGGAAATTGAAAGTCCACAGCCTGGCGAGCCTAAGCGGCAAAGAATCCTTGGAGGATTTGTTGACGACGAGGATGATGATGATGAAAATGAGGATCTTGCCGCCTTCAGAGACGAAGAACTGAAAACCCAGTTTGAGTTGCAAGAAAATACAGAATCAGAGCAGTTCTCAATGCCTGCGCTTTCAGAGCAACCACCGATTTCTACTCATATACAACAACCAACGACTTTCCCTCTCACATCTATAAACCCCGAGCTAGAAATCGCATCTCGGCCTGCACCAAAAAAATTCCAGATCAAAACATGCAACGGCAAGACACACAGCATTTCTCTGAAGAAGAGCCATGTTTCTGTTTCATATGAGCAAATGATCGCTAGCCGGTCTGAAACAGAGCCCGGTAAAGCGAAGAAAAGCTACTATGGGATTGATATTCACCAGTTGCTAGATGACGCGGCAAAAGATAAAAATTCTCCAAAGCCCAAACCATCGCCTCAAGTCAACCCTTCCATTGAAAAGACCGAGGGAGATGCGAAACAGAAGAAGCTAGACTCAATGATGTGGACTGAGAAGTACCGCGCTCGAAAATTCACAGATCTCATTGGAGATGAACGTACCCATCGTTCGGTGCTTCATTGGCTGAAAGCTTGGGAACCGATCGTGTTCCCTGGCTTAGCTCGTTCCCGAACGAAAAAGGCAGACCCCGAGGATGGTGAAGAAGGGCGCATGCATCGGAAAGTTCTCCTGCTTAGTGGGCCCCCTGGACTGGGGAAGACAACCCTAGCGCATGTGTGTGCAAAGCAGGCTGGCTATGAAGTACTCGAAATCAACGCAAGTGATGAGCGTAGTAGAGATGTGGTCAAGGGACGAATTCGAGACGCATTGGGCACAGAGAATGTGAAGGGCTCAAATGTTGAGATTGGCCAGAACAAGGTACGAAGAGCCGCGAAACCTGTCTGCGTTATAGTGGATGAGGTGGATGGTGTCGTTGGTGGAGCTGGTAGTGGAGGCGAGGGTGGATTCATGAAAGCCCTCATCGATCTGGTTGTACTCGACCAGCGCAACTCGAAAAAATCTGCCGAAAATGGCGGACAAAATGGCAAAAAGCGCAAAGGCGACACTTTCCGCTTCCTTCGACCATTGATTCTGGTTTGCAACGATTTATATCACCCAAGTCTACGGCCATTGAGGGCCTCATCCATCGCTGAGATGATTCATGTTCGCCAAGCGCCATTGGAGAACGTTGTCCAGAGAATCAAGACCATTTTCGTTCGAGAAGGCATCCCCTGCGACGGTGATGCAGCTCGGAGGCTCTGCGAGGCAGCTTGGGGGTTATCGGCCAGGAGACAGCGCAACTCTAAGAATTCAGGATCTGCCGAAGGTGACATTCGAAGTGTTCTTGTCGTTGCCGAGGGAGTGGCGCACAAGCTTCGAAACGAACGCCAGGATTCGCTGAGATTGACTAGAAACTGGCTGGAACAACGAGTCCTAAGCGCGTCAACTGAAGGTGGTTCATTCACCAAAGAAATGAGCCGCGGAGGTGTTCGTGAAATTGTGAACCGAGTCTTTACTGAAGCCGCAGGGTTTACAGATGCGCCTGTTGGCAAGGACTCCTTCCAAGACCGATTCAGTGGACCCAATAGCCGGGTCCCTGTTGGCGTTGCCGATTTGCGAAAACGACATGGCATCAATCGCTTAAGAGAGATGATCGATTCTAGCGGCGAGCATGACCGATGTGTCAACGACTGCTTTGCCTCGTATCCCATTCAAGAGTATCAAGACGATACCTTCCTGTCCAAACCAAACGCCGCCTACGATTGGCTTCACTTCCATGACATGATATCTTCCAAAGTACATTCCTCTCAAGAATGGGAGTTATATCCGTACTTGAGTCAATCGGTTCTTGGATTTCACCACCTTTTCGCAACCGCCGGTGGTAAGACGGAGGCTGCTGGCCATGACGAGGATGACGATGACGCCGAAGAAGAGCACCCCTTTTCCGGTCCCAAGGCAGACTTTGCTGCGTTCGAGACACAGAAGCAGAATCGGGCTATTTTGACTGGGTTTCACACTTCCTTCTCGGCACCACTTGTTCGTCTATTCCGGTCACCTGATAACGTGATCGTTGAACTAGTTCCATACCTAGTCCGTATGCTATCCCCAGACGTCAAACCAGTCATTGTCCGAGGAACCGGCGAGTCAAGGAGTACAGCTAGCGTGCGTAAAGAATCAGAGCGTGTCCTTGTTCAGTCTGCCGTGCGAGTGATGGTTGGTCTAGGTGTTACATTTGAGCAAGTCCGAGTGGAAAACGAAGGTGGAAACCATGGTGGATGGGCCTACCGGATGGAGCCGTGAGTGAGACTCCAATCTTCAATGCATGTGGGAAATCTAACTAACTGACTCTCCACAACAGACCAATTGATTCGCTCATAACATTTTCAAAAATTCAAGGTACCTCCTTGGCAAATTCCAGTGGCAATGCACCCGTCCGCTATGCAGTCCGCCAAGCATTGGATCAGGAATATCGGAAAGAGACCCTGAGAAAGCAATCCAGTGCGTTAAGCGCATCAGCGAAGGCCGCCAGGGCAGCACTTGGTAAATCTGCCACAGAAGAAGGCGAGGCTGCCCGGAGAATCAGAGAAGGACTGGTCAAGCGTGACTTCTTTGGGCGGGTAATCCAGGAAACTCCCGGGTCCAAGGACTTGGAAGATGGAAGCCATAACGATGAAAGCTCGAAAGCTGGCAGGAAAGTCTGGGTTACCTTCCATGAAGGATTCTCAAATGCAGTGCGAAAGCCAATATCAATGGGGGAGTTGTTGAGTGGGCTGTGAGATGATTTACGTATATATGTCAATGTTTCTTGGGGTGTCGTGTAGTGGCGTTTTTTTTTTTTCATTTACTGGGCATTCGGCTTGTTTCTGTTTCTGTTCATATTTCATCCAAATCAACACATGTATAGTCTATCATTCATATATAGAATTCATGAGAAACTAAAGTTTTGTTTTCTTTTAATACCAATTAGAGAATAACTTCAATCAAATTCAGATTAAATCAATTGATGAGATTAAAACATGAGCAAACATTTAAACCAATAAAACAGTAATCTATAAAATCCCAACGCCCAGTACAAGTATTTTTATAACCAGCAAATGTAAACACATTTTAATACCATTAGTTCCATCCCAAAATAAGCAACCAAATAACAAAGATCGCCAGCCGGCGTAGATAATCGTGATTAATATTCAAGTCGTGTCGTCGTCAAAGCGGCAAGGCGGCAAGGCTCACGTAGTAGAGGCCGTAGGAAACAATAAAGAATGAAAAACGAGAGAGAGAGAGAGAGAGAAAGCATCGAGACAGATCAAAGTCGAATGTGCACGACAGTCAGGCAAGTAAACAGAAAGCCCAGGTCGTGGAAGAGTAGTTTAGCGCATGCTGAAGTAGCTGGCAACGGCCTCATTGTGCACAGCCTTGAGAGCAGCCTCCTTGTCAGAGACCTTGGTTGGCTTGGAGCTCAGAGAGAACCACTTCTTCTTGTTGGCGTCCGCTGTACCCTTGAGAGTAGTTGCGGTAGAAACAGTGGAGTGTATGGAGGCATCGTCGGCGATTGTCTTGGTCGAGCTCTTGGTAGAGGAAGCGCTGGATCGGTTCTTGATCTTCTCCTTGATATGATTCTTAAGCGCAGTAGGCCATTGTTCGGGCTCATCTGGGAAACCTGGGGTTTGCCCAGAAGGGGTGTGGGCGATGGCAGGGAAGAGAAGGTTCATGATGAAGGTTGGAGGTATGATTGAGTTGAATAGATTGGTTTGTTTTGAAGATGGAATGCTTGAGCCAAGGCAATCAAGAATGATCTTTGTTGTGTTTGATAGATTGAGAATGATATTTTCACCAGTGGGGGGGATGTCAGTTGGCCTTATATAGATTGTCAGTCACCTACTATACCCCGTCGTCAACTCCGAGGGAAAAAAAAAATTAAGAATTACTAGTAAAAATAAAATAAAAAAAAGGAAAAATAATCAAAACTAGAAAAAAAAAGTATTAAAAAAACGCCCTCAAACCCAAAGATCCACCGTCAAAGCCCATCATAATGAGTCGAAAGCTGTGAAGCGTTCGGAAAAAAAGACGTCAGAGTCAAGAGTGGAGCACGTATAGCGTCGGACTTGCGACGTCTAACGTCGGAGTAGATCTCGGAGTTCCCTAAAACCCAGATTGTTAGGCTGGTTTGGCCAGTTTGGCTTGTTTGCTGTGTTTGAATCGTTTCGAATTTGTAATCGAAATCTTAATTGCAAACCATTTGAGCACATGTCAGTAGAATGTTATTCAAGTACATGATCCATTTACTCCATAATTCATGTTTACAGTAATATTGAATCCCGCTTATCCCAATTGTTTTCCTTTTCCAAGGTTGGACTATGAACAGGAGTTATGATTCAAGAAAGGAAGCAAACCAGAAGCAAACCAGAAGCAAACTTGGACTAAATCGAAAGGGCGTCCAGTGAGCTGCTAGACCCCATAATTTCCAAAATCCTCGTGTCAGTATAGCCTAATTGAATGAGCCCAATGCCGCGGGCTCCTAATTCGGTAGTCAAGGTTGGGCGTTACTTCCTACCGGTTCAGGACCCCGTTTCAGTAATCAACACGAAAGGGCGCATGATGCGTCAGCCTTTCAGCCTGCCTAAGCTTGACTCACGCCTGAGGCTGTTCAACCTTTTACTTGGCCCTTATAAAAACTATAAAAACGACGCTTACGAAAGATCTCGGATGCCTAAGCTTCTTATGTATGATTTCATCATTTCTCTCTCAGGCATTGTCGATGTAGTCAGTACTCACATCCTGTCGTCATTCTGGAGAAACCTAGATTCGTGTATACTGGGAAGCCTAGAATTCAGCAGTCCAAATCCAAAAGTGGAAATCGCGCATTGGAATCTACATATGCAACCTACTTTCAAATGTTCAGAGCGCAGGTCATTCTCTCTTCTCTCCTGCTCTGAAACCCTGAAGTTTGTACATGGAGATCAAAGGGACCCCACTTCCCGCCGCTAAGATATATCCAGGAAGAAATTTTTTTTCTTCCCACCAGAGCCTCCACATATGGAGCTTTCTTAGAATAGAGAGACGGAGAAATATGGGTCTCTACTACCGACCTAGACTTTGATCACGGCTACCAGCGGACAAGGCCTTATGGTTATAGAAACATTACCTGCACATGCACATGTGGTATACCCAAATAACAAATTTATCTGTGATGTTGATCGAGAGACGATTACTAAGAGTAGAATGACAGCCTAGATTTGAAAGTTTCGTGGCTTATGACTCAGGGTGAATCCAATGTCCAATAAATGATCTAGTGCGGGGAATTCGTTGGCGGGAGGATGCCGTTTGGTTTGGGCAACTTTTTCCTTTTAGTCTTGGCGATTTGTATACCTAGTAAAAAAAAAAAAAAGTAAAAAATAGAATAAAAACTCAAGAGTAAGAAAATGATCGATCGGCATTAGAATCTAGAATCCCAGCTAAGAAAATGGCGTGTGAGAGAAAACGTGGTGTCGGTTGGAGCCTAGTCCGAAGGCTTGAGGTTTTAGTCCGAGTTTTATTCCGACGTTCGATTTTTTTCTTTCATATTTTACTCCGATATCAGACTATAGTAACTCCGTGGAACAATACCACCTGATTGAGGCAAATTTTGCTCCGACGCTTAGTTCCGTATACTATTCTAGGAAAAATCTGCATTCTTAAAGATATGTATAGTATTGCGAAGAACGATTTCAATCGAGATGCTGTTTAGGGGCTCTACGGAGACTTTGCCTTCTCTGATTGGTCACATCCATGTGAGATCAATTTACTCCGGATCCAAACTGGTCCGAGCATCATTTCCCCCAATTGTCATCAGATCCAGCCGATGATTGATTCATGCCAAGATCTAACATGTTAAACCCGCGCCCTGTGAGGCTTGGAAACCCCCCACTCATTATGGTGGAGATGACACTAAGGGTCATCCGTACATACTAGATTTCAGATTTAGGCACGACCCCTCTAGGACTAGGGGTTTTCCCGATGGATTTGAAATCTAAAATATTGTTCGTGTATGTATACTAGTACATATGCCATATGAAAAGTGTCTTGGGCTATTGATTTTCCCGATGGATTTGAAATCTAAAATATTGTTCGTGTATGTATACTAGTACATATGCCATATGAAAAGTGTCTTGGGCTATTGATTTTCCCGGTGGATTTGAAATCCAATTGATATATTGTTTATGAATACATATGCCATTTTCCAAAAAATTGCCTTCAAATGCTTTATCACTGTCTGTCTCTCCGTCGCTCTTTTCCAAGGTTCCGCTCATACATATATCTACATGTATGTATCTAGTCCTTATGTATGGACTTTCTTGAATTGATGTTGAACATCTGGATGAGAAACGCAACCTGTAGGCAAGCCAACCCAAGAATTGAATAGCCCAAGTTGGAATTCATCAGATCTTGTGCCAATTGACCACAAGGTCGATAACCACCAGTTGACATAGAGCTGTACTGCCGAACTAAAGAACGGTCGTTCCACATTCGAATTGATGGATAGTTATCTGCTGCCCATGTGTGAAAAATATACTGCACATGTGGGTAGTGTACTTAGCACTGGAGGTAGACCATCCAACCCTAGAAGTACATAAGAACCAAGGAAGCAAATGATAGAATAATGAAATAGCTAGGCACAATCTTGAAATGTTTCTAAGATAATTGATTGCTAGTTAATCAATTTGCAGATTGTGCTGGTTAGCCCCCGAGGTCTCGAGGTCGGAACCACAAGGTTGGAATTTGATGAACCTGCACATCTGAGATTCCTTATAGGTAAACCCAGAGAATATATATGAGTGGGAACTTGGGACTTGTGGGGTCGTATACCTACAGCCCTGGAGTATGTATGGGGTAAAAAATTGACCAATTTGATTTGCTATTTGTAAGCATTTCCGAGTGCCGAGTTAACTAACTAACTAACTAGTTCAATGTTGCCATGAATAATCATGTCATGAACAAGCCTGGGGGAGAGAACCCCCACGTCTAGAGAATCTGGTAGGGGACGTTGCAGATAATCGATACTTGAATTTTGGGCTTTAAAAATGTCTTTAAATCTACCTTGTTGATAGTGACTCACCAGATATTCTCTTTCAAGGCTGTCACTTGTCTCCAAATCTAAGCCTTTGATTCCCACAACATTGAACAATGTCACTTAAATCCATCACTTTCTATGGTCATGCGAGCGGCGCCAATCCTTGGAAGGTCGTCATGGTTCTCGAGGAGCTTGCAATCCCTTACACCCAGAAGATCATGGCTATGGTCGATTTGAAGGAGCCCTTTGAGTCAATCAACCCCAACGGCCGTGTCCCGGCCATCCAAGACCCCCAATACCGTCTCATATATTCACCAAACCAGAATAATAATAAGTAGAAAACAAAGGTAGTAAAGTAAGGATGTGAAAGCTGGATGTTTTGGTAGAAAGGAAACGCTAGTCCTGAAACAGATTAGGCGGTGAAAGCCCGTCTTGGCGAAACCGCGAGTTTTCCGTGTCGCGACATCCACCTCTCATCCCCATTGATCCAGCACCCGGTCCAATCATCCCCTTTCGCTGATTTCTCATCAGATTGGGCCATCTGTTACCACGTACAAATCTGTCAGCCTATGTTCTGTTACAACAATACGCAATTCGTTCAATTTGCGCGTTCGACATAAAAAAGAGCCGATCCTCTTGTCGCCCGCGACAGCTACTTTGCCTGAATCATCATGGATGACATGTCGGTCAACCCTGCCACCGCGTTGGACAATGCCCAGTCTGCGACTGGCTCAGATGCTGCCGCAGAAGCATCTCACGCCGCCAGTGGCTCCGGTAATTCGCCTCCCCCCTAAGCCCTGTCTAAAATAAGATCATTGTAGCTCACTAGATAACAGAGGCGCAATCGCGCCAGGAGTCACCCGTGAAGAAGGCTGAGAACCCCACTGGATCTGATAACCCCCTCGATGCTCCGGCCTCTCCTAAACCCCAAAACGGCAACACCGAGCCAGAGGATGAGGAGATGGGTGGCACCGAGACGGACGCAAAGCGCGATACTGAGGGGTTGGAGGATGCCGCGGGAGAGTCACAGCCCCCCGCTGATGCCACTGAGGGTCTTGAAGATGCCGTGGGTGAAGATCAGCCGGCACCGACCAAGTCATCTTTGGAAGCCTCTGCCCGTGACCACCTGCTGGCCCAAACACACGCCATCATCCTTCCCAGCTATGCTAGCTGGTTTGACATGAGCACCGTCAACAGAATTGAAAAGAAAGCTGTTGAAGAGTTCTTCAACGGCCGGAACCGCAGCAAGACTCCCGCCACATACAAGGATTACCGTGATTTCATGATCAACACCTACCGGTTGAACCCCATTGAATATTTAACAGTGACTGCTTGCCGTCGCAACCTTGCCGGTGATGTTTGCGCGATTATGCGCATTCATTCGTTCCTAGAGCAATGGGGTTTGATTAATTACCAAGTAAGAAATCCAAATGCGTGACTTACTTTCTCTCTTCTGGCCCACTAACAAAGGTCTTTCAAGGTCGATCCTCAATCCCGACCATCCAGCATTGGCCCCCCATTCACTGGCCATTTCCGTATTGTTGCCGACACCCCTCGTGGCTTGCAACCTTTCCAGCCCGGTCCACAACCCGTTGTTTCTTCTGGCAAAGCCCTCCCAGCAACTGAACGCGCTGCCTCCGCTACTCCCGCCATTAAGACAGATCTTGATCTCCGCCGCAATGTCTACGACAATAAGGGCAAGGACGTTACTCCATTTTCGGACAAGGAGAAGCAAACTAATGGTGCTACAAATGGAACCGAGACTCAAGAGCCTCGGAAGAAGTCACACTGCTTTTCCTGCGGTATTGATTGTACTCGACTCCGATTCCATTACGCCAAGGCATCCCCAACCTCAGCAAATGCAAACGCCCCGAACACCAAATACGACATGTGCCCTAACTGCTTCCTTGAAGCCCGTATGCCTTCTAGCCATAACGCCTCGGACTTTGTCAAGCTGGAGGACAAGGGACACTCCCACGTGGCCGATAAGGATGCGCCCTGGTCGGATTCAGAGCTACTTTTGCTTCTGGAGGCCCTAGAAAGCTTTGATGATAACTGGGAGCAGATTGCTAACCATGTTGGTACTCGCACCAGCGAGGAGTGTGTGATGCAATTTTTGCAACTCGAGATCGAGGACAAGTATGTCGAAGACTTGCCCGAGCTTCGCTCTGGCCCCGGCAGGGAGCCAATCAGCGCAACAGAGAACCCGGTCCTTTCAGTTGTTGCATTCCTGGCGCAGATGGCGGATCCCGCAGTGGCTGCTGCCGCCGCCGGCCGTACAGTCGAGGAGATCCGGAAGGAGTTGCGCAACCAACTGGAGAAGGGTGATAGGAAGGGCAAGGAGTCAGTCAAGGCCGAAGACTCGATGGATGTGGATATTGTTCGCCAAGCTGAGAAGCCCAAGGAGTCACTTGCCACTGTGACTCTGGCAGCTTCAGCTGCTCGCGCTAGTGCCCTTGCCTCACATGAAGAGCGTGAAATGACTCGTTTGGTTGGGGCTGCAGTTAACGTGACCTTGCAAAAGTTCGAGATCAAGCTGCAGCAGTTCAACGAGATGGAGGAAGTCATTGAGGTTGAACGTCGAGAACTGGAACAGGCTCGTCAACAGCTCTTCCTGGACCGCATGGCTTTCAAGAAGCGCGTCAAGGAGGCACAGGATGCTTTGCAGGCTGTTAGCCTTCAGGGTCCCAGCGAACACACCAACACCATGCTCGCAGGTGCCGCCACTGCTGGTATTGGAAACCACTACAGCTTCCAACCTGTTGGTGGAGACGCGCGCGCTGGAGCTCAACCATTGAGCGCCGAGGCTGGCGCTGATTTCAAAACTCTCGACCTGTAACTTCTTCCTCAATGCATGTACGATATCCCATGTGCGGAGAAGAGAGAGAGAGCGAGAGGGGACTTTCGTGATCTGGTGGTGTTTATGATTTTCGAGTAGTTTTTTTTTGTGGTTAGGAAAAGGCGCAGTCTCTATTATCTACTGGAGTTTGAGTTGATTTGCCCTACAAGACCTGATTGATGAGTTTAGGTATTGTTTATTTTATTATTATTTTACCCTCAGGAGATGGAGCCATCGGGCCAAAGGTCCTCTATCCTATGACCTATTTTCTTGAATATTTCTTTTCTCTAGCTAATTATAAATGTAGGCGATGGGAATGCCTGATATCCTGTGCAAAATTGGTTTGCATGTAAAACGAATCGTATTTCGATTGGGGGTATATGTAGTATGTATTAAATGTCTATTTATGGAGTCATCAATGCCGCTGAGTATGTGTGTATCAGGGAATTGGCTCTTTTGTACTTCCATGCCGCGGCACTTGAACAACAATGCTTGGTCTGAGACTAGGACTGGGTTCATCGACATCCATGCGGTCCTCGCCTGCTCCATCGGGAGCTTCGTTGTCCTCCACTGCGCCGTCTCCAGTATCCTCGTCGGCCGAGTCATCAATTCCGACAATATTGGTAGGCAAATGATCGGATGGTCTCCTTTTTCTGGGTCTCCGTGATCTTTCAATTTCTTCCTCCGATGACCCTTCCTCATACATCGCCCAGCGTCTTTTTTGTCGATTTTCAACCAACTCGGCTTCGAGGTCTTGAGTACCATCCTTGTAATCTTCCCAATCGCCCCGGTAAAGAGTTCGGTCGCGCCAGTCAACCAGGTCCTCTCTTGACTTGCGTTCGGGGGCAGGCTTGCGAGAAAGTGCGTCTTTTTCAATTTCGTTCTCCGGAACAAGGGAGGCATTGAGACGAGATGGCACGGGTTCTTCCAATAGATGCCATAGCTTTATTTCCTCGCGGCGACTCATTTCTAGATCGAGGAGGTTTGCATGCTCATCTTCGGGATCTAGAGGCATTTCTTCCCATGCGGTCTTTGGAATTTGAGGTAATGAACGCTGAATTGGAATCGGGGCTGGTTGTGAGCCCGCGGCCTCCAATTTAGACTGACTATCACCTTCCGATTGGCTTAGAATATCATCCTGATCAGAGTTGTTGGAGTCTTCGTCCTCATGGGTAATCTGAAGAGCTTCATCGTAGCTGATAGTCCGAGGCTCCTTTTCGTCATCCACATCATCTGTGATGGTCAACCGATTTCGACGTGCGAGATTGACAAAGAAACTAGCTCCACCTCGGTCGTGTTCCATATTCAACACGTCCAGAGCAGCTCGAACGTCTCTCTTTCGAACGAAGCTTCCTCTGTCTCTGCCTATTGCATGCAGACCATGTAGTCGTGACATGGCAAAGAAGAGAGCGGATTGAATCAAACGGCGCGTAACGCTCATTGTCAAAGCGTAGAAATCCATGAGAGCTTCACCGTGCAGCGACGGAGACTCAGATTTTGATTGAACGATGTTACTCCAGCAATCTTCCGATCTTGACCCGCCGAAATTCATGAACATTGTTTCAGAGAGATGTATCCAATGTGGAATATTGAACAAATTGGCAGCGAGATCGATCCTGCCTGGCAAGGGGGCATTGATTTCTCGTGCAATGAGTTTCTTAGCCTGGGCTTTGGCAATAATCGCATTATCGTCATAAGTTACGCGGCCCGCAATCTCCACATCAAGGTCTTCTCTCATTGTCAGGACCCGCGCGTATTTATCCAGCTCGGCGCAGCATTCTTTACTGACTTCCATGGCAGCGGGAACGTCACCCAGGATTATTGTGTTGAGCTGTCGCTTCAGGATATGCTGATCTTCCAAGCCACGCTGGAGTACTTTGAGGTAATCCAGCACTTCCAATTCTGACTTGCTCCCAAGAAGAGCGGCGACCTGCCCGAGTCCATTCTTGCCCTTCCGGCCGAGAAGTTGGAAGAGTGATATTTTTTCCGCTGCGGTCCAGATCACTGTACCTATCTGGGTGGTTTCATCGTCATCGGTTGCTTCAGTAGTTGTTGATATATCACTCTCGGTTTGTTCCAAGAGTGTGGTGTATTGAGTTAATGACTTTTCATCCAAGATTGCGAGAAGCGTATCCCAGTGCTCCCATCGGGTTTGTGAGGAATTTGGTTCATCTTCGTTGGCTCCTTCCCGCCCACTTTCAAAATTTTCATGATCTTGTGGTGGATTCTGATCTTGTGATACCGAAAGGCTGAGGTCAAAGGGTTCAAGTTGGGAATTAGAGCGCCGTTGCTGTCGCCCGCGATTGGACTCGAGAGAGAAATCGGAGTCATCGGAGTTGTCGTGGTCGGAAGAAGAGTTGCTGCTCATCATGGGAGACTCGCAAGCTCACAGCGCATAACAAATTGGAGACGGAACATCACAGCCACGTCTGCGAGATCGTAAAGTCGTTCAATTGAACGAGAGAGATAGTAAAAAGTGGAGGGAAAATTAAGAAGCATTAAATGCTGAGGTCCACCAGCAACGTTATCGATAAGAAATGTTTGCACTGTTTGCACTGTTTGTCATCCACAAGCTTCATCTTGATTCTTGAAGTCTTAAGCTGCTTTTCTTTCTTGCATGGATTTCATTCGGAGATTGGGCTTACTTACAGTCTCAAGGTCGTGTAAAAGACCGACCAGAAGACATGCAGTACCACATTGCTGGCGAAGTGTGCGATCCAACTCCACTCTTCCACTACCTAGCTCAAGCATCGTTCTCCGCGACTACCAGGAGGAAAGCATACAGTCGGTGCTTAAGTACCTAGGTGAAGGCCACCGACGTCTTGGAATATCGCTAGCTACTGGCGCAGGCAAAACTGTTAGTTGACATAAATCTTCCCTATATGTCCTTCCTCCCCACTGAAAGAAGTTTATTAATCCTTTCTTCTTCCCAGGTCATATTCACGCAACTCATCGACCGAGTCCCGCCACATGATGCCAAAGCAACGAAGACTATGATTATTGTACATCGTCGCGAACTGGTCGAACAAGCAGCGAAACATTGCCGACTTGCTTATCCAGAAAAATTCGTGGAAATTGAGATGGGTCAGAATAAAGCCACCGGACATGGCGACATTATCATTGCATCCGTACAAACTCTCTCCCGAGGGCGCATTAACAAATTCGATCCCAGCGCTTTCAAACTCGTTCTTGTAGATGAAGCACACCATATCGTGGCACGATCATACCGCGAAGTTCTAGGTTATTTTGGATTAAATGAACCTACTCCCAACACTCCTGTGCTTGTTGGAGTCTCTGCGACATTTGCACGATTCGATGGACTCAAACTCGGTGCTGCCATCGACCACATTGTCTATCACAAAGACTATGTCGACATGATTGAGGACAATTGGCTGGCAAATGCGGTTTTCACCACGGTCAAGTCAGAAGCAAATCTTTCCACTGTCAAAAAAGACAAATTTGGTGACTTTGCCCTTGGCTCGCTTTCCCAAGCTGTCAATACTGCTAGTACGAACAACATCACAGTTCGGACATGGATGGCCAATTCGCAGGGCCGAAAATCCACTCTGGTTTTCTGTGTGGATGTTGAACATGCCAGACAACTAACCGCGACTTTCCGCGAGCATGGCGTCGATGCTCGCTACATCACAGCCACTACGCACAAGAACGTTCGATCAGAGCAACTTGAAGCTTTTAAGAATCAAGAGTTCCCAGTGCTGCTGAATTGTGGCTTATTCACAGAGGGCACTGATATTCCGAATATCGATTGTGTGCTCCTAGCGCGACCAACCCGATCAAGAAACCTGCTCATTCAAATGATCGGGCGTGGGCTGCGTCTCTTCCCCGGAAAGGAGAACTGCCACATCATTGACATGGTTGCCTCGTTGGAGACAGGGGTCCTCTCAACCCCGACACTCTTTGGTCTTCACCCCGACGAGGTCCTAGACAAGTCCAGCGCGAAGGAAATCCAAGAAAGCAATTCGGAACAATCTATAGCCCCCCCAGTGGAGTGTATAACACCTCAAGGGGAATCAGACGGAAAAAACCCAAATCTAAAATTCACAAAATACGACAGCATCTATGATCTTCTAGAAGACACCCAGTCCGAGAGACATATCAGGTCTCTCAGCCAAAATGCCTGGGTCCGGGTGGACGCTACCAAGTACCTACTATCCGAATCTTCTGGATGGTTAAGCATCGAGCAAGACAACGAGATGTTCACCGTGAACCACGTCATGAAATTCAACGACCCAACGACCGAGAAGATTCAATTCACCCGCCCACGGCTGATTGCATCTGGGCCGGACTTGGAAACTGCCGTCCGCGCAGCAGACACGTATGCAGGCAATAAGTTCGAAAAGCGATATATCTCATCCCGGCAACCCTGGCGGCAGAACCCAGCCACGTCGGCGCAGATTGCAATGCTGAACAAAGCCCACATCCGAGACGGCAAACTGAAGACTGGAGATCTAACACGTGGCCAGGCCACTGATATGATTACCAAGCTAAAATTTGGGGGCAAGAAACGGTTCAAGGAAATTGAGGCTAAGCAACGCAAGATGCAACGGAAAGTCGACGAGATGGATGAGTTGCGACGAAGGACTGATGTCAAAGTTGGGCCGTTGGAAGGCTAATGATGAAATCTCACCTCATCTGCCGTGTAAATTATGTACGTATACCCAGTCCCTTAACTCAACGCGGGACTGAACTTGGTTGTAATACCCAATCCCAAGAGCGACAGTCGATAACAAGACAAGCTCCATCTGCACCAATCTGAATTCTCCTTAAGGTGTTACCTTTGAACACAGAATTAAACACAAGTACTTAATAGTACACCAGTAGGCAGTAGAACAATTGCCAGCCCATCAAGAAAGCCCATGAAAACCCCGGCGATACAGATCCATCAACTGTCCAAGCGCCTCCTCATCTTGATCCAGCTGCATTTTCATCCGATGGACCTGCTCACTCATATCATTTATCCAGTCGCCCAGTGGTGCCAGCGCAGTATCATAAACATCCATCGTATGCATCGCACCATAACGGGAATGTAATTGGGCCAGAGTTTGTGTGAAATCTATGAATCTTCGTTTGTTGATCTCTAGGTAATCGGTCTCCTGGACGAGCAATCTTGTAAGTGTTGAGAACTCCGAGGTTTTCTGAGGACTGTAGAGACTTGAGCTGTTTTTGCGTTTTTGCTGGAGTGTTGAAACACAAATGTCAGTAAGTTAGATGCCGGGTTTAGAAAACAGACATAGCTCGGGCTTGTGATGCTTGCTCTAGGTAACGAAGATACTAACCTTGTCTGCTGGTTGACCGGGGAGAGATTCCTCAGCCTTGCGTTTGTTGATATTCTGCTCAAGATGTGGATGGGGAGAGGTTTTGGCGAGTGTTGCTGAGGACGCGTTGCTGTTCTGTCGATCTGCATTAGTTTTTAAGACCGTTAAGACCGTTCTTGTATTAATAAACTGACTTTGTCAACCATGTTGATATGATGTCCATCGCAAAATGACGAGTGGGGAATAGGTATGGTCATGTTATGGGTGGTTATTATTGTAAAAGGAAAGTTTGAAGGCTGAAAGATGCATACATGTTTGTTTAAGTATGTTTGTTACAGGTACAATAGAAGAATCATATTGTCCATTTTGATACTCTAATACTTCCAATGATAATCTCCCAAGTAACCCAAGGCTCAAATTTGCTAAAACTGTGGACAAAAACAATAGATTATTTACATAAATCTTATACTTCGGCTTTGAGCACACAAGACCAGCTTACTAAGCTTACATAATCGCATGTCACCTGGCGGGGTAGACGATCAGGAAATCCTTCACCCCGCTCTCTCCAAGTCGTTTACAACCTCACGAATCTCTCTCCCCTTCACCGATATCACCAATACCGCCATCATGTCCTCCCTCAATGAACGCTTCGAAGCCGCTGCCGCCGATGTGAAGAACCTCAAGGCGAAGCCTACCGATAACGAGTTGCTGGAGGTAAATACAGCTTGTTCTCTGCTTCTGGCCCCTTTGTTTTTGATACTGACAGGCCATCTAGCTCTACGGCCTCTACAAGCAAGCCACGACCGGTGACAATGACACAACAAAGCCCGGAGCTTTCAGCTTCAAGGTAAGCATACTATGCTGCCCCCATGTTCATACCACGAGACTTTCCCGCTAATGCGAATACTCTCATGACAGGAGAAGTACAAGTGGGAGGCATGGACCAAGGTCCAGGGAAAGACCCAGGACGAAGCCAAGGAGGATTACATTAAGCTTGTTGATCAGCTCAAGGCCAGTCATGGATTCTAAGAGGTTATTTGTAACAAGAGCCGATGTTAGCTCGTAGACTTTATTTGACTCGGAATCAGAAATGCATCTACTACATGTGTACTAAATAAATAATTAATGCATATCCATGCACATACATGCTGCATGCATAGCAGGTACAATTTGTACTGATTTTACAATGCACAAGGAAATACAGTATTCACAAGCAACTTGAAATTGTATTCTTGGTTTGAAAAAAAAAAAGTCCGAACAATATGAAATGTATTTTTGTCCTCAACAACAACTATGAAATTCATTAAACAAAGTCATAAACTCCATAAAAAGACAGTAAAAGCCCGTCTTAAATGACTTAGATGTCATCCTCATCAGAGAAGACCTCCTCACCACGCTTGCGGCGAGCGGCACGCTCCTTCTTCTTCTTGCGGAGCTCGGAACCTGTAGAAAAGATTGATGTTAGTTTTAAAATATCAAGGGATGAGACGGTTAAAGGTAAAGAATAACATACCAGTGAGCTTCTTCTTCTTCTCAACAACGATCTTGTTACCCATGGCGTCGAACTTGTCCTCCTCATCGTCGTTCTTGGCGTCGAGACGGGGACCGGAACCTTGACCCTGGACCCAGTTGTGTCCGGAGGGGGCCATGAGACCATCGTTGACGGCCCAGACTTCCTCAGTCAGGTTCTCAGTGAACTCACGGGAGTGAGTAATGATGATAACACCACCCTCGAAGGACTTGATGGCCTTGGAAAGAGCACCCAGGGAGTCACGGTCCAAGTAGTTAGTAGGCTCATCAAGGACGATGACGTGGGGACGCTGCCAAGAGCAAGCAGCCAGGACGACCTTAACACGCTGTCCACCGGACAGACCGCGCATCTGGGAGTGAGAAACGAGCTCGGCATCGAGACCGAAGTTGGCGCAGTGCTGCTCGATCTCCTTGCGGACAAGGGGACGGAACTGACCGGAGGCGAGGGCCTCCTTCTGATCAACCTCGGCGACTTGCTTCTGGTGAGACTCCATGATCTCGGAACGGGGCAACCAGGTGTTGTCAGCGGTCATCATGGGAACCCACTTCTCGGACTTCATGCCGATGTTGTCACCCAAAGACCAAGAGATCTCGTACTCGTAGGTGTTCTTGAACTTGCGACGAGAGTGGATGCCAATGACACGACGGAGGGTACCCTCGACCTTGTAGATCTTGTCCATGGCCTTCTCGTCCTGCTCGGTGACGATCTTGTTGGCGCGGTCCATAGTCTCACGGTCCTCACCGGTCTGGAAACGCCACTGGATGTACTCGGAGGGGGTGGAGCCGAGGTGGTTATCAATGTGAGCGAAAGCGTGCTGCTTAATGTAGGCGATACGGATGTTCTCGTGCTGGTAGACATCACCGGAGGTGGGGATCAGCTCACCGGTCAAGACGTTGACCAAGGTGGACTTTCCGGCACCGTTGGGACCGATGACGGCGATACGGGAACCCAGGGAGACCTGGAAAGTGACATCGCGAATCTGGGGCTTGGGGGTGGAGGGGTACTGGAAGGACATGTTGGAGACACGGATGATAGCCTTGGACTTGGTCTTGACACCCTCAAGGAAACCGGGCTCGGGGAACTTGAACTCCATGTCGGAGGCAGAGAGCTCGTAGTAGGAGCGAGCGGAGGGAACGCGCTTGACGAACTCGCTCAGGGTACCGCGGTAACGCTTAAGCTTGAAGCGCTCGTAGTGGATAACGTGTTGAATGACGTGGTCCAAGAAGCGGGAGTCGTGGGAAACCATGATGGAAGTGCAAGGAGAGTTCTTGAGGTAGTCCTCCAACCAAGCAACGTTCTTGACATCCAAGTGGTTAGTGGGCTCATCGAGCAGGAGAATATCGGGGTTCTCAAAGACGGCACGGCAAAGAGCGAGCTTCATCTTCCAACCACCGGAAAGGGCGGTGATGAGACCATCGAGCTGGGACTCCTGGAAGCCGAACTCGTTGACCAGCTTGTGCTTGACATCAGCCTCATCGGGGGTCAGGCCAACCTCAATAAGCTTCTTGATGGTCCAGCCAAGGACAGTCTGCTCGGTATCGGCAGAGTCCAAGTCGTGCTCGACGTAGACGGTCTTGACCTCGCTCTTCTTGGGGAAACCCTCGAGCTGCTCGTTGTTGATAGCACGCATGAGGGTGGTCTTTCCGGAACCGTTGGGGCCCAGGAGACCGTAACGCTGACCACGCTTGAGACGCAGGTGGGTCTGGTTAAGCAGAATCTTGGCACCGTAAGCCAGGGAGAAGGTACAGTTGCAAAGGTCAACACCTTCCTCCTCGTCGGAGGGAACCTCGTCAGCGGCAGCGGCGTCGGGGGAAGCACGCTTGCGGAGGGTCTCGGCAATGGGCTTGGCATCCTCCTCACCGGTGATGGCAACGATGTAGGGGAGGGCGTTCTGGGTCCAGATGGTGGCATCGGAGTCCTTCTCGTCAACGAGCTGACCAGCGATGGCAGCAACGTAGTTGATGATGGTCTCACAGGGGGCAATGCGGTCCTGGAACTTGGCGGACAGGATGTCCTTGAGGATGGCAGCGACGGTGGAGATGTCACCGGCGGTGGAGATCTCGGGGATCTTGCCATCGACGATCTGACCAACACGGGTGATGGTGTCAAGGGCCTGCTTGGTCTTCTCACGGGCCTCGGGGTCGGCAAGAATCTCGAAGTTCTTGTTCAAGGCGGGCAACATCTTGGGCAAGAAAGGAGCGACAATCTGGGGATCCTCGACAAGCTTACACATGTTGTCGACAATGACGGCAGCCTTACGCTTGATAGCAGTCTCACGCTCGACGAGACCACGGTCAAGCAGGGGAACCATGATAGCGAGAGTGGGGCCAGTGACATCGGAAACGAAAGTGGTGGCACCGAGCAAGTGAACGGTCTCGGGGACGTTCTCAGGCTTGGAGATACACTTGATGAGCTCGGGAATGAAACGCTCAATATCCTTGTTGACAATGAGACCGCAAACCTTCTCCATGGTGGTGTAGGCAGCCTTCTTGATCTCACCCTTGGTGTCCCACATGGCCTCGGAGACAACGGGGATCAGGCTGGGGACCTGGTAGGAGAGCTGAGCGGGGGAGGACTCAATCAAGAGCTCGAGGCAAGTGAGAGCAGTCATCTTCTCCTGCCACTTCTGGGCGGTCTGGATGGACTCGAGGAGAGTAGGGACGATAGCCTTGACGGCGTTACCGTTGATGGCCTGGACGATGGCAGCAGCGGTGCTCTGAGCAGCCTCCTTGACGGGGACGACCTTGTCACCAACGGCGTTGAGGACGGGGCCGAGCAGGGAAGCAAGGTGGGGCTCGACACCGGGGGCAATGGTGGCGTGGGAGGCAATGGCCCGGATACCCTCGAGGGCACGCTCACGGGCGGTAGCATCCTTCTTGTTGAGGAGCTGCTTCTGGAGGGACTCGGCAGCCTTGGCGGGCAGGGTCTGCTCGGGGATGGGACCGCTGAAGAGGGTGGCGAGGTTGCCGGCGGCGGCGTTGACCTCCTCGGGGCTGGTGGAAACGTTGAGGTTCTTGATCAAGTCCTCGAGGACGGCCACGGACTGGGCGACCTCCTTGCTGGAGGCAGCAGGGACCTTGGAAACATCAACAGCAGGCATTTTGGCGGAAATTTTGGCGGTAGGGAGAGAAAAGAGGGAATTAAGATAATGAAAAGAAAAACTTTTCTATGGGTATCACGATATCGATGGCCCAAACTGTGTCGACTGTTCAAGACACAGCAACGCTCTGATCAGAGTGAGCGGAAGGGAATTTTTTTTTCCTATCTGTCTATGCAGAGAGAAAAAGAAAAACGAAAAAAAGAGGCAGACCTCAAAAAGAAAACACAGATGAGAGTGGGAAGAAGGAGGGGCGGAAGGGGGGGCAAGATTATTTATCGTGTGGTCCTTCGCCGCCCAAGCAATGAGAGCGAAATTTTTTTTTTTTGCAAATTTTTTTTTTCTTTTTTTTCTTTTTTTTTTTTTTTTTTTTTTTGTTCCCAGCGAAACTAAGCAAACTAAGGCTGTTTCGGGTTTAGTTCGTTTCACTTCCGCTTCCCGATTGGATAAAGAGGCACAGTGTGTCTGAATCCCGCGTCTGTGATTGGTGCAGAAGCCGGGTTAGGTGAATACAGTGCAAATGAGGGAAAAAATGGATTCAAGGAGGGGTTGCTCTGTTTGTACTAACTAGGGCTTGAATGAAAGAGATAAAGAGAATTAGAGAAGTTAGAGAGTGAATTAGAGAATCAGAGAATCAGAGAATCAGAGTACTCCAGCACCTCCAGCGCCCAATTTGGGTATTATATTTTTACCCTTCTTGGGCTATTTTTGTTCTCGTCATGTACACTTTTTTTTTAATTTTTTTTTTTTAATTTTTCTCTCTTTTCCTCTTTAAACGCGGCTATCAGAGGTTCGGGGGCCCCTGCACTTGCAGAGCCAGTCTAGTCCTTGGGGGTCAATCCGGGGCATGAAACATCTACGGAATACCTGCATATCAGACTTTTTTTTTAGTGGCTAAGGGCTGCCGCTGCCAAATTCTATTCTTTCGCCACTTTCATGACTCGGTGGCGTAGTTCGTGTAAAAAAAAAATAGAAATTCTAAAATACAAATACAAATAAAAATAAATTAAAAAAAAAGATGAATACTAGTATCCAAATAATATGGCTTTATATCTCATCACCATAGGTATCATGTTCTTCCTCTTCCGTCTTTGCCCGTTAACACAATCCGAGGTGTTCTGGAATCTTACCGTCAGCGGTCAGCGGCTGAGGAGTTTGAAGGTATCGTAAGCGTAAAACAAAGCAAAAAACGATCTGAGCAACATTGGAATAGAATATGCATTTCTAGATTATTCCATTAGATCTACGAACTTGGGGGATCAACCCTGCGAACCATTCAGGGGGTATATTACTTTTGCCCTTCTAACTTGAATCTTTTTCCGGTTTCTATTTCACCTGCTACTCTGCTACTCTTAGCATGTACTCTACTTATCGCCCTGGGATCAATCCTTATCCCCCGCGAAACCCGGCGAAAACCGATCCGAGTGGGTCCTCCAAAGAAGAAGCTTAACTTTGCCATTCGCTTTCAATTTCTTCACTTTAATTCAATATGTACACATTTAACTCGTTCGAGCCGGGATCTGGAGCAAGGCATCGGAAGAGGGAGTTCGTATTACTATTTGTCTTTTTCTTTTTCTTTTTCTTTTCGTCCGCCACCAAACTAGGAGGTTAATCACGTCACTATTTTCTTTCATACCTACACTAGCACTCTGATCATGAGTTCTATAGTTGGATTTTGGGGGCTGTGGGATCCGCACGGCAACATCCATGCGCCCCCTAGCTCTCATTTCTTATTCTATGGGTCTGGTTTTTTCTTGGCCCCTTGTTCCCTTGACCTGTACAAAAAAAAAGTGGGATGGCTAAATAAGTCCCCCCTTAGTAGGTAACTAGGTCTGTCTTACATTGCATTCGATATCTCCATGTTTCAAATCTGGGGTAAGATCCACATATATTCTATACTGAAAAGGGGCCATCTCCCATGCGAGAATTTCCCGCAAGTCACCTTTTTGGTTTGTTGATGTTGATTCTGGCTGCCCCTATCTTACATCAAATTTACTGAACCGAACGCCCCTTTCAAGCCATCGTACTTTTCATTGCCCCCTTTTCCCCTTGTCCTGACGCTCAGGCCTACCATCTGTGACGCCGTACATGTACATGTACATATACATGTAGTGTGATCGAAAATAATGCCCTGAATTGACTAACCTATCATCTTCAACCTCCAGAAAAAGGGGCCGAGCTGAAAAATAACGAAAAATTCTAAAAAAACTCAAAGGTTCGTAAAATAAATAAAAAGTAAAAAAATCTGGTTTCACAATTTTACAGAAGTTCCCTAGGTATCTTCAAAGGTTAACAACGTTGAACTTCAGTGTTGGCAAATCCCATCTAGAGTTTGCAGTAACATTTGAACATTGAATAGAATACATCGAAATTTTAGCTGGCAAGTCATGTACTAAGTAATATAGTTGAATACAGAGACGGGAAAATGTTTGGAAATATCAATTAATATTCTAGTATATAAAGTCTAGGTCATCATGCAGCATCATTAAAGGCGGGGGAAAACACAAAGCTCAAAACTCCAAAGGTGCAGCGAATCTGGATTATAAAGCAGGCAAACAACTCGCCAAAAACACACATGTGCAAACATTGAAAACGAGTTTAAAACTTCGGACTGAACCGACTCATGCTCCGGATCTTAGCTCCATAGAAGAAGAACAGAATCGGAATAGGAACCATGGCGAGGGTGACAAAGCCCAGAAGACTGGACGCCCAAGCCACACCAAGGTTTCCATACATCTGAGTAGCAAACAGTGGGAAAGCACCACCGCATAGAGATCGCACGAGGGTATTGGCTGCAATGGCAGAGTTGGCAAACATCATATATACATCAATGATGTAGTTGAGACCTTGCATGAAAATGACCAAGATGCCCAATCCAATTGGAACTCCGGCAATGACCTGGGGCACCCATGAGATATTTTTATTAGAGGTCCAGCCGAACCAGAACAATCCAATTGGCAGGAGAACTGAAGCGATCATCATGGGGATCAGGCGCTCCTCAGGAACGACACGGCCGTGCTTGGCTAGTTTACGAGCAAAGCGGGTCTTCGTTGTGTAGATAATCAGGGCAATGCCCAAGAAAACACCAATCATAATACCAATGAAAGGGAGTGCGGCAACACCTTCATGTGTCCAGCCACGTACTTCGCCAAAGGAGATCGGGTAGGCTTCAAAGAAGAGGTAGAGAATCCCGTAGATGAGAGCGAGATAGAGGGTGATGAAGAGGAGGATAGGCTCCAAGAAGAGCATCTGGAATGGACGAAGAAGATACTTGGTCACAATATCATTCCAAGTGGGCCTGTGCTCATCAAGGAAAGAGTGCAGTGCCCAGTTCTTGGTTTCTTGACGAAGACGGGCAGCACGGTCCTGGAGGATCTTGGGAGCATATGTCTCTGGAATGATGAAAAGGGCAGTGATACCGAAGAACGAGGATGCGATGAGAGTAATCCACGCAGTCCAGCGCCAGCCTAGGTATGAATCTGTGATGAAACCACCGACAATGGGACCCATGATTGGGCCGAGGAAAGTAGCTCCACTAAACATGGCGATAGCGACAGCCCGATCAACAGGGTCCCAGAGGTCAGCCATGGCACCGCCAACAACGGCTAATGGGGAGCAACCGAAAACGCCGATCAGGAAACGGAAGATCATAATCTGTTGGAGATTTGTGGCGACAGCGACGGGGATTTGGAATATAGCAAATATAGCGTAGCCGGAGAATAGTGGGATGCGGCGGCCGTATAGTTCACTCATCGGAGCCCAGCAGAGAGGACCGAGGGCGAAGCCGAAGACAGTCAAACTGGTTCCTAGGACCATGACTTCGGTAGACACATTGAATTCTTTGGCTGTGACAGTTGTTGCGGTCGAAAAGACACTACTGGCGAATGTGATCCAGACGGTCATTAATGACATGGTCACAGTGATCAACCATTTTCGCCACTTGGGGTAGTTCTGAGGATTTTCCGGATCGTCTGGACCTTCCCATTCGACCAGGTTGGGATCTTTGTCGGCAGGTTTCTCGCGAGGTTGTTGGTCGAGGGCGCTCTCGACGTCGGTGTCTTCGTTCGGTGTTCCAGACAGCTCTTTTTCCGTGGCAGAGGTATCCATGGTGGATTCGATGGTAGGCTCGTGGTGATCCATACTGAGTCGAGGTGTTGTTGTATTGGAGTCAAATTGATTGCGACTCATCTCTCGTGTTCAAGCCTAAGCCAAATGAGTTCGAAATTGGGATGAAAATCGTCGGTTGCCAGATAAAGATATCTTCGTCCCTGGCTTGGTATTCGGCTTGGTATTCAAGTATAGGAAGGTAATCAGAAGGTCGACACTTCCAACTTGGGAATATGAAATGTCAAATGAAAAAGCTACTATCAAGTGCTGAATAAGTAGAATATATGCTGTGATGAAGTTGAATCTTGGAAGAGACCCCCTTTAAATGTGGAAATGGCCTGGGTTTTATCTTGAATAGCGTCATGCTAGCAAAAATCGTGGGTCCGCAAAGATTAAGCCCGAAGGCAAGCTCCGCAACAAGAAGGGAGTAAAAAAAACCCAAGATCCAAGGCTAGAACTCGAGGTAAAACCATCATGGAGCAATATCATTCGCTAAATCGCAATATAAGGAAAACGTGGAAGATCCACTGTTTGACCTAATGTCCGTGGATAACCCGCAGACTAAAGTCCGACACAGCGCGAGACCGAGATCCACCCACTTTGATATTCTAAGCCCTAATATACTAGTTGGGTTTTTAGATAAAGAATACTACTGCGAATACTACTGCCTTGACTAATTCTACAAATATCGGCATCTCTTCCCGGACTTGTTTTCTCATGAGTCACATAATATAGTTTGGCTGGGCTTTACTCTGTAATTAATGAAGAATTGATTGAATTGCGTGTTCGGCTGTTGATGAGTCCCGGCTTCGCGCTCGTTCCTCCGAAAGGCCGAATGCCGAGTGGAGACCCGCTATCAATCTTGATAGATCCCCCCTAAGCCCTTATTCATGACCTCGGCTCTTTCCATCGTCTGTCATTTGCCCAAACTACGGACTACCTGCTTACTTATAACTTGGTCATCGGGCATTAATGTGTAATCATATTCTCCATATCTCCTTTATATTCGGAGTTTATAGAGGTCGTAAGCCGGCATCCTGTTCCACCTTGGCAAAGAATTCAAATAGGTCTTTTTCTTTTTGAATGTTCACCGCCAATTCTATCATGCCTAATTGATGTACGATATCTCCTTCTCCTTTCCTTTAGTATTTGAATATCTGCGTTTTTTTCGTTACATGATTTCCCCGCGAGGACAATACCCATCTTAATAGAGTTATGAAGATTCAGGTTGCTATTAATATATGAGTGGTAGGTACTCTATCAAGACCATACATCGCCTCACACCGCCCATAGTGTTTACCCGCCCACAAGCTGTACTGTACATAACTAGTCATCAACTTAGTACACCCATCTTGGAAAAGAAGGGGAAACACATCTATTGCTGTCCTCCGTTGCTCCATTATAATTGGAAAAGAGATGAAGAAATAAAATTGTATAGTACAGCCAATGTAAAATTTGTAGGGTAGACGCGATCCCGTGCGAGTCGGTGCGACGCGTCTGGGCGGTCAACCTCCATCTCCACCCATTCTGCACCGCGTCAACTTCCTTCCTCCCCTCCATCTCTTATGTGAGCCCAGTTGTCGCAATTATGCCGTCGCGCACTCGCCAAGTTCCCGCTGACGAGGCCGAGGAGGAGTCTGGCCTTCGTGGCTTATCCTTCAATCAGCCGTTGTCATGGCGCGTGGGGCGCTCGGCTATCATCATCGCCGATCTACTTGAACGTCTCCAGACCCTCGCCCAAGAACTTCGCCAGCTGGAACAAGAGGAAATCGATAAAGAATCTTTGCGAAAAGTGTCACAAGAATTAGCTAGTGCTCAGCTTCTCGCACATAAGGATAAGGGGGTGCGAGCCTGGGCCACGTGCTGCCTGGTCGATGTCTTACGACTGTGCGCGCCGGACGCGCCATTTACCAGGAACCAGCTCAAGGTGTGCTTACCAGAGGACGGGTCCCTGCAATGGTCAATTGGCTTGTGGGAATATGCTAACGTACATTAATCCAGGACGTTTTTACTTGTATCGTGACATCGATCATCCCCGCATTAGCCGATCCATCCAATGCCTACAATGCGCAACATATATACGTCCTGGGCTCACTCGCCGAGGTCAAGAGTATCATTCTGATGACTGATATGGACCATCCCGACTCTCTTATTATCCCCCTATTCACTGCCTGCTTCGACATTGTCTCCGGATCATCCAAAGCGTCAACAGGCGAGGAAGTGGCCAAGAACGTGGAGTTTGACATGATCCGACTCCTTGTGACTGTGATCGATGAAACACCTGTCTTAGCCTCCGAAGTTGTAGACATCATTGTGGCACAATTCCTGCGGGTAGACCCTCGGGTTATGAGCAACCCTACCAAGGCGAAACGCGGCGATGCACCCCTCGATGCCAAGCAGGATACACTCTTGTTGAAGGACTACCCGGCAGCTTACGATATGGCCAAAGCGATCTGCCAGGCCTGTCCGGAGAGAATGACGAGCCATATCAGTCAATATTTCAACAACGTCATCATTGATGCGTCTGCCCCTGCCGGTCAAGCCAATGGGTCAAAGAATGGGACACGCAAGCCGAACCTGGACGATTCAGATGAGGAAGGGGAGGATATCAAGGAATTAAGCAAAGCGCACCGTCTGATTCGGGAGCTTTGGCGAGCCTGCCCGGATGTTTTGCAGAATGTTATCCCGCAGATTGAAGCTGAGTTGTCTGCAGAGTCAGTCGCCCTCCGGTTACTGGCTACGCAGACCATCGGTGACCTTGCTGCGGGTATTGGTATTGCCGGACCTCCTTCACCACCCCCTATGGACCCTACGGCTTACCCGCCGGTGACACTCGAACAATATGAGAGCACGATTCCCCAGCCTAATGTTCTGCTTACGCCCATGTCACCAAAGCCGTTTTCTCAGGTACACTCTTCGGCCTACAATGCATTTTTAAGTCGGCGTCTCGATAAAACGCCTTCTGTCCGCGCCGCGTGGGTGACAGTTGTGGGTAGAATTTTGTTGACCTCTGCCGGTGGCTCTGGCCTGGGCGAAGGCGAGGAGCAAGATCTTGTTCAGAGTCTTGCCTCAATGCTCCGCGATGCTGATGAGAAGGTCCGTGTTGCTGCCGTAGACACTGTCGGTCAATTCGGCTACACAGATCTCGTTCATAAACTCGGCATGAAGGGCGGCTGCTCATCAACGGATTCCGTGTTGGCAATTCTTGCCGAACGTGTCAAAGATCGCAAGCCACACGTACGTGAACATGCCATGAAAATTTTGGCACGCATGTGGGCTGTGGCTGCCGGAGACATCGAGCAGAACACTGGACCTGTCGTATCTCTCCTGAAAGATGCACCATCCAAGATTTTTGATGCTTTCTACACCAACGATCAAGAAATTCATATCCTAATTGATCATGTTCTGTTTGAAACACTCCTTCCATTGAATTACCCGCCAATCAAGTCAAAGCTTGGCCGCGGAGCTTCCAATCAATCTCAGAAATCGAAGGATAGCCAGCAGAGTTCCGATGCGGACCAGGAGACCGACGTGGACAAAATCCGTGTCCGTCGCATTCTGACTCTACTTAGGGGACTAGATGAGAAGGCCAGACGGGTTTTCTTCGTTACGCTGGCTCGTCAACTGTCGATGCGATCGGCTATGACATTGTATTTGGAGGCATGTGAGAAGTACAACGGTGGAGTGGTTGACAAAGATGAAGAGCAAGTGAAGGCCCAGCTTTCCAGAGTCATTGAATCGCTGTCCAAGACGTTTCCCGATGTTCCACGGGCATCTGCAGACTTGTGGAAATTTGCCAAGACCCACGATCGACGCAGCTACCAGCTAATTCGATTCAGTATGGCTGCCGTCAGTGATTACCGGACCGTGACCAAGGCTATCAAGGAACTCCAGCGACGCGCACAGAGTGCTAACAACTCGCCCTTGCTTGAAACCATCACGCCTCTTTTGTACCGCAGTGGCTCTTTGATTTTCAACCGCAGTCACATCCCGGCCATCATGAGTCTTTCTCGGAGCGACGAGAACGGGCTGGCCAACGCCGCCCAGGAGATGCTCAAGCAGATATCCTCACAAAACCCAGAGGTTCTGGAGGCCCAGGTTCAAGAGATGTGCAGAGACCTTGAAGCACAAGCTCCCAAGGCTTCTTCGCCTGGCTCAGCTAGCTCCGAAGAGATTCTCAAGGCATGTGCCGGATTTGCTAAGAAGCTCCCAGCCAAGTTACCAAAGGAGCGCAAGTTTTACCAAGCCTTATCTAGCTATGCTTTGTACAGTACTTCGCCACGCTCTGCTAAACACGCCGTGTCGATTTTGATGGCTACAGTTGAACGAAAGGAAATGTACGCCAAAGACCTCGTACAAAAATGTGTGAAGAAGTGGAAGTACGGTTCTGATCACTTCCTGGCCCGCCTGGCAACTCTGTCCCAGCTGAATTTACTTGCTCCGCGGGAAGCTGATGAGGAAAGCGATATGATTATTTCAATTGCAATTAACCAGATTCTGCTGACCAACCGAAACCCTGAAAAAGATCCGCAGTATACATGGTCCGAAGAAACCGACGAAGAGACACAGGCGAAGGAGTGGGCGCTCAAGATTATCGTCAATCGTCTACGTGCGAAGGGCGGTTCGGATGACGATGAAGATTTCCGTGCGCATGCTGGGCCAGTCTACGACACGTTGAACAAACTTGTGGCCGGAGAGGGTGAACTCTCGAAGGACAAAGACACCCCTGCAAACCAGAAGTCTCGATTGCGTCTTCTTGCTGCCAAGTCAATTATCAAGCTCTGTGCTTCTAGTCTTTTGTGTGACCATTTGCTGGGTCCCACGGAATTCAACGCAATTGCTCTGATGGCCCAAGACCCACTTCTACCAGTACGAAGCAATTTCATCAACTATCTTAAGAAAAAGCTGGTCCAAAAGTCACATCTCGGGTACCGGTGGTACATTGTCCCTTGTCTACTTGCATTCGAGCCGAGCTTGAGCTTGAAAGAGAGCACGCTTACCTGGCTGCGGTCTCGTGCGGCGCATTTCGCTCATTTAGCCCAAGCTATCGGTAAACGAAATGAGCAGACCATGGTGATGGAATTGATCTTTTCGCGTCTTTTGTCGTTGCTCGCCTACCATCCGGACTATCCATCTGAAGACCTGGACGAATCGACGAAGCTCGGAGATCTCAGCGATTTCTCCCGATACATTGTCTTCTACTTGTCCGCTGTTGCTAATGAGCACAACATGTCCCTGATTTTCCATGTAGCTCAGCGTGTGAAGCAATTCCGCGATGGCATCACAAAGTCAGACGAGATGTCTACTCGTCTTCACACTCTGTCTGATTTGGCTCAATCGACCATCAGAAAGTTTGCGGACTTTTACTCACAACAACATAAGTTTGGTGGCGCAAGTGGAAGCACAAATATCCTACAAACTTATCCAGGTAAGATGGGTGTGCCTAGCTCCTTGTTTGCCAACATGGGTAGTCACCAAGAAGCCCAAGAAGTTGCCGATAAGAACTTCCTTCCAGATGAGTTGGATGACCTGCTTGACCGTGTTGTACGAACGGCAATGAAGCCAAAGAGCGGCTCTCAAAGTGGACAAGGCTCCATCAAGAAGAGGAAGCCCGAATCATTGGATGCTGCTGGCAACAACACAGCCAAGAAAGCACGTAAGGAGAAGACTGCACGGCCACCTCGCAAGTCTTCTTCATCTGCAAGCGTGGTCAACAAGACTCCCCAACGCAAGCGCAAAGGCGACGATGAGTGGTCTTCTGAGGTCGGCTCGGAAAGCATTACTGCTTCTGCTCGCCGTCGTAGCAGTCGAGGAACCGCTAAGCCTCAGATCAGCTATGCTGATAACGACAGCGACGAAGATGATCAAGAGATGCAAGAGTCTCATGATGTGGCACAAGACGAAGATGACGATGAAGAAATGGACGAGGATGAAGAGCAAGAAGCGGACGAAGAAGAGGTGCAGGATGTAGTGGAAGTGGAAGATGAAGAACAAGAAGAGGTGGATGAGCCCGCACAAGCTAGTGAGAAGGAAAATTCTCCTCCCACTCCCCCGAAGCGTGGACGCAAGGTGTCGATAGCGTCCACAGCGAAGAGTCCCCGAGTGTCTACGGCAAAGAGTCCCCGAGTGTCTACGGCAAAGAGTCCCCGAGTGTCTACGGCAAAGAGTCCCCGAGTTTCTACAGCGAAGAGTCCCCAAGTTTCTACAGCGAAGAGTCCCCGCGCAGAGAAAGAGAAGCCGACCACCGCCACTTTGCCAACACGACGATCGTCCCGTCGGGGATGAACGAGTTCTCTCATAACATCTATATGAGGATACGTGATTATCTTTATCTTTTGCCATTCTTGTATGATTCATTCTGTTGGCATGCATAGCATGTTTATCTTCTTATCTTCTTTTTTTTACTACCATGTTTCTGTTTCTTGCAGCCGATGACCATTCGAGATGTATACCCAGTCTGATTTGATGTCTCCATCCACCTGCTTGAATTCATTTTGTTTTAACGAGCCTTTTGTTACTCTCAGTAAACCATCGCAGATGTACCTAGTGCTGATCACCCACGATCAACCGGAATGACAATGGATTTCACTCCATGTGTTTTTCAAGTATACAAGCTCGAGTACTCTACGGTGTATCGCTTACTCATGACAGTTCTCAACGCGCAGTCGTGGATACATTCAAATTAATCCTCGTCCAACCCCAATTCAGCATCTACAGGTGAATCCACAGCGCTGTCAAAATTTCAGACAGTACCCCAAAGCAGCAAACAATTCAACAAAGCCAAAAGAAAAAAAAGATCTGATAACCGCATGGCCTTGCCTAATCTGCTCCACAGTTCTCACAGTGGATCTTAGAACAAGTGGACTCCATCCACCAGGACCCAATCGAACATGAAAACCTCGCTATTTAACGGCTGGAAAAAATCGTCTACATGAGTTATGACTAACAGAAATCTGGACTTCGAACAAAAAGACATTATCTCTGTAGCTACTTACCTAAAAAAGTCACTTTACAGTCGTCCGTCAACCGCCTCAAATTTCCTTTTTCGAAGCTAAACTTCTCCACACCTCCCATGGCTCCCCACACATCACTAGTCGGTGTCTGGATACGATTCCTTGTCGCGACAAGCGGGTGTGGCGCGAGGGTGTGTAATTGAATATTCAATTTTAAATGCTTCAAAGTTGATTCTCGTATAGGAGGGCATCTGGAGAGTTTGAGTTTCTTGAGTTGCATTTTGGTGGGATTGAGGTCAATTGGTATCCAATCGGCATATATCCATCAATATTGGATGGATCGGAGGATACCGGCGATTGGCAACGGGCTTCAAGTTCGTATAGGCATCGTTATAACGACCAACTCTGTGCACTTGATTTAAAAGTCAATACTTTCAAAGAATCAATGGACGCTGGTTCGAATTTTGATACATGAGAAAAAAGCACTCATATTCAAAATAGGGGGTATATGCAGGTAACCAGGATCACATTCCAAGGTTGGCAAATGTGAGTTCTATATACAAACGACAATGTAGAATAAAATATAACCCGGAAGGAGAAGAAATAAATGGTAAGATGCAATCATGCTTTACCAGTCGCAACCCATGAATCATAAATGCCCCAAGCACCAGCCATCAGACTGACCAAACCAGTCAGGTTCTCCGGGATGCCCACACCTTTCTCAAAGCACCAGTGAATGCACAAGGGAGCCCAGATGGTATTGTTGACCAGGCTCTTCTTCCAAGATCTGATCTCCAAGCGTAACTGCTCTGCCTCTTCAGCTTTGATCTCCTTGGTCTCGATGTTACCAGCCGCGGCACGTTTCGCTGCCAAGCGTCTCTTGCGTAGCACATGCTCCCGCCAGAGAACGAAGAACTGGAAGAAAATGTGACCGAACCAGCCACGGGTACTCCATATGTACCAAAGATCGATGCCGCCGTATTTATCGATCCATTTTTTAGAGATGACGCCCTTCCCGGCGAGGTAGGCTATGTTTTCGAGGAGCTGGTAGATAACGTTGGAAATGACTTGTAGATGGGTCAGGGCGTGAATTATCGGGTCAGCCGGTGGTGATTTGATTGTTTGAGAGCCCCAGACCCAGAGAGGTAGTAAGCCGAAGAGCCGGAGGTTGTAGCGGGTTTCGGAGGCGAGGTTAGAGAGGGCGGACCACCTGGCGGAGGACAAGGAGGAGGATGAGGAGGTGGGTTTGGGGTTATGTGAAGGGGCTCGGCCTCTTAATCGGGCCAAAATGCCCAGGCGTGTTTGTAGTGCGATCCAGGGGGCGGATGCGCAGAGGTGTTGTAAGATTGATGCGACGTAATTTGTTGTTGCGAGGACTCGTTCTTGCCCATCAGCGGAGGAAAGGAGTCTGAAGAGGACGTTAGCCGACCGGGTCAAGGACGGAGACAAGCGTGATGAATTTCGCTGTGATAAGCAGGTAGAAAGGGAGCTTCTCACAAGTCTAAGCGACGAATAGTCACGTCGGTCGCCGTCAAGGCTGCTAATAATTGTCGCCGTGACGCCGATTTCCCCGCGGATATCGGGCTAGTGTCCCCCACACGCTGAGCGTCGTCTGACGCTTTTGACTCATCGGGAGGATGGGTTGGGTCTGCCATTTGGAATGTGTTATATGGAAGTAAAACGAGAGAGAGAAAAAAAAGGCAAAGAAGAGAAAGACCAGCTTCTCGGTGCAGAAAGGAATAAGATAATAAGCGTATCACGGAAATCGCGCGACGGAAGGAACCGAGGCTCGGAACAAGGTTGGGACTTCCTCACTCGGCGAACTCCACATGAAAGTTGATCTCACCCTCGTGAGCGTCCAATTCTTGACACTTTTTTATTATTATTTTTTATCAAAAAAAATAAAAAAAAAATAATCACTTTGTCGCTTTTTTTATTTCTCTCCGCGCATGCTCCTGTTGGTACTTCCGGTTGAGGATCTCCGAGGTGTGTACACCTAATTGATGAATCATGACGGCGTTGGTAGGCACAGTCCATCTGGCACAGCAAGCATGACACCCATTTATTAGAAATAGGCCTGCGTCCGTGGGTGATGGCGCCTGTTCTGGTTCGATTGCCATTGTGGATTTGTGGGAACTTCCCTCGCGAATTGCCTTCTGTACCCAAGTCTCGAGGACTTTGATCAACATCCCGAAGGGGCAGGTCGGCATCGTACGCTGAGATGCAGGTCAAGATCTGTTGCGTAGTCCCGGCGGATCACCTGGGCGCATCCTCAGGCAGGAACTGCCCGAACGTAACGTAACCGGTGTCGCGGTGATTGCCATATTTTGTCGGGGCGCGAGATGCTCGCATGAGAGAGGAAAGGCGGCGAGTCCAGAGTCCAGACTGACTACCCAGACAAAGCCCACCAACATCCCTGTTATCTTTTTTGATGAGGCAGACAAGGTGTTAAAGCGACAGACTCTGTCCGAATCTGATAACCTTGATGTCTCGCCTTCAACCTCATCTTCGATCTCAACCGCACTACATCACGCTCACCACCGCTCTCATCTCCACCTTCACCGCTACGCTCACTCAACTAGCCTTTCTCGGGAACCGAGAGAGGCTAGGAGAAGCAGCAGGAAGGGACTGTATTCAAATATGTCAGCCTCAGATACTATTCAATATGTGATCAATCGCTCTACTCACTTGTCTTCCGACGGAAGCCTCGAAGCTCCGTGGGAATTGACAACTCATCCTCCATATCTGCCTAGTTCCTTGTTAGCCATGATATATTCACGATGCTATATGCAAGCACTTACCCCGGCCCAGGATCGACCAAGTGGATCGGCGGCCTGCTATTTGATATTGTTAACACTCGACTTCTGCTACTTCATCTCGACTCACAAGTCCACCCAGTATAAATTCATGGGTCTGATGTCGACTGGGCTCAACGAGGGATCATATGACCCGATGGAAAACGCGTTGAGAATATCAACCGTGGGAATGACTTACCAACGGCACTAGAGGATGAGTGAGGGACTCCGGCACCTCATCAATTCCAAGGAGTGGATCCTCGAAGATGGTGGGGAGAGGGTTCCTATACTCCCGGAGAGGATTCCTGAACGGCCTCTTCTTCCACTTTGGGGAGGTCGCAACGGTTTTTCTCTCGTGGATGCTGGGAAGAGGCTTGGCGGGCCCCCTCTCCGGCTTGGAAAAGCCCATGGTGTTGGGCAGAGAGAGAAAAGAAAAGAGAAGAAGAAAAGAAAAGAGAAGAAGAAAAAATTGTTTATGGGATCCCAGATGTGGTTCAGGTGGATTGGTACTTTGGGGCTGGACACACGGCGAGAAAGAAGGAAGAAGACTGGATTGTTGAAACTTGCATGATGAAACAATCCACCTCGCCGGCGACTAAGCGTGAACGGCCTCGAGAAGTCGGCAAATATACACTCGTATCGAGCCCCTACTCTCTTACTACGATCACGCTACGATCTCTACAATGCCCGTCAAGCGGGACTGTCTCGACTCGAAGACATGCCTCTTAATCAAGCGTGGCCTGTGCTATCTGGGCAATTCCCTCGATCCATGCTGCTTTTTTGCATACATGAGCAGATAGTATGCGAGAGTGTTTGGTGGTACTTGGAACGTTGCCGGTTTCAAATTGCTATGAGCCTTAAACCTCATGCAGGCCACTGTCATGAACTTAGTACATAACAATAGTCATGCAGAAATATCATTAGCCATGTATGATATTAGACGGCTATTCACAGCAGAGAGCTTTTGAGTGTGACAAGGTCAACTCCGAACTATGATATGCACCAGTTGACCTTACAGGATATTTGTGAATCTGCCTGAAATCAATTTTTATAGAGACATATGGTACGTGTAGGTATACTATGCACTGGACTAGTATGCACATAGTACTAAGCCGGGGGAATTCCCGATTTTCCGGAGTCAGAATTCCGAGCCGCGGCAATTACAATAGTAACAGTACAGAAATATTGGAAATGTAGTTTTAAATAAGTCCATAGGTTAATTAAATCATTAGAATAAAGCAATGAATTTTGAAGTTTTTTAACTACAGGAATATGTATAAAAGTTCCCTCCAATATTGTGTCGGAGATTTCCGAGAGGGCAAGTGGATGTGATGGATATCGCCGTCAGCCCCATACAACCCATACAACCCATATAACCCATACAATACAACAAAACCCCTAAAAATCCCCCCATCTGCCGACTCCAGAAACCGACCGCTTTTATTACTTTACTCTCCCCCCACCGCCTTATTCCCCAGATCTTCTTCTTATTCCATACTGGTCCTTTAAAAAAAGTATTGGACTTTAGGTACGTGGGTCTCTTTTTTTATGCATATATTTTTTTGGCTTCATAATTTCTGTGGACTACAGCTGTTAAGGGGAAGAAGAGAGAAAACAAGCCTCGGATGCTAGAGATTACTACACTCGGCCCAGCCCCCTCTTGCTTCCTGGCCCAATTTCCATAAACAAACACGTCCCCCCCCGTCCCGCCCCAACTTTCTTACCTTATCGTTGGATTTTTATCGATAATTTAAATCCATTGAAAACTAATAGTCTCTTTCTAGGCGCATTTGGGTCTTTCTTTGCTTGAGCTTTTCCTTTAGCCCATCATGTCTGTCAAGTTTCAAGAGGAGACTATCCGCACCGTCACTGGCGGCAAGCCAGAGGACTTGGTGCACCGCGTCGGCGAGCGATTGACTGGCGGAAACACCACTACCGGTTACCTCCAGGTATGATGCCCTTTCTTTACTGATTTCTTTGAATAGATTGATTGGTGAAAGCCAATTCAATCCATTTCATTTCCCGACATTCCATGCTGATCCGAGGAATGTTTATCGCAGGCCTACCTCCGTCAGCTCCAGCACAACCCGCTGCGCACCAAGATGCTCACCTCCGGTGTGCTCTCGGGTCTTCAAGAGCTCCTCGCCTCCTACCTGGCTAAGGATGTCGGCAGGCATGGCCACTACTTCTCCTCGCGCATCCCTAAGATGTCGCTCTACGGCATGTTCGTCGCCGCACCCCTCGGCCACGTCCTCATCGGCATCTTGCAGCGCATCTTTGCCGGCCGCACCAGTCTGAAGGCCAAGATCCTCCAGATTCTGGTCAGCAACTTGATTGTAAGTCATCCCATCTCCACTGCTCGGTTTTTGCGACCGTCGGGCGTCGCGCGCAATGAATACCCAACCCAATTCCCCCCCCCCCGGATACGGAAACGGACACGGAAATGCTAACCCGTTCCGCTTTACCCGATAGATCTCCCCCATCCAGAACTCCGTCTACCTGTGCTCCATGGCGGTTATCGCTGGTGCGCGTACCTTCCACCAGGTCCGCGCTACCGTTCGCGCCGGCTTCATGCCCGTCATGAAGGTCAGCTGGGTTACCTCCCCGCTGGCTCTGGCCTTTGCCCAGAAGTTCCTCCCCGAGCACACCTGGGTGCCGTTCTTCAACATCCTCGGTTTCTTCATTGGAACCTATGTGAACACCCACACCAAGAAGAAGCGTCTGGAAGCTCTGCGCAAGGTGAGATAAATATGCAATTCTGCCTTCCCATGTGAACTTTTTGAATTGCCAGCTAATTTTGTTCCAGCGCTATGACCAGCGCGACCAGCGCGACTCACGCCGGGACTATGAGAAGCGCGACTACCCTTAGAGGATTTCCAGTCGCTCTTCACTACCCATCCTGCAGACTAAACTATGAATGTGGAACCACATTCTTGTCCGCATCGAATGAGCTGGATTCGTACAGTGACAGCATCTATTCGATTATTTCCGCAGATATCTATTCCCCCTCCTTTTCTTTTGTGTGATGTCCTTGTTTTATTTCTTGTTTCTGGTGTTTGATCCCTGTGTACACATCCTTGCATTTTGGTATACGTCAAATATCTTTCTTACATTGATACTTATTCAATTTTATGACGAATGGAATTCCCGATACATTTCAATGCTTAATGTTTCAAATTCTTCCGCAATACACAATTGATGATGAACTTGGTAGGTAAGGCTATGCGATCTATTGATCCCAGCAAGCAAAAGAAATTCCCCAGGCTTTCAGTCGGACCCACTCTTAAACATCAAACGTTCAAGTTTGCCCAAGCGAATATTTACATTTACACCCTACACATGATGTCAATATGTGAACTGTGGCGGGTATCCTACAAGTTGACCGTTAAGGACAGCGGCTTTGGAGCAACCAAGAAAATGGATTAATAAATGTTATTTGTTCTTCAAGAAGACGGCTATCAATGTTGGCTAAAAACTACCAAGTCATCCCTCAAAACCTAGCCATGTTCCACGATAGGAACCTTGCACATGTGAAGTCACCCGAGCAGAAATTTAAACCAACCAGACTCACAAGAGCCGGATGATGATTATGCTTTCAGATTACATCTCGGTGCGGTCTCTAGATCCCCGGTCAGGAGTTCACATCATCCATAATTTCATCCCCCGGAGGAGTCTTTGCTCTCTTCTCCTGCACGAAAGCCACAAACTCATCGATGATGGCTGGCCATGCCTCATCCACACTCCAGAAGCTTAATTTCTCATCTTCGATCGCCTTGCGCAGAAAAACTTCAAGCTGCTGCCACAGATCCTTATTGATAGCCCTTGCGTTCCGCTGCTGCAGGAACTCAACCCACCAGTCCAGCCACGGAGTGACCGAAGTATTGGCCTGAATACCGCCAGTTGCGCGGTCGAAGAAAAGCTGCCACTGCTCGATGGCGATATCGAGGCCCAAAGTCCGGGCGCCTGGAAGACGGCAGAGGTTAAATGAGTAGCGGTAGATGTAGCGAAACAGGGGGTGCTCCACTGCAAATCTTGTGCGGAGGCTATCCATATACGTTCTCATCTGATCAATGGTTTTGCATCTGGAATTTGGGATTTGGAGTTAGTATAATGGGTGGATGTATGTAGTATGATAGGATGAAAAGAACAGGGAAAGAAATTCGGGGGTGAAAAAAGCATTCGAGGACCAAAGAGTGCGGGGATGAAGAAGAAGAGCAAAAAGGCAAGATGCAGACATACTTGCGCAGCTTCCAGCCGTTCACGAATCCGGCCCTGGTGAATTCACCTAGCGAAGGGCATTGGCAGATTTCCGCGACCAAGAGGACTGCGACGTTGTCAAGTGGAACATCGATATCGGTGAGGAAGGCCATGGCGCCTTCAATGCCGAAGATGTCCTTTGGATCAGAGGCAACTATTATGAGATTAGCATCTTAACTGGAGATGGGGATCGATGAGATATTGATATCAAGTGGGACCTACCTCGGTACTTATCGAAGATCTTGTTCAGTGGGGCAATAAACTCTCTCCTTTTGCTGGCATTGGCCTCGTAGAACCTAGATCATATCTGCTAGTGAGTAAAAGAATTGACCAGCAAGCAATTTATGTTGTGAGAATAATTCCAGTATTCAAGTTCCCGAGGGAGTCGGTGTACTGGTCTTGGAAGTATTCACAATGCGAAAGCCGCTGAAGATCGAGACAAAAAAAAAGATAATACATATGCTCTCTCTGTACATCTTATTTTCCGGAATAGGCAAGATGACAAAATGCACAGCGCAGGAGGAAGTCAGAAAGTAAAACTTACAAGGCCATTGCTCGCTGGATATCATAATTGGCATCATGCATGTACTAAGAAGGAGAGAAAGAGAGAGAAGACCCGTCAGTAAGAGTCCATCGAGGTATATGATATGCATGGGGGCTTAAATTGAATGATGGATCATGCAAGCCATAAATTAGGAACGTTGGAAAGAACATACAACTCCAGCATCATTAGTACTCTCACAGTGGACAGCAACAGAGTGGAACTGCTCGCATGCCAATTGCTGCCCCGCCGTCAGGTTGGGGCGCACGGGTCCCAAGCGCATTTGGGATGGCATGGTGAAATTGATATTGAACCCGCAGATAAGCGGAACGGGATGTGGAATGAGAAGGCGGAATGTCGGAGATAATCGGAGTTAAGGAGTGGAAATTGGAAGAGGAAAGAGTTTCTATGTGTGGGAGATGCGCCTTTGGGTAATGTCGCTCAAGGGTACTCAAAGTCCCTGCACCGACATTGTACGCTTGCTTGAACTTGTCGTGTTCCCCCGCGGGATTACTCAGCGATGGCCTCAGGCGGCTTATCTTATCGTACTATGGGATCCTCTTGTTCTTTACGTTTAGCGAGATCAAGCCTGTCTTGATAGCCTCTGTTTATGATGATCATTGAGCTAGGTATGACGAATATAGTATCTTATCAGTGTGCAAATGGTAGTGATTGCATATATCATTGTTTTATTGACAGTGTTTTGGCTCAAAGTCCAGATTTGTGAAGTTTTGTGAACGTTCCTTCAAGTTATCTGACCACCATCTTATTTGATACAAGAGAAAAACCCCATACCGAAGTGGAATAAGACTTTTTATATTGACATCTAATGACTCCATAAACTCCAGTTTCCGGTTCAACCAATGCTCCTTTAGGTGGTGAAAAGGGTGTCCTCCTGTTAAACGTTAGTAATAGTTCATATAATAGATAGCTCATCTTGTCTATCAGGCAGGGGCCACATGCCTCTCTCAAATATTCTCCTGCATAGGATATTAGCACATGAAAAAAGACTTAAATAGGGGTGGGTCCAAAACTTACCGACGTCTGCTTGCCGGAAGAGAGCAATGGCAGTAGGATCAAGTTTGCGAATCTCAGCAGTGGAGCGAGCAGTCACTGTTTGGGATATTAGCAGAGTGTTTTTTTAGGAGAGAGCAGAAGATGACCAAACATACCTCCGAAGCCCTGTTTAAAAGAGAGAGAAAAGTTATAATCAGTGTTGAGTTTTGTTAGTGATTGTTTAGTTCAACATACCAGAGGGGTATCTAGAGACACGAGAAATTAGTCAAGTCCATAAAACAATGGGAAATAGTGCGACATACCATCCATAGAATATACAATACAGCCAGAATGCTCTGGCGCATCCTCACTCCAGCGAGCAATGTGGGCGCGAACGACGTTGGAACCGTAAAGGAAGGGCACTGTAAACAACAACCATCAGCATGAGAATCTCCACCATAGATTCGTTGGTCTGGGACATACTCTCTCCATTAGGCTTAATCCAAAGGCGGTATCTGGCGTGGGGAGCGATCACGTCGAGGCTGGTCAGGGCAAGACGGAACTTGCCAGTCTTGGTGACTAAAAGAACGAAAGAAAGTCAGATCCAAAGGTTCAAGACATCGTGGGCGGAATAGCTGAAGAATAGGTAAGACTCACATTTGCCAATCATTGTTCCGACACTCAACAAGCTAGCGCGAGGAATAGAAACAGCCAAATTGGCGAGTTTTAAAGGCATATAGAAGACTCGGTCTTTCTGTATGCGGAAGACCATGCGGCCTCCCTCTCCATCGACGCCATCCACAGCAGAAGTGGGGGCAACAAGCTGTGACAAAGAAGAGCCGGTGTAATTGGCGATCTTGGTGAAAAGAGTCTTGGTTTCTTCCTCAGTAAGGGAACGCATGATGGGCGAAAGATGGTTGTTGAAAGATGGAGATAAGTTTCGATAAAATCTCCTAGTGGAGAACTCAGGAAAAAATGCGGCAGAAATAATTTTTAGTCCGCACCGCCTTTCTTCGCCGCAAAGCTTTTGCGCTCTCCGACTCCCGCAAATTTACTATCTCAAAATCAAAATCACAAAAATGGCACGCAGTCAAACGTCAAAGAGAAGGAGATTGAGTCCTCCTGGTGATGGAGGCAAGGGCGAATTGTACACCAACGACGGCGAGTGGGATATCGAGCAAGAGTACGAGCGACGCCCGCGCAAAACGAACAAAAAAGACAGCGAGGTCACACGATTGCCCATCAAAACCTCCGAAGGTTTCGTCCAGGCCAAAGATGAAGTAGAGGAGCCGGCGGATGAAAGCGACAGCTTTTTGGGAACCGATGATGAAGATGGGTCCGGCGAGGAGGAGTCCGAAGAAGAGGAGGAAGAGGAGCAAAAACCCAAGATCCCTGTGAAGGTCCAAATCATGCAAGCAAAGGAAGACTTGGCCCGGATAGCCACTCAAATCAATGAGGATCCTGAAGAGAACGTCGCTTTGTTCAAGACCATGGCCGAGATTGCCGACAAACCAGACTCGCCTCTCACGGTGAAGAAATTGGCCCTCGCGGCTCAGGCTGCTGTCTACAAGGATATTATTCCTGGATATCGCATTCGTCCTCTGAGCGAAGAAGACAAGACTGCCAAGGTTTCAAAGGATGTGCGCAAGCTGCGTGATTTTGAGCAGGGCCTTGTGGCTGGATACAAGAACTATGTCAACAAATTGGCTATGCTGGCCAAGCCTGGCCGGAACCAAACAAGCGCCAGAGATGCCAGCCTCAAAAGCATGGCTATCAACTGCGCTTGCAGCTTGCTTCAGGCTGTGCCTCATTTCAATTTCCGAACCGAATTGATTAAGATTATCATCAACCGACTTGCACGAAGAATTGTGGACCCGGATATGGCCAAATGCCGTGAGACTGTGGAAGATGTCTTCGCCAAGGATATTGATGGTGTTGTCTCTCTTGAGACCGTCCGTTTGCTTTCCAAGATGATGAAGGCCAGAGACTTCCGCATCCACGAAAGTGTGCTGGATACTTTCCTCCACCTACGTCTACTGGGTGAATTTACTTTCAAGGCCTCACAAGACAGCATCGACCGCGAAGAAGAAGACACTGAGCAAATTCGTGGCAAGAAGCAAAAGCAAAAGCGTCAATTCCGTACGAAGAAGGAGCGCAAGGTTATGAAGGAGCGCAAGGTGGTCGAGAAGGACATGAAACAGGCAGATGCACTCGTCTCGCACGAGGAGCGTGATAAGAACCAGGCCGAGACTTTGAAACTTGTGTTCGGTAACTACTTCCGCATCTTGAAGCAGCGGATTCCCCACTTGATGGGTCCCGTTCTGGAGGGTCTGGCCAAGTACGCCCGTCTCATCAATCAGGATTTCTTCGGAGATCTGTTGGAAGCCCTGAAGGATCTCATTGGACACGCCGAGCGTGAGGATGAAGGAGAGGAGGAAGATGAAGATGAGGAAGAGGATGATACCAAGGAAGGTGCTATTTCTGAAGCCGCCAGCCGTGACTCGCGCCGCGAGACCCTCTTGTGCACAGTCACTGCATTTGCTTTGCTGGATGGCCAGGATACTGCCAAGGCTGCAACAACTCTCCACTTAGACCTGAGCTTCTTCATGAAGCACCTCTACCGCTCCCTTTACGCCTTATCTACCAACCCAGAAGTCGAGTTCAACCCCAATACCTCCCTGCGTCTGCCCGATCCGAATTCCCCCGAAGAGTCGTCCAGAATCCGCTCCAAGAACAAGGTCAATTTCCAGACTCCCATGGTCTTGCTTCTCCGTTGCCTCCAGTCGACACTGCTATCCCGCGCACACGGTAACCCACCCCCAGTTCGACTTGCCAGTTTCTCCAAGCGTCTCATGACCTCCACTCTCCAACTTCCCGAGAAGTCTGCTCTCGCCACACTTTCTCTCCTGCACCAGGTCTCTAGGCACCATGGGCGTCGCATCTCTCCTCTGTGGCACACGGATGAGCGCAAGGGTGACGGTGTGTTTAACCCATACTCCACTGATATCGAGGGTTCAAATGTGTTTGCTGGATCGGTTTACGAGGGCGAATTGTTACGGCAACACTACTGCCCGCAGGTCCGCGATGCAACCATTGACATTGAGAAGATGCTTCTTTCTGCCAAATAGACGATTTTGTGTCCATTGTGAATGTTTATAGAGAAGGCTGGTTACGATATTCTTACTTTGAGGATGTAAATTTCAAAAGCGATTCATATTTTTGTGGCTATCTTGGTTCTTCAATCATTAATGGTAAAAAATATTGCACGCAAATTCGAACGCTTGATCAGATGAGAACTGTAGTCTCTTTCAACTCCTTTCAACCCCTTACAACTCTTCCTCGTCTGCACACATCCCAGTAGCTCATGTCCGAGCATAGTCTTCCAGTCCACAACTCACCACGACGTACATCATCTCCCCGCGTTAGCAAATAAAACACAGGGCGAACTTTCAGATCCTTACAACTCTTCCCCGTCTGCACACACTCCAGTAGCTCATGTCCGAGCATAGTCTTCCAGTCCACAATTCACCACAACACACTTCATCTTCCCGCATTAGCAGATAAAACACAAGGCGATCTTTCAAATCCTTACAACTCTTGCTCGTCTGCACACACTCCACTAGCTCGTGTCCGAGCATAGTCTTCCAGTCAACAATTCACCACAACACACTTCATCTTCCCGAACGTTAGCAAATAAAACAAAAGGCGACGTGGCAACCTCTGTGGAAATTGATACAAAATGATCATTTGAAGGTTGATCAATCGGACTTGGTATCAGGAACAGAGACATGGTCCCATTCCTGTAGGGTATCTGTCGAATGGACATCCTTTCGAACATCCTCGCTGCACCGATGAACGACAGTATCCGGCGACACACTCTCAACAACACACCCACGGTCATTCACTGTAGGGGTAACATCTCTAACCGAACGAACTTTATTGACGGATTCCAGGTCAGGGCGAGGCTCGGCAAACGCAGAAACAGAGCCATCAAGAACATTTTGCTCCGCATTGTTCTCGAATGTCTCCGTGGCAGTCTCATAGGAACTGAAAGATTTATCATTTTCAGTCCGAGATCCGGCTCGGAGCGCAGGGTGAGTGGCGAACTTATGATCTTGCGAAACATGTGGGAAAGGGGTAGGAATACGCTCAATAGAGCGGGCGTGTTCAGCATTGCGCGGGCTAAAAGAAGTGCGAGGGATAGCCGGCAGAGGAGGAGTAGAAGAGCGAGATCTGGTGGCTATTTCCTCAGGGTTTGTAGCATTCGACTTTGAACGGCGACCGCGGGAAGGCCAGCCAAACCTGCTATTGCTGCTGCCACCACTGGAAGCAGTGTCGCTGACATCGCGGCGACGAGTGCGGATGCTAAACAAGTTCCATTTCTTCACGTCATCGTTGTTCTTGGGCTTAGCGAGGGGGGACTTTTCCTTGGTGTTCTTGATATCTGGTGAGCTGGACGTCATATCTTTGATTCCTTTGATAATCCCCTTTCCAGTAAGAGAAACACTGCGTGGCATCATACCAACTACCTTGCTATCCGACTTTGGGAGTCGTTGGCCACGGATAGGGGTTATGGCGACATCCATGGCAGCAGTGCTGACCCTAGGGGCGGTACTGGCCTTTGGAGTGAGCTGAAGTTGCTTTGGAGTAGTCGGGGTATTTCTTGGAGGGACTGGAGTATGCTCCAAGGCAGCCGGGTGCCTCTTGGGTGTTGCAAGAGCTTCTTCGGGAGAAGACAGAGGGCCACATACGGCCGAATAGATCAAGGGCTCGGTGCTGTCAAGGCTAGAGTAGCTTACTTGGGGTGTGACACCTGCAGATACGAAAGAAGCATTGTCCTGGAAGGTCATTGAGCTACCCTGGTGAGCCTTCATGTATGCGATTTCCCTTTCAATGTCCGCATTTTTCTGCATGTGGCCATGGATAAAGCTCTGGTTATCATTGCATATGTGCTTTGCAATAATTTTTTCAGTTGTCAGCTTCAGTTCACCATAAGATATGGTGAGAGAGCGAACTTCGTTCTGCAGTTCATCGATAACCCTGTTCTCAAAGTCGCTCAGCCGTTGCTCCATGACGCCGATTTCAAGACGGATTTCGAGATGGAACTTCATCATCTCCCGGGAGATTTGGCATTGCTTTGAGAAAAGATCCGAATTGGCACGACTCAAATCACCATTGCTTTCAATTTGATTCTGAAGTTGATCGCCAACCCAGGCGCAAAGCTCCTCAATCTTTTTGCTCATAACGGCAACCCCAGTATCTGTTCTTTGTTGGATGGATTTGATCATATCCAGAATGTCATCAAGTTGGTGGACAAAGATTCGACTCCGTTTTGGATTTTCATCGTGCGTGGTCTCGTTCAGCGGGAGATTCGACTTCTTCAGACGCTCCTTGAATGACGGAAGATAGTTGGGGAGAGATTCAATGGGTGATTCATTGTTGTCATATGCACCGGCAGTAAGTGGAATATTCTTCTGCTCATTACCACTGGAGATTGGTCGGTACGAATCATCAAACCAGCTGCCTGGAAGATATTTCACTTTACCTTCTCTCTCAGTCAAGTCGCTAATATTGGGAGGCGAGTCCTTTGTGACGGGGTAATTTGGCACAGGTGCAGTATTGGGAAAGGAAGGCAGCCTGGTTGGAGTTTCGCCAATAGAAGGAGGAATGGCAACTCCATGACGGCGTCTTTCATGAGTAATTGGAGGGAAGGGAGAGGTGCAAACTACCGGGTTTTCATTCTCTTCAATGGTCGACGTGATTGTGGAAGACGAAGCTCGACTTCCCGATAGACTGGCTCGTTGGCTAGTTGGTTTGACGAGAGAAGATGTAGGTCTTGCACTGGAGAATGTCCCCGAGGAAGGCAGAGGAATTCTCTTGGCGGAGGGCTGCCGGGGCTTCACTGGAGGAGCTTGTAGAGGTATGGGTGGTAATATGTCACTTTTCTTAATTGGGTGGGTCTTGGTGTGTAGGTTGGATCCCTGACTGCTTGAGCTCGACCCAGTTGGAATTCCATTAGGATACTCATGAGGGCTTGAATTGTTGGAATGAGCAGGTGAAGCATCCTTGAGGGCTTCCTTCCGTAAGTCCTTGAAGCTCAATTTTGACTTGATCATCTCAAAACGCGACCTCTTCCTGCCTTCAGGGCTATCCTGAAAGCCTATGGGCTCGGGTGTGGTGTGTGCCAGAGACGAAATAGGATCACTAGCCAAGCGTTTGCGCAAAGTATTGGGTCTTTCAACTTTATCTTCACAAGTATTTGAGCAATTGTTAGAATCGGTTTTCATGTGACGAGGCTTAGGCATGGGAATTGCGAGACCCTCCTCATAATCGAGGCTTGACATTTTGCGAAGCACTGGAGGAGGGCGTGGAACATTTTCTTCAGGGCTGCGGGAAGCTGAGCGGGCTGAAGGTGATAAATTTGTCAGTCGAGTTTATTCAAATTTCAGATATCACGAGCGTGAGAAATCGAGTTATTGGAAGTAAACACGGATACACAAGCTTACCACTGGCTCGACGAGGAAGACTGCTTCCATTGGCAGGAATAGGCTTCAGCAGAGAGAAGGCATTCCCAGGCTGGAATTTGGTTCCAGATTGGAGGAGGGATGCCCGCATATCAAGGCCTAGTCCATCAAGGTGAGAACGAGTAACAGTGGGACTTCGCACAGGCATTTGATTTCCCGGGGGAGGTTCACCAGAAGACGCATTGTTGACTTCAAATGACTTCTGACGGTCAGTCATTTGGTCGGGGGGCTTTTCATTCTCGTTTTGCATTGTTGATGTTGTTAAATCCGATACCAGTAGGATGATCTGCTTTGGGGACTGGAAAGGAACGACAATTTAGTTGATGCAAAAGAGCGTGAAATTGAAATAGGATTGGGGGGAAGGAGGGGAGAGGAAAAGAGGGATGAGGGAGAGATGAGGGAGAGAATAATTGAAACAAGTTACCAGTGAGAAAAATATTGGAGACAAAATTCAATCACATGAGGTGTTTGCCAATTAACTGAACCCTCTTAGCTCCGTCCACTTTATATAACAGCGAGTCAACGTTTCTCAACTTCGATCTTTCTCTACCTTGACCATCAACATTCTTGAATCTTGATTCCGTTTGCCCAATAGCTTCGTCTTACGGCATATTTCCAATCTCGTTACACTTCGCTCAATCAACTGAGCTGAGCCTTACAGTTTCCAGAGGCAACTCAAGCAAGTCATATCATTTCTCTTTCAACGTCTTAACCGACTTACTGACTCTAACTGCCCAAGTCCAGTTCTGGCTGCCAACCATGTATCTTGATCAACCTTCCAATCAGTCCCCCAACCAATCCCCCAACCAATCTGCTATTCAACCCAAGCCTTTTAGCCAGACTCCTGGCAATGAAACAATGACTCAACCGTCACCTTCCACAGAGCTCGAGAGTTCTTTGGAAACAAACGGTTATTTCGATATTGAGGATTCTCTCAAGATGAATCCTGCCATGGAACACGCAAAGACAGTTCAACCGGAAGCTCCTGAGAACCTCGAAGCTGACAAACCTAAGGGCACTACAGAGGTGAAAGTCGGAAACGATACTCGGGCACCTACTGAGCCTCATATCACCAATGATTCTCCCAAGATTCCCGAAATCTGCGGAGTCAGTGATGAAACAATGCCTCAGATCCCTGAGTCGGAAATTAACCCACCCGATTCCGATGCTCTTCCACAGGCTCAATCCCCAGTGAGGAAAGCTACGCAAAAGACGGGAGTCACCCCAGAGCCAAATGGTTCTGGTGACAAAGTTCCTACAAGCTCCGAGTCTAAAGAACAGCCCGCGTCTCAAGAAAAGGAAGCATTGACTACCGCAGCTTCAAAGGAGATCCTGGACAAAGGCAACACAGTTACTGAAGCTTTAGAATCAGAGAAGCCTAAGGCTCTAGCCAAACCCAAGGCCTCGGCCAAACCAAAGGCTCCTCCGAAACCAAAAGCTCCTCCAAAACCCAGATCCGCCTTAAAGAGCAAGGCTTCTGCGGCAGCCAAAGAGACCGAAGATTCTCCAAGCAATGAAAATGCAAAGGAACCCAGTCAAGCTAAAAAGCAGCCCAGAGCCAAAGCTGCCCCCAAGCCCAAAGTCCCCGAAAAGCCCAAGTCTCCTGTCCTGGAAGAGGTGATTGTGGAAGATGAAGCCCCATCTCAACCCAGGGACTCGACTCCGGCTACCAAGCCTGCTCCTAAGAGGAAGCCCAGGAAGAGCAAAGCAGCAGTCTTATCATCCGAGCCAGATGAGCTTGAGACTATCCAGCAGCCCAAGGGCCCAGCTTCTTCCAAAAAAGCACCAGCTGGTGAAAAAGTGGCAAATAAGCCGCAGCCAAAGACTCCCAAGCCAGCCGCCAAGCGCAAGACTGCCGGTATCTCTACGGAAGTCGACTCCGGTCCCACAGTTCCTAAGAAGCGCAAAGTCACTTTTGAAGTTCACGGGGCGATTAGCCTCAATCCTGACCACTCCCTAGTAAAGGAGCTCAACGATGTGACAAAACTGATGTCGGAGGTTGAGGCAATTGACAGGGAGCTTGGATCACCAGAGGCGAAAGTCGTTACGGAAAAGATGCGTGATCGACGCCGCCTAGTTGACCAAATTGATCATAAGAAGGAAGTTATTTCATATGGGATTTACATGCAGCCCAAGAGTGTCCAGACTCTGCTAGTTGAAGCATACCGGGAGAATTTCGATGAAGATCCTTTCCCTCGCATTTGCGATACAGACTTTGACTCTGATGACGTGGATCCTCCAACTCCCCAAAACTGATGTCTTGCGTTCTTGAACTTGCGAATTACTGAAGGATCGTTTATTATTTTTCTTGGCAGTATCATTTGGTTTTCTTAATCTGTACTTTTATGGGGCCGATGGTTATTGTTCCTAATATCTACTTATGAGGGGTTGATTTGCTTAACAAATTGCTGTACTTGACAAGGTTAAAAAATTGAAAATGAAATTATTCGAGACATTCCGCAACTGTAGCCAAGCTTTGAACCGCGAGTTGAAGCAATCCCACTGAATCTTAGAATATTACTCATGATGTATGATGAGCCGTGGGGTTCAAAGGAGCATAGGTATGCTTACCTGGGCAGGATCCCGAGGGCACTTGGGAGTTTACTTAATTAGGAGGATTTTGTACCTACTAGTAAGCACTAGAATTGACATAGCAAACTTGGACTTTCAATAAGGAAGAGTATAGTAGATGTCATACATATGTAAGCAGTACTTGTGCACGGTATCTACTGAGTACTTGAGAAGGGTTACATACCCAGAACTTATTAGTACTTGCCAGTGAGACAGGCATTGCAGTACTCTACTCAGTACCTACTAGTAGTAATTGCACATCAAACGATCGTCCAAATAACGGGAATGGCTTCAAGTCTAGTAAATTCAAAAACATCTCTAAAAACTTTATAATATAGCCCTCCAATAGCCTGGGTTCTCTATCAACAGGGAAAGGACAGAAACCATTTTCATCAAACCCAAATCTTCCAGCATCTGAAATATCGTGGGAATCATCGGTTGCACAGCGTGGCATTCTCCAAATGTTCAATCACATTTGGTGCTAATTGAATCAAGAAATTTAACACTTGCCACCATCAATCTCGGTGTAGTCACCGCACTCGGTACCAGTAACATTCTTGCCACCAGTGGAGGTGAGAACATTGGTGTAGTAAGGGTAGTGGTGAGCAGAAGTGTTGATAGCAACCTGGACCCAAGCGAAGATACCATCCTCAATCTTGTCACCAAGGTAAGCATAGTTAAGAACCGGGTCGGAGGTAGTAGATCCCTCTGTCTCCTGCTCAAAGACACGGTCGACGCTGTTATGGGTCTGAGGAATCTTGTTGGTGTTGTAGGGGTAGGTGGACTCGACCTTCTCGATAAGATCCTGATCGTAGAAGAACTGTCCAATGTGGGGGGTGTAGCCTCCGGCAAGGGTGTTGTTGGGAAGCAAGGTAGTGTTGACGTGTGCAACGACGTGGTGGTGGGTGGTGCGGCCATCGTAGTGACCGGGGAATAGAGTCATGAAAGTAACAACGCCATCCTCGTCGGTACGCTGGACACCACGCAGGAAAGTGGTATCGTGGTTGGAGAGGTCGCTGGGGTTTCCGTTGCCCGAAGCGACGAGACCGGAGTAGACACCGGTGGCATTGCAGCCCCAAATTTCGGCGAACATGTCGGTGATGGGCTCGCAGGTCTCAACGTCGATGTACTAGTTCATGAAAAGGTCAACTTCAATGCCAATATGGAGATCTCGATCGAGGGGTCGTTTCTCACCTGCTCCTCAATGATTACTGGAACACCGGGCTGGCTCTCCAGGATGTTGGAGCGAAGACGTTCTCCAACAACCCAGTAAGGACCACTCTCGCCCTCTGGGTTGAGTGGAATGCTAGTAGCGGACCACAAATCCTCAAAGGGAGAGTTGAGCTTGACGTTCTCCTCGTAGTGAGAAGTGTTAAGCACCTTGCTGGTGTCCTTCTTGTGCAGACGGCGGCGATGCATGTAAATGGTTGCCTGGCGGCGAGCAATGTTGCGCTGGTGAGCACCGGTGTTCTCCCAGTGCAAAGCACACCCCTCTGCGGAGCGACGGACGTTTTGCTTGTATGCCTTCAACTCAGGAGAAGCGTCTTCCTCGTGGTGTCCTGGGTGAGCAGTAACCATGAGGGGGCCACCAATGGCGGCCAACGTGAGGAGGCGAGTCAATTGCATTGTGATGAAGAGTATTCTCAAAGAAGTTTCCCAAGATTGTTGTGAGAGTGAATACTGCTATCGAGCTTGATCAATGGTGAATTGGGCACCCTTTTATATTTCTCGACAGCCTCGATGGTTATCCATATTCAATCCTTCAGGTAGTGTCTAGGGAGAATGAATAGCCGTCAGCGACAATCTTTACCTATGCTGTACTCAGTGTTGGAGCATTGTGTAAAATGCCAAGATGGAAGTCATCATCGGCGAGTTTCACTCCAAAATGTGGTTGGCAATCGGGAGTAAAGCTTGCCAATCTCAATTAAAACAGTAAATATGATTGGATTTCTATGAGTTAGCTTGCCAATCGTGATCGTGCGATTGGATGTGATGGACCCTTCCTGATCCTTCCTTTCATGTGTAGTCTCCAGTGCTGGGTCACGATAACTCCGACGGGAGAGAAGGATCGGTCTTTATGCGCCAAGACTTTATAGAGGCACTAAGCATGTGGCGAGCGCTGTATGTTACGTGGCCCAGTGATTGCGGGTTAACAATGAATACTAGTAGCCTGTCATGGGTCCAGCAATACTCCGTCAGCAATTAGTAGGTCCACCGACGGCGAAGATCAACAGATCATTCGGACTAATCCGAATCTCGGCTACCCGTCCCCGTGTTAATATCCAACTCGGGGACTTTTCAGCGCCATGCCCGGTCGGCTATTTTTCGAGACTTCGGGATCTACAGATTCATTCAGTCGGCTGTATTGGAGAAGTCAGTACTGGCAATTTGCATCTAGAAAAAGTTGGACACGGCAATGGCATGGAATGGATAGCTTGAAACGGAGAGAGATCACCTTTGGAATTGACGATTGATCTCATTATGGGGCCTTCCAAGGTTCTAGCTCAAGACCCATGGATGTGCCATTTGATGACAATTGAGTGTTGCCCATTTATCCACCAGCCGCACCAGCCTTGGAATGTCGTATTGCAGAAATATTATCTTCAGGTTTTGATGGTTATTATTATCTTGTTCCCTTAGTAAGTCTATTGAGTGGGTCTTGTTCCTGATATAAAACTAAGCTACCTTTGAAATAATTGACTGTGATAGGCAGATCATGTGGGTCAGATACACAGACCGGCTTAATTCTCTTCCTCTTCAATCCTAAAAAGGAAGAAGAGATGACAATCAGCTCGCAATATCCAGTTAAACTTGAGATATTATGCACGCAATTTATATAGCCCCTTGAGGAGTTCCGGATCAAGGTACTCTGATTGTACTGCAGAATCCACCAACATTTCAAGGTTGGAAGGATCTGCACCAGCTCCGGCTACAATCTATTGTGGACCCTTCAAATGTTACAGTATGAGGGCCCCATTTGAAGGACGGCCTATTCATGCATGAATGTTCAAATGTTGCTCAACTAAAACCTTGGCAGTTAATTAGATGGTGGGCTGTGTGCTTGACATTTTACGATGGATAGTGTTTTTCCGTCCATATTTGGGGGTATCACATCTCTGGACTGTTCAAATGTTCAAATGTTGTTCATCAGGGGCGCTGGGCCCGACAGTTCCAAGTTGCAGGATGGATAAATTCAATACCGTGAGAACACTGCCAAGTCACACTATATGCACGACTCAGCACGAGTCCACATATTTTAGACTTGGTCTCTGCCCGGAAAGATAAAGCGAGTGCGAGAATAGTTCTGTATGAATCAATGGTGGTACGTACCATTTGTTTTTCGAGTTCCGGATCCTATGTCATTCAAACCAATGGTTCATGTCCAAAGTGGACTTGCTGAGTCTATCTCAAAGATCAACAGAATCTTTTTTCGCTCCACAATAGATCAAAGCCCAGTGTGAGTGGCGCAAAAACAACAGTTCCGGCTGCCCGTGAGCCTGTCCACTTGAACGGGTAACCTTGGAAGCCAACAAGGATTTCTTAGTAGAAATTGGGACTTCTATTTCAAAATTTGGAATGTGAGAAGCACTAACTAAGTCAAGCGCTGTTTGGAAGTGTTTGGTCATGTGACCTGTATCATCACTCTATCTTGTGTAGATAGCTCCGAGTCGTTCTCTCTTTCTCTTCTTCTTCTTCTTCTTCTTTCTTACTTACAGCACCCAATACTACCACATTACGTTCTCGCCCTCCTTCCCTCGTAGACTTGTTCTTCGTGTTCTCTTTAGAAGGATTTGATATTACACAAGATCATCAAAAAGAACTCCAAGGTATTGCTGAACTTGCACTAATCCTTCTCCCTGAGCAGCTTCGCGGGAGATTAGGGAATAATATCTGTTCAGGCCAGTAACTCTGTTGTAGTAACCACTACTGGCGACATCTTACCGTTCAGTGAACAAAGACTGAAGAAAACTTTAGAACAGGTACACATTCGACCTACCTGGTGAGCCAAGTATTGCTCTATCTGACTAATGTTATATGTTCCTTGTTCTTAAGTGCAACCGTCAAAATGGTCCAAGGATTAAGCCTAAAAAATACTTACTAATTAGTATTTCAGTATTTCCTCTACCTCATACAGGTGGTGGGATCAACTGACCAATAGGCTTGGAGGACGCTACCCGCCAGCCAATCAGATCGCGGCGTGTACCCATCGAAGTAAACGGTGATCTTTGATGATCACAGCATTTTTCTGCGAATGGTATCATTTATTCCAGATTCTACTGATCTATAATCCAAAATAAAAGCTTATCGAGTTCCAACTCCCCACTATCCGTATGGTCTCCACAGGGAATCCTCATCCGCCTACGAATGGCGCAATTCCCGTCACATGGCACATGTCGTGATCAATAAATGCCAAACGGGCAGAAGCAGCTCTGCCATTTCCGCGCCCGAGTCTAAACAAAGACCGATCCGATATTCAGCATCCACAATGTCAAAAAGGGTCTTATACAACACTTTCGAGGCAAAAGACTCCTCTGTTGCCCTCCTTCAACCCCCATCCACGCCAGCCGAATCCGATTCATACAGCCAAAGTGGGGCAATAGCATCAGGCGGCTCGGCGGAGTACTACTCGCCTGTACCAGGATACGAGGGGAACCATCGATATGACCCGAAAGCAACATGGACAGCGAAAGAAGAGCAGAGACTTGTCCGGAGGGTGAATTTCACTCTTCATCCCTAGTGAACGGGCAAGAACATCCACCACTAACCAACATATGGCCTAGCTTGACTACCGAATCTGCTCTTGGGTCTGTCTGATGTTTTTCGCTCTGCAGCTGGACCGCGGCAATATCTCCCAAGCTTTATCTGACGGCATGCTCGGTGATCTGGGGCTATCAACGAACCAATATAACTATGGAATGACAATATTCTATTTCTGCTTCCTATGCGCCGAGGTTCCCTCGCAAATGCTCTCGAAGAGACTGGGCCCAGACCGGTGGATTCCTATACAGATGGTCGTCTGGAGCGTTATTGGGATTTCTCAGGGATTCGTGAGCGGGCGGAAGAGTTTCTTTGCGACGCGCGCTCTGCTGGGACTGGTTGAGGGCGGGTTTATCCCCGATGCGCTGCTTTATTTGTCCTACTTCTATACGAACAAGGAGCTTCCGATGCGAGTCGCGCTGTTTTATTGTTCTTCGAACGGTACATATATTGTTGCGGCGTTTTTGGCTTTCGGGATTCTTCATATGCGCGGGATAGGCGGTTGGGAGGGCTGGAGGTGGCTGTTCGTGCTTGAGGGTACTGTCACGGCTATTATTGGTCTTATCTCGTGGTTCTACTTGCCTCCTAGTCCCACGCAAACTGCAAGCTGGTTTCGTGGAAAGGATGGTTGGTTTACGGAGAAAGAGGAGGTTATTATGGTCAACCGTGTCTTGCGTGATGACCCAGGCAAGGTGAGAGTCAAACCCATGAACGGCTGTTATCCCAGGCTCAACTGACTATTTCAACCAGGGCGGAATGCATAATAGACAAGGCTTGACATTAAAGCTTTTATGGGCCAGTCTGATGGACTACGACCTTTGGCCTCTTTACTTTATCAGCATTACCATGCTAATCCCTACACACCCGCAATCCGCATACTTGACCCTATTCTTGAAGTCTTTGGGCTTTGATACTTTCCAAGTTAACCTGCTGACTATCCCCGGATACATTTTGTTTCTGATCCAACTAGTCCTCTGGTCCTGGGTATCTGAACGAATCAACAATCGCATGGCTATTGTTCTTTACTATTCGTTTTGGTGCATTCCCCTTCTATTGGCACTGGAATTCCTTCCATCAACTGCAAGCCCCTGGGCCTGGTACGCAATCACCGTACTTATAATTGGGCATCCATACATACATTCCATAAACGGTGAGAACTGCATGTATGAATTTTCTGAAAAGCCATATCACTAACAAAATTATGCAGTGAGTCTGATCTCACGTAACGCTGGATCTGTACGCACGCGCACCGTTGGGAGTGCTGTGTACAATATGATCTGTCAAGCCGGTGCCATCATTTCATCCAATGTCAGTGCAATATCTCCCTTCGGTGGTATATGAATACGTGACTGATCTACTCACAGGTCTACCGGGATGATGACAAACCTTACTATAGGAGGGGGAATAGGATTCTTCTTACCGTCGTAGGTTGGAATATTGTGATGACCATCTTCATCAAATGCTATTTCGTATGGAGAAATAGAACCCGCGAGCAGATTTGGAATTCCATGAGCGCGGAGCAGAAGAATCACTATCTCAAAACGACAGAGGAAGAAGGTAACAAACGGTTAGATTTCCGATTCGCTCATTAAATTATAATTAGAAGTCTTGATTTCGTGTGCATTGTGGTATATTGACTTCATACGTGAATAAGTTCACGGAGCTTATCGAGCGATAGTGGCTTGACCAGGTAATCGTTAACTCCGGCCTTAAAGGCAGCCTCTTGTATATCATTGGAAGCGACCGCTGTGATGGCGATGATCGTGGATGGTTGGAGGCCTTGCTCGCGTTCGTGTTGTCGTATTCTTTCCGTTGCCTCGAGTCCATCCATTACGGGCATCGATATATCTGCTGATGTTAGAGAAATGTCCCAGGGGGAGGAATGCGTTACATCTGACGCTTACCCATCAACACAAAGTCATATGGCTGTTTGGCACTCTCGTACTTCTCAAGGGCTATAAGTCCATTGAGTGCCGTTTCATAATGACATCCAATTTTTCGAATGAAAGTGGACATGATCTAATATTATAGAAGTCAGTTTAGATGCCCCCAAGGGTATGGTAGATATCATGGGGATTTGCATATGATTCACGCACCTTAAGATTTATAGAGTTATCGTCCACAATAAGGACGTTAATTGGCTTTGGTTGGGTCTCAATTTGAGGGACAATGATTTCCGGTCGATCGAGAACATTAGCGACCGCGAGGTCGTCTCCCAGGACAATAATCTCCGGTGTGTCCCTAGAGCTCAATTGTGCTTCCAAGGGCGGATCTTGCTGTATTATGGACAAAACCGGAGCGATCTCAGTAGTTGCCGGTGAATGTGGCGTCTTGTAAACTTTCATAAATCTTTCCGCTGCATCAAGAAGAGATTTGGGTCCAAATCTGTAACAAAAATTAGTTGACCTATGAACAACAGAGTATAGGAGAGGGGTTCTTGAACGCACGGTTGAGATACGCGTATGAAATTGTCCGGTAAGTCACCTGTCAAAGGTGATGTTTTTCCGTCAAGGACAATGAAGAATTTCAAGACATTTTCGCAACTTCTGGCCATCTCTGGTTCCTCGATTAACAGTTTGTGGAGGTCAGCTCCCTCAATTATCACCACATCACCAAGCTCTTCATGTGGAGACTTTGCTGTCGAAAGATCCCATCCTAGTTTTGTCATAAAGACATCAAACAGTGCATTTTGGATGGCCAACTTTCGTTTGGCGTCGACAGTCAAAATCCCAGTTGGGACATCATGCAAGGCCGGTTGCCCGTGTAGCCCAATAAGGCATGCTCGGATCGGGACCGGTGAAGTTGAAGATCCTGAAAGCAATGAAGAATCTGTTACTTCGGCGGAGGGAGCTGGTCTGTGGTATTTCACAGGTATACGGATATCCACTTGGGTGCCTGCGCCCTGCTCGCTTCTGATGTCAATTTCACCGTCTAGGGATTTGACGAACTTCCGTACGATGCTGAGGCCAAGCCCGACTCCTGGCGAGAGTGAGTCTTCCTTGGCGAATGGGGAAAACAGCTGGTTCTTGAGATATTCCCGTGAAATTCCACTTCCGGTATCTTTCACGCATAAGTGGGCAAAAGACAAGCTGTTATTAGTATTATCTGACTTCGTTTTGGACAATGTAACCTCAATGAGGCCTCTATTTGTCCATTTCATTGAATTGCCAAGAAGATTCAGCAGTATTCCTCTCCAGGCAGTTGCGGCAGACCGCACAGTCCAAAAGTCAGGCTGGTCAACCCGAATAACCATTGAAACTCCATTGTTACTGTTAGTACTATGAAGGTCTCCAGCGGTGTCAAAGACAGTAGTGGATTTATCAGCCAGAGTGGGAACGAATCGGGATTTTTTGTCAGCACAAAGAGCGGTGGCAACTTCTTCGATTAATGTGCCAAGGTCAAAGTCCGAATCTTGACCGCTAGCTTTTCTTCCTATTTTGGCGTTGTCTGGTTTTTTTCCTGTCGCCAAATCATTGATCCTGCAGTACTCCAATCTGTGAGGAATTGCGTCAGTATGTCTTTGTAGTTGCAGACCCCAGGATTGGTAAGCTCACAGATGGTCTATGGTGTCGAGCAATGCCAGGCCCGAAGTGTCTATCATTTTGACCATTTCATGCTGTGAGGGCTGGAGTGGCATGGTCTGCAAAAGCTCGGTGCTTCCAAGGATACCATGCAGTGGAGAGCGAAGCTCATGGTTAATGGAAGATACAAAATCGAATTTTGATTTTTCAGTCGCTGTGAAGTGCACCCTAGACACCTCAGAGATGATGGAATCACCAAATACTTTGAAATAGTGCAGTTCCTCCATTCCCAGAGGGCGGCAAGCTTCCTGTGTCCAGACCAGGGTTCCTGCTAGCCAGTGTGATTTATTCCAATCCCACAATGGGATGAAGAGTACGGACTTCGCATCTGGTAGCTTCTGTGCAAGGTGACGAGCAACCTGCTGCTGTAATGTTTCCGGCTCAAAGGGTTCATCGTCGAGATTAAAAATATGCCCGCTCGGGAAGTTGTGGATCAGGGTACGCAGGAAGTCTTCCGAAAGGGCGAGGTCAGATTCTGAACTGAGAGAGTCGGTGGTCAAACAATTCAAAGAGCGGCATAGCCTTTCTTTGTTATCAGACGATTGCTCGGCAGAGTAGCCAAGCAACCAAGGCTGCGGATTAGTCACAGGCTCAGAGTCCCCGAGTTTGGGAGACTCTCCGTTTTCAAAATCATCCCCGAGGTCGCTATATAGTGTTAGGGGGAGGGTATCCGATTTCAAGGGATGATACTAACAATGCTGAGTCGCCTTGACGTGCATCGAGAAAGACCACACCATCCAAGTCCATTGAACCTCTCAAAAGTTCACTAGCCCGGGAAAATATGGCAGCAACACGTTCTGCAATGGGCACATCTTCCATAGCTGACTCCGTACCAAAGTAATCGTTGCATAGTCGTTCTGCAGATTCCGGTGAGCCTGGAGCAAGCGATGATGGCTGTGTCGTCGGTCGTGTCATTTCCGAATCTTTGGCCTCCGAGAAAAGAGAAATGGCCGGCTCCTCCTCCTTGGTTGCTAGAGACGATTGATCCAATGTTGATTTCGTGTTGGATGATTTAGTAGTCAAAGCCGACGTAACTGGCTGAGTTGAATCAATGGCATTACTTGTAAAGTTCAGGTTATGAAAATTCAGGGTTTCCGGGGCTGAAAGTTGCTCGAGATGGTCTGGGATGCCAGATTCCGCATGTCCTTTGACAAAGTTTGTCAAGCCCTTGACCAGATTTTCAGCGCGATTGTGATAATGAGCGACCCGAACATTCTCAAGATGTTGAGAAATAGCATCGGCAATCTCCTGAAGCGCAGCAACTTCCTCATCTCCAAAATGGGTGCGGGTTTTGTTGTCCACCACACAGTATGAGCCGAGTACATATCCAGAGGGGCTGTATAGGGGGACCTCGGCGTAGAATCGGAAGTATGGCCATTCAAGAACATATGGACGGGTGTTGTAGAAATCATCCACGGTAAAGTCGCGGATGATATTGCGAGTTCGATTTGCTGTTATGTTTGTCGTGTTCGTCACCCGTGAGGAGTCCTGTCCTGTGAAGAGACGTATAGCATGGGGGCAGACACCCCATTCCAGGTCCAATGTCCGAACGCCGAGGTAGATCCCATCATCAGGGAGGTGTTGATCTTCGTTGCGCAAAGAGGTTGACGCGGTTGCTTCTGCGATGAGGTGCTGTTGTTCACCATCAATGATGGAGACAAAGGATCGGTTACACCCAAAGCGATAGACGCCGAGTTGGGTGAGCGCAGTGAGTGTAGAATCAGGCGAGAGACGAGGGCTGCTGATTGATTGTGGATCTTGATCGAATGTACAATAATATCTAAAAACCGTTGGAAATTATGATCAGCATGTGGCGGCAAGGTTAGATAAGAAACGAGCGCCCACCTTGATAGATCTCGGATTCTGTCTTGCTCTGAGTAAATCCTAGATTCACGCGGACGTGCTGGTCCGGTGTCTATTGCCATAGTTGTTTGGCATAGAACTCAAGCCCACGATGGATCAGATCATGTTTGAATGTTTGAGGGGGACCCCGATCTGGAAACCGGTTTTCTCGTGAAAATTGAAAGATCAATTCTGATTGGTGGATCAGATCTTTTCCCCCTCTGTTGCTCCTCAGTGTTGGCCATTATAGGTTAAGCGCGATATGCCACCTGCCACTTGCCGGAGCATAATTTTTGAAGTCTTCTTGTGTGCATTCTAGATCACTGGTCATGACTCGCGAGGGCGAATGTCCCCTAGAGCGTGAGCCACGTGACACACTGTGAGTAAACACGTGATTCAAACGGCCTCTTTGCATCGACCAGTTAGAGTCTTCTCCTCTGAGTCATGTGCTTCGTCGCTACACAATGCCTTTGTCGTGACTGGAAGAACCAAGTGGATTGGGAGGTAGAAAGACCTCAATGTAAAATCAAGAAAAACACCCCAAACTAGGACAGGCATTGAAGGCCGACATAAACAGGAGGCTGATTGGCTGCAAGGTGGAGGACGATGTATTTGATACAGCCAATCAAACGCCATGATTACAGGGTGGAGCTCATGGTGAAATGCTGCCAATCATTTTCTTCATTTCGGGGGTACCTGCAGCTTGGCGGCGCCCATGCCTAGGGCTCGGCGGAAAGATTGGCGTCTTCAGTATGGAGTACCTCACTCGGTGCTTTGCTCGGGCTTATCCGAGGGAACCACTACATAGAGTTGTATCGCTTATTTTCATCCTCATCGGCAATTTCAGCGAACCCTGAATGCATTCAGCGCCACATCCGTCAATAGATCGTGTCAATTGGCATGATTTTCAGTACCACCAGCTGATATTGAGGGAGCCTCGATTTCGATTTGGCGTAGTGGGGACAGGAAATGTAGGGCTCAGATGGATAGATAAGGGGACCAGGGCCGTGTAGCCTTGCGTCGGTGCCAGCTTTCGTTCCTCCCATACCCATGCGCGGGCGCTCAGAAAGCAAAGAGTCTAGCATGTCGAAAGCAATCTACAAAATTCCTCGCGGAGGGTCAAAATTATGGCAGCACTTGGCGTTGGCGGTTTTGGGCATTTGGGGGGTTTTGAAACTGTCTGACTTATACAGTGCGTGCATACACATGCATCATCGGCTTCGCGATATACATACTACTACTCACCAATCTGACTTCTCTCTAGCCAACAGCTTTCCTCGAATACAGCCGACGATTGGCAAAGTTACTATGATATACGGCAACAGTACAGTATACCATGATGCATTACAAACACATGAACTACACGGCAGACGATTCAACTATCCGGCTTTTATTCTCCGCCAACCTATTATTGACGGTACATTCAACAAATATGCCATTCTTCTATCCCTCGTTCTCCAAGAATTGGCAAAGCCACAAGGCCAAAGATTAGAGTGGCTTTTGTACGTCAAGAATCACTGGTTCTATTGAAACTCTCTCCTGGTGCGACCACAACTAATCGATATTTCGCTTAAATAGTTGGCATGACAGCGATACAGTCCTTATGAATCCCAATATGCCCCTCGAAGTCTTCCTTCCACCCGATCACTTTGGAAATGTGCACATGCTACTCTCAAAAGACTGGAACGGAGTGAACAACGGAGTCTTCTTCATCCGCGTCCACGAATGGTCCGTGAACCTACTATCCGCCGCAATCGCCTACCCAATCGTCCATCCAGACATCGAACTATTTTGGCCCGACCAATCGGCCTTAAGTAACCTACTGAATGAGAACCAAATATTTGCCCGATCTGTTGTATACTGTCCACTGCGATGGTTCAACGCCTATATGCGATCAGAAGATGGGAGGTCACAGAATGAGGACTCGCCTGCGCATTTCCAAGTTCACCCTGGAGATTTGCTGGTTCATTTCCCCGGCACTCCGCGCGAACATCTCAACCACACTCTATCGCCCTATCTTCAAATCGCACAGTTGCATGAAGCCGAGTGGGAACCTACGCTGGACAAGACGGATTATGTCCAAGAGACTAGCAAGTTCTGGGGAACAATGCATCGGCAACCTTATGTACCAAAGCCGAAGTCGAAGCCGACACCCAAACCCAAGGCTGAGGTGGTCCAAGAGCCGGAGGTAGACTTAGACCCAGAAGAGGATGAGCAAGAAATTTAGGCAGAGGTTACTTTCATTCAGGTATAAAAGTTATGTCGAGATAATGCACATTTTCATTGCTCAAGCGCCTGCTCAATTTTTAAGATTCGTTAAATGTGATAAAATGAAACAGCGATAAAACAAAAAACAAAAAAAGTTACACACGTTGGATCGATAAACTCCCTCGTTGATGTGAAATTTGACTTGCAAGTCCCAAGAGTCGTCACCGATGCTAGTCAAGGCCAATCGTCGCCTGCAAATGATACCCCTTCAACAACAGTTCGCACTGCTTATTCCGAAGTTCTTCCAGCATATTCATGTGGATGCGAAAGCGTGATTCTAGTTCCCATACTGCCTCTTTCAGCTCATCATCCTCTTTGAACGAGACCGTGAACCCTGGCAGATAGGCATCTTCGCACTTCCGATTCTCGATCTGGAGGCGCAGAATCGCGAATTGTTCTGCGAGCTCCGAAGATCGATCCTCCAGGCTCCATTCATCATTTCGCACATGCTTCATTTGGTCGAGCAGTTCAGACAATTCCTTCGATTCCGGCGCAAATTCACGTGTTTTAAGGATAAATTGTCTCATTTCCTCGTCAAAATCACCAACTGCACTGAGCCAGGTGTCAGCTTAACAGTATCTCAGGAGTTTGGGGGTCTAGGTCTTCATACTCTTGGGCATTTGATGCGCTCTCGGACAGGGTTTTAGTGTAACAGCTCTGAAACTGTAGGAAAGCTGTGTTTGCGGCCGAGTTATTGATTGCCAGGGATTGCATGGCGTTTTCCAAAGACTCCATGCCAGTCTCAAGAGTGGAGGATGCTGTATTGGCGGATTCACCAATTTCATCCTCTTTAGCGGTATCGACGTCCGAGTCGATATTGAAGCTTGGACTTGGGTTGTCCAAATCCACCCATCTCATTTCCAGGTCTGGCATTGTGTAAGGATCGAGTCCTTAGTGGGGCCCGCTTTTATTGCAGCTCGTGGAAATCCGAATTACTTTCTTTGGTTTCTGTGCTGGGGTGGGATGTTGAGAAGTTTGAAGACCCGTGGAAATCAGTGTGAGATGTGCCGATCTGAAATGCAAAATTCTGGGGAATGGACGTGTAGGAAGGTGTTTTTTGGAAGGTGCGTAGCGAGATGAAAAGGAAATGTCAAGGGACTCTGTAAGACTTGGAAAAATTCAATACAATGACAGCATTCGATTCAAGCTACAGTGAAATGTGTATGTGACAGCTCGTACCCGAAGACAAATCCAGCTGTTTCTTGTTTGTTCCTTTGCCCTAGTAATTTTTCATGCGCGTTTGTATGGCATGGTACGGCTAACATTGAAAACATTGAATAGGGGATTTTCAGCAAAGGAAATGGAACCTTCCAAGGTTAGAAGGTACAGGAAACTCCGAGATAACTCAAAGTAAAAGCACATTCAACATTGAGCACTTGAGTGCTTAAAAAGGTCAGATCCACAGACATTATATTGTCGATAGCCTATATTGCTGTTATGCTTATTGGTAAGATGACGTGTTTCGAAAAGTAAATTCTGACATTATTATCCCACCTAGCGCGGCATTTCAAAGTACGTAACTGCATGTGAGGTGCTAAGATAAAGATATAATTGATAGCATGGGATATAGTCATTCAATTTTTATACATTCTGGAAGTTGATAAAAATAATTATTGGATCTAGGAGCCTGACTATCTGAAGAGTTTAGAGATTCGAAGATTTTGATAATCCCATGCATTCAAATCATCATACCGGCAAGGTGTTGAAGGCGTAATAAACTCTTTGAAAGGAAATAACGATGCTGTGCGGTTAGGCTTAGCAAAGTATGCAATGGAGAATCGCTCGGGGATCACGGCCTCGTCTACACCCGTTTTAACCGAAGGTGGATATGTGACGCGGTGACATGCAGCGCGGAAGGTATCGTTTGTCAGACGCTGCATCGAGTCACCAATGTTGAGAATGATCTCTGTCTTATCCGCCGACTCAATTCCACGGAAGACACCCGGATTCTGCTGGTCCTCGACCTGAAGGCCACCAACAGAATCTTGGAAAAGCATTGTGATGCTGCCAAAGTCCGTGTGCTCTGCGATGCGTGTTGCAGTTCCATCGGCTAATTCCGATGCGGAAACCTCTGGGTAGTGGAGAATGCGGAACTCGTTCTCAGCTTTGTTGTGCAGGGTCACCATTTGTTGCTCGTCGACACCGAGGGCTTTGGCAAGTGCAGCAAGAATCTCGAGCTCGAGCTTGAAACATGTTTCGTAAAAGTCTTCCATAAACTTGCGGAAACCTGGAAGTTTCTCCTCTGGTACCCAGATATTGTCCACCAGCGTATCACGGGGGGAACCGAAGTCGACTGTTTCCTGCAAGATTGTGAGTATATTTACATGGATTGATGATATAAAAGACATAGTGGTTTAGTCTTACCTTAATGTCACGAACAAACTTGTCCTGCGGAAGGCCTTTTTCATAACCACTGATTGTTGAAATGGATTCCTGTCCAACATAGCAATATCCGCGGTTGGGATTTGCCATGGGAGGGTGCTTGGCAATCATCTTGTCTTCATAAGGCAGGGCAAAGAACTTGCGTGTCTTCACAGAAGAGTCAACCATGGTCAGAAGACAAATTGGGTCAATGATAAAAAATCTTGCACTCGCCCAGTCAAAAAGATCATACACCAGCTTGTCAGAGAGACCATGATTCTTGAGCTTGACACCTCCTCGTGTCTTGAGGCCATTGAGCAGCGCAGATGAAGTCTGTTCTCTCTGAAGGGGAGTTCCTTTTAATAGAGACAGATCAATACCATCGGCCATTTTGAAAGAGTAAAGTCAGTAAGCACGGTCTTGGTGAAAGTTTTTCTTTATGAAACTGTCAAAAATGTTCAGAATGGTTTGTCAAAAATGGCAATTTGGATGAGGAGAGGCCCATTTATGGACAAATGAAACCAAAATTCGACTGTATCCTAACGTGGGGAAGATAGACCATAATGACAGAGCTATCTACCTCCATTGATCCAATAACAAGAGGTCGTGCTATCATCACTTTCCTTTGCGAATGATTCTCGAAACATAATGCAAGATTTCGAGCTGATTATGTTCCTAGATGGTCAGCGTGGGTCCGAGATCACCTTCCTAAACCACAGCTAAACCAATGATATTCCGTGTGGCTGCGGGGCTCAATTGTGCTGATGGAAGGCAATTGTGTCATGAGTTTTGATCGGGTGACTCTGGACTCTGGTCTCCTAGTGCTGTAGGAGCTCTGTCCTCTGTAGCATTAATATGAGATCTCTCATGGATTTGCGGTCGACTTGCCAAAAAAAAAAAAAAAAAAAGATTCCTGCACCATGCAAAAATATGACTGCCTAAAGCAGGATGAGGAGAATTCAGGCATCAATATATCCTGATTAGGCTTAGTAGGTCATGTGGGGGTGTGTTAGCATGAGAGGGGGGGGGTGTTTAGATCAAACTCCTAACAATTAGGGGCCAGGAGCAATAAACAATCAAGGCAACCTGGCAAATCCATGCCGTTACTGCAACGGAGTGCAGCTCAACAGGGTAGCGGCTTATCGGCTCAAAAGAGGATGTAGAATAGTACGAAAGGCAATTGAATTAATTTAACGAGCCATTTCAGGTTTATGGCAATGTGCATATACCAAGGAACCAGGTGTTTCAGATGTGAAGCCTCAATGCAATGCCGAATTAGATCTCATCAACACCAATCATGCCCTACCGGACCTCACATTTCAAATCCTAATGGAGAGAATTCTCAATCTATCTCTCAGAAAGGCTTATGTGGCTGTTTCTCACTTGTGAGTTGTGACATGGTTCCGGCAGTTCTTTTCTTTTCTTTCTTTTTTCTTTTTTCTTTTTATCAAGGATAAAGATGCGTTGGGTATGAATGGCCTTTCTGGTAGTTAGGGTATTGCGGCCCGGAGATACTGCATTTGACCCAATAGCGTCGTGGTTTAGAGGCACCTGGGGGAGGAAAGAAGATGATAGAATCATCAGCAGCGTAGAGCTTTCATAACCTCATAAGATGTGTTACCCTCTTCCTATGGTGTTTAGAAGGGTACGACCATGCCATTGGTGATATGGGTTCTTCTAATAATCTGCACATCCTGAATTGGGAGCCCTACCACAAGGTTGACATAGATGTGCACCGATACTCCGCTAAGAGCCACTGTGATGTGGCATCCATCATATACCTTGGCAGCCTGTATTGTTGTTGTGTTGTGAAAGGCCCCGCTGAAAGAGAACTATGGTATTAGTACTTAAAATGATAACCAGTCACCTAGGCTAGGTGAGAGCAGACGGTAACATACCGGATCAGAATTCTTCTCTGCCGTAATTCTTTTGCGAGTTGCATGGAAAGATGCTCAGTGGCTGCTTTCATCTCAGTGCTTGTTATTTTATATTGAACCGCTGTCGCCGGAAGCCAATTTTTGGCAGCCAGCGTCCATTCAATCTCAACTTCCCCAACGCTTCCTGCCCACTGATCTGCGGGAAGGGAGTTTGGAAACGCCATTGTGGAAGCTTTGGGCGTCTTAGAGCAAATGTGAATTTTTGCAGTTGGATATGAGGATTGAAGAGAACGAAGATGCGGATGGAACTGAAAGTAATAGATCAGATTTTGGGGGATAAAGAGAAATGTCGAGGTGAGAGAAGAGACTTGAAGAAAAGCAAGAAGTAAGTGGTAGGTACTCGACAAGAAAGAGAAGGGCAGCTCGACAAGGACATTTAAGTGAGAGAAGAGTAAAGAAATCCCAGTGAGATCCGAACTGGTTTTCGTATAGTATTCATTGTATCTGGGTACCTACCTTCATCTGACCTCTAGTAGTATCGGATTCTTGATATATCACGCTGGCCTAAGAGGGTATTTAGCCTTGTAGTCACGGTATTATTGGTTGACCAAGTTCGACATAAACGCGTCTACACTTGCTGTGTGTATATACAAGCAGTCTGAGCAGCACTGTGTACGTACCAGTATGTATCCCGGAGCGCGTCTATGAGCGTTTGCGCTTGGTGTTTGTTTGGTAGCTACACGAACCACCCAACTTCTGAAAGTAACGTTTTCCCTCGAAATTCACTTGTTGACAAACATCCGGGCAAAACTTAGGCTGTCGCTTATTCAAAATCAACCTTCACTCCTTCTTTCTTTCTACAAGTCATCTGGTAGTTCTCTGGGCTTCCATTAGACCTCTACGTGCTCATTTCTCCTTCGATTCCCCACGGCTTCTAGGAAAGCGATATTCGAGGTCACTTCAGTGAGTTCTTACATCACCTACCCATCTCCAAGTCTCAGAATCATAGGTTTTTGGCCTTAATCACAAGAAGTTGCCCAGGAAGGTGCTATCCGCGCGAGCTTAACTTCTCGCCATCTCTTGCTTTTCTCCCTGTATCGGTATCGGATCCATCGCTCGGCTTTCTCTCACCAGCCCCGCTTCCCAGCGATAACTCGTCAAGGCAGAGATTGAAATCAACATGTTGGCCACGCAAAAACCAGCGTTGGACCCTCAGGGGACTCAAACGACCATCCAAAAACTACTAGCAAGTATTCGGGACCATGAAGCGAGCATTCAGAATCACAAAACAAGCATCCAGTCACATGAAGACAGCATTCAGGCGATACGAGGGCTAATTGAGTCTCTACAATCGAATGCTCAGACACCTGAAGCGATCACTAAAAAAACTGTCCAAGATTCCCAGGTTGAGGATACGGAATTCGGTGACTTCGCTAAGGGCGCAGAAGAGGAGGGCAATGTTGAATTCGAGAACGAGCCCTGGGATAACTACGCTGCCAGCGAAAAAACCGAACTTTTCTACCCAGTGTACATTGGCGAGTTGCTTAACGGGCGATACTTAGTCGAACACAAGCTTGGTCATGGAGGGTTTTCTACGGTCTGGATGGCCCATGATCTCCATGACGGGAAAGATGTTGCTCTGAAGGTCTTGTCGCTCGGGGGATATGATACGAATGAGACGCGCATTCAGACTGAGATTCGGCAGCACATCCAGGACAGGTCACATCTTTTGGTGGCCCTGGACACATTTATTCTCCCTCGTGAGGACAATGCTAACTTTCATACAATCCACGTTCTTCCCTTAGTGGGCCCCACTCTATCATGGATCGTTATGGAGGGGATGTCGATGACTACTCGAATGTCCGCTGCTCTTCAATTGCTCAAGGCCTTGAAGGCCTTGCATGAAGTTGGAATTGTTCATCGTGGTAAGTGGCTCTCCTTTTCCATTCTTGATGGGTTTTTTATTGGTAGAATAATCTAATACGTCACTAGATTTGAGCGATGCCAACTGTATGTGGGGGCTTCAATCCCTTAGTGGTCTAAGCCGGGCGGAAAAGTACGAGAAATTCAATCGGCCATTGAAAATGCGGATACCATATGTCAAACCCGAGCTCTGGAAAAAGGGAGAGCTCGTTCGGCCTGCTGAGATTCCCACTGAGTTGCGCACAGATGATATCTTCTTGGGAGATTTTGGAATCTCGACCAAACTAGGCGACCCCACATACGAAGCCATGCCGGGATTTCCACCACCCCTGTATTGTTCACCAGACCGATTGCACAATGAACCCCCGAGCTTTGCGTGCGATATGTGGAGCTATATGATTATATTCTCGGAACTGTACTTGGACTTTCCGCCTTTTTTCTCTACAGCCAAGGGTGGAATCATCGGTGATCTTTTCGAGATCCTAGGCCCTTTACCTGCGCGTTGGAAAGGTCTTTGCGATGACCCCATCATTGAGGATTCGTGGTATGAGGACATTGAGAAGCCTTTCCCGAATGCGGAACTCAGAAAGCGAATCACTATGCGTCGGCCTGAGATGGACGAAGCTGAGAAAGATCTCGCTATATCTGTCTTGCGAAAGGCGTTTGTCTACTCCCCCGAGAAACGTCTCAGTGCCGCGCAGCTTCTGGAAGACAGTGACTTCAAGGCACTGATGCAAAGGTGTTGGAGATTGTGAACCATGTGATGTCACATGGTCTGCTCCTAGATGCTCCAGCGCGTGGGTTGGGTTGGTTTTGTGTGTGAGAGGGTTAGGGTTGTAGTTAGTTTAGGGAAGTGAGAGCTTCTCTCTCATTCCTTCCTTCCTTCCTCCTTTCCCCTCTCCATTCCGCTTGGTGAAGAAGAATGCCATACAATTGCCCTTTCTTCACCTCCTCATTACCATTCGTTTTCCCCAGATCCTCATCGAGGTTCTGACAAAAGGTACGGTAGTTAATCTGCTGTAATATAAGTTGCAAGTGTTTCGGGTTTGTTTTGTCATATGATCATTCTACTCTCACTTGTCTCCCTGTAGATAGTTCTTCCTCTTCCCTCTCATGTAGATAATCATCCTGAAAAGGAAAAAGGATCTGTAAGATCCTTTGCCACGCTGAATCATCAACAATCTCAAGTGATGTCCGCTGTTCAATAGTGGTGATATAGGAGGCGACAACTCTGTCTGTTAGGTACTAGAAATCATGTTAGCTGAATCCATGAGTTTTGAAATACTTCTGATGAAGAACCTACTGTCATCATGGAAAGAATAGTGGGAGAGGATGATGTGAGATAATGAGTCAAGACTGCACTCTGGTTGTGCTGTTCTGTTCACGGTAAGTAGAGAAAGATCACTGAAGTTTCAATCACTGTGGTCTCGAACTGTCGATGAAGAGAAGATCAAAGAACAAAGAACGTTGACTTAGCGATAGAGGCGCAAGTCTCGCCAAATTCAGAGGGTTGTTGTTTGAACCCTTTGGCCACAAGACAAGCCTTGTACGTTCCATCAGACTTGATGCGGAAGATCCACCGTAATGGAAAAACATGAGTCTTTGTTCTTGGCATCATTCGCCAAGTTCTATTCAAACTGAATATGGTTCTTGAATTCTTTGTGAATTGCTTTTCTCCATTTATCGGCGTCAGGGCAGTTGACCATATACCTGTATGACGGAGGTAACAGGTTCATATCCATGTATTGTGTTGTAAATTAGGAACAAGCTCGCCAGTTGGACGAGATGGATAGGCCAGTTGGGACAGGGACGATAGTAGATGGGCCAAAAAGGAAAGGGACTTATGTGGTAATAATTATATTGAAGTGTGTAAGAATCTAACTAAGACTGCCACCTAATGTGGTAATTTAACTGGCAGTGGGCGGTGAGGATTCTATGTGCGAGAACACAAGTAATCTTCGGTTAGGCCCCTAAGCCTTAGGTATTAAAGGGAGAAGCCTAGACTTAGGGGAATTACTGCTAATACTCCCCCTTAAAGATTAGGAGTATTAGATAATAACTCCCCTTAGTATAGTATTATAATAGTTATTAGTAAAGATTTTAAAGATATATATATATATAGTAAAGAGTTATAATATTAAAATAGGTAGTAATTATTAATAATCTATCTAAGATAATAATCCTTCTTTCTTAATAAACTATTTAAAGTCTAGGTATAATAATAGCTTTATAAATCTATCTACTAGTTTATTATCCTTAGTATTAATATAACTAAGAGATACTAAGCCTTCCTCTATCTTTTCTCTTATAAAATAATATTAGATATTAATATATTTAGTCTTTTAATATAATATAAGATTCTTTATAAGGGTAAGAGCCCCTTAATTATTCCTAAGAATTTAAATAATTTAGGATCTATAATACCTAAAATTCTTAAAGAGTTAATATAACTAAATAGCTTCTTTTAATATTTTAGATTTAGTAATATATTTAGCTTTATAAGAAGATATTATTATAATAGCTTATTACTTAAATAACTAATTAACTACTCCTCCTATAAGAGTAAATATATAATCTATTAATAATTATTAGTTAGTATAATCTTAAGCCTAGTTTATATTAATAAAGCTAATTAATTTATAATTTACTTAATCTAAGATAAATATAAATATAAGATCCTTAGTTTTCTTAAGATATTTAAAGATTTAACTAACTATATCCTAATATTATTTATTAATATTAAGATTAGATAATATTCTAGGCTTAAGAACTTCTTAATAATTCTTTTAATATAGACTCTTTAACTTAATTATAAATATAAATCTTTATAGAGAATCTTAATTCTAAGATATTATTAATAAGATCTTATATTAATTATTTTAAATTTAATATTTAGAGCTTTTTTAAGATTATTTATTTAAGATTAATTTATACTAAAAATAAATAAGTTATCTATATAAATAACTAAGATAATAATATAAGTATTATTTATAAAAATACTTAGATCTTTAGTTATTAGGTATATATTATAAGCTTAAAAAAAATAAGTAATTTATTTATATTAAAATTAAAAAGATTATTTTAGATTATATAAGACTTATTTAAGTTTATAGATCTTATTTATCTTATTCTTAAAATTTATAGATTAGATAATAAAGATAACTTCTTTTATTTTTTTATTAAAAAAGACTATTTTAATATCTATTTAATTAATCTCTTAATTATTTAGGATAATAAGAATAAAAAGGATCTTATAGCTTATTAATTTAATTATAATAATAAATATCTTTTTATAATTAATACTATAATATTAGAGGAAGTCTTAGACTACCTATTAGGTTTTAAATTAGTTAGGCTTATTATTAAGACTAAGTTTAGTTTTATATATCTATTTTATAGTAAATAGTTTAGTATAAATATCTTTTAGGTTAACTAATTCTTATATATTATTTTTAAGTAGTAAATTAAACTCTTCTTATATTATAACTTATTAGTTAATACTTTAAGGTCTTTTAGTTACTTTATTATATATTTAAGGATTCTTAATATTTATTTCTCAGTTAGTATTAAAGGTAAATTCTTAAGTATATTCTATAATAATAAGTAAGATAAAGGCTTATCTTTTAGAGTTTTAATTTATATTTATATTAATAATAAGAGTATTAAGTTAATCCTAAATAGTTTATAGTAGATTATTAAGATTATTTAAGGTTATATTTAGAGAGTTATTATTTATATACTTTTACTTCTCTCCCTTAAATAGTAGTATTTTAAGAATATTAATTAATAATAGATCTTAGTTATATTAAATTATTAATTCTTTAATAATCTTAGATACTAAAATAGTACTATTAATATTAGGAATAATTTATTTAAGAATTACTAAGATCTTATTAAATATTATATTATATATTTATTTTATATAATTTAGAGTTAGATTCTATATTTAATAAAGATTATAAGCTTTATAATTAATTAGAATATATCTTTAATTTTAATCCTTAAACTTCTTAAGTTTATAATCTTATAGGATTATTTTTTAGATTATTAATCTAAAAACCTAAATATATAATAAATCTAGATAATAATCTATTAGTTTCTTTTATAGGATATTATTCTTAAGGACCTTAATTAAAGTTTAATTCTTTAGATATATAGCTATAATAAATAACTTTATTTAGAGGGATTTAGGAAGTTTATTTTTATCTAAGATAGATTATATTTAAGACTAAAGATTCTTATTTATCTTTTTACTTATTCTATTTTATTTAGGATAATAAGAAGCTATAAGCTCTTAGATAATTTTTTTAGCTTTTATAAAAATATTCTAGGCCTTATTAATATACTTATTATTAGGGTACAGGGTCAGGTAGGTATAATAGGAGTTAATCCATAAGGATCCAGGATAGTAGGGTTTATTTAGATATATATAGGTATATTCAATTTAGATAGGAAGCTCTTAGGTATAAGAGGTCTTATTTATAAGATATAGCTTAAGGAGCTATATTTAGATTAGAATCCTTAGATAGGATATATAAGCTATAGGTTATATAACTATAGCCCTTATAACAGATCTATATAAGTATAACCAACTATTCCAGGCTTACACCATAATAGTATACCCTCCCTTAGGGCTAAGCTCCATCAAAATAAGGCTTATATAGATAGCAACAATAGAAGTTTAATATAACTTTATATACATTCATAATATACTTAGTAGGTTCTTCAGTTAGCTTATTATAGCTATTCTATTTTATAATATACTTTAGTCATAAGCCTCTATAACCATATTATTCTTAATAGGAATCTAGGATATCTTCTATTTCCTATTCTTTTAGTCCTTTAACTTTAACTAAAGATAGTAGATTAGAGATCTATTTATTACGCAACGCTCTGTGGTCACAGTGAGTATCGTTCGTTAGGGCTTCTACTTACCAAGTAGACACTCAATCCTTAAGTCGCCGATTCGCAACCGTACCGTTGCCAGTTGACGTTAGGCCTTATACAGGCTCGGGTCTATAGAATAGACTTAAAGGGGGCTGTGTCTAAGAGGGTGTCGCCTAGTCAAGCTATACTTAGTTTCTGAGTCGAGAGACTAGAGACCAAGGATACCTCTTTCTAGTAGGGTTTGTCTTATACGAAACTGATAGGTAAATAAACTATTAGGTTCTAAGTAACAATATATGGATTGATCGTGAAGAACTAAGTATATATGGGTAATAACTGTCTTTATATACTAAGTCCTTCCTATCTGTTGCCTAGGTCCTATCCTACTACTAGGATAAGATCCTATCCTACTGCTAGGGTGGGTTGGTGCCTGATCACTAAGGGTTACACCTCATATGATCATGTTGAATATACTATATTGTTATAGCGGAGTAATAGCTAATGTGCTAAGGTGGCCCTAACTAGCTCCTTGTGTACTAGGTTTATTTTGCTTAGGCGGTGACTGAATGTGGTATAGTTGGAGGGAGTAGAGGTTTATTATATAGAGTAACCTAGGTACTAGACTTCCTGTCCTAACTTGTTCTGCTGACTACTTGCTTAGTCTTGGCTTAGTAAGCCTTAACTAGTTATGTATCCTATAGCTTGTTTTATATTTCCTGGGAATGGTTGGTTCCTATCTCTTTTCTAAGGTTTTGATTAAGTAGGTCTATAATATTACCCCCTCTTTTCTTAGTCTTTATTCTTAAAGATTCCTTAATAACTGCTATCCCCCTTAGGTAAGTGTGGTACTTAAATATTTTTCTGATTT